TATCGCGTATTATCTTGACGACGACGACGACGACGACGACGACTCAAAATAAACTTGTTTTGATATTTTTTCCACTTCTTTTTATTTGATCGACTACCTTTAATCATATTTTACATTAAACAATTGGAATCAATGGGGGGGATATTCCTGCTATCGAATAATGAATAATATTATTAGGTGTGTGTGATTGTTAATTATATGAATCATTAATTATTGTACTTTTTTTTTTTCTACCAATATGCCTCTATGCAAAATAGTTCTTATTAAGTAAATAAATAGGAATAATAAATAAGGTAATACATTTGGATATACCTGGTGACGCAGTTGAACGTCGCGCCTATTAGGAATGAGTTCTCTTCTTTGCTCGATACAATCCTCAATTTTATTATCCATCACTTGTCTATTTATGTATGTATATATGTATGATGTATATTTATTTATGTACGTGCGATAATTTCGTTAGTATCGTCGGATCCTTTGATAGACGCCAAACGCTTCTTAATCACTGTTTGTCAATTTAACCTCGGATGTAAGGTCTTATTTCGAGGCAACCGAATCGTTAACGTTGTCGTACATTTAGCACATGTTTAATGCTTCAAACTGAACGAGAAATTGTATTACCATTGCGGATGGTAGGTAGATTGGGAAGTTATCTCCGAAATTCGAAACCGACGGCCTTCATAAGAACAACTTTATTCTACGAGACGAAGTTAATCGTTTGACATCACTATTCATAGTTGTGAGTCACATGGAAAAAGATAATCAGGTAATTAATGATTGTACTTGTAAATATATGCTTTACAAAATGTTTAATTATTTGTTTTATATTGTTAACTTATGTTTACTTAATAAAAAACGATCGATCGCGCGTATATAAATGTAGAAATTTCGCAAATTGAACTCATAAGCACACACATAAGTCTGATGTACGAGTTGTTTGCAAAAAAATGTATAATAACTGTTTGAACGTTTAAAAAATGATATCAGCTAAAGCTGAACAATATTTTCAATCATAAAAATTTTATTACTTTTTTTTTTTTTTTTGTTAATGCAAAAATGTACAAGTTTTGTTCAAGGCCGTCGTCTTTTATGATAATTGTCTTGAAAATATTTCAAGCAAGCATGAAAGTGCAAAGTACGTGCGATATCGTCAATACGTAGAGGATCGAAAAATTTCCGATAAATCTCTTTTAATCGATGAATATGTGTGTAAAAATGTGAGTAAAACGTTATAAAATCGAAGGTCAAATATAAGCACAATTGACAGGAGAAACACTTTTTGGCGAATAAACTAATATTTATCGAGCAAACACCGAACAACCGTTCGAAGAAACATACCACACGATAATGGCAATAAAAAAGTTGATGCGAGCAAGACGATGCATCTAATTTCTAATTGTAGAGATAACTTTTAATTCATTTGAGAAGGTAATACATAATTTACTCATTTATTCTTTGATTCATCTTCTATTCAACAGATTGATTTTATCTGTTATACTCGATGTCGATCGTAAATTCAATGCCGATAATTATACTCTATTATGATCCTAATAACTCTTTATTCTTTTGTACTAAAAGAATATTACACTTGCTTGATCAGCGAATTCATTTACATATTTTTTTTTAATTAAAAAGTGTCAGATAATAAATTGATTAATTTTTATTTTATTGAAATACCATTAAATAATGACTTTCTTATTATCGATAAGGTAGATTATTTTTTTGTATGATAAGGTAGAGAACATAATTATCGACAATCATTAATGAGATAAACGCCTTAACGGCGGCAACCAGATATACTCGAGAGTATTCAAAATCTATGTACATAAAAAAACTCGTGATGCAATCTAACGTCTTTCTATTACTATTATGTAAGAAATTTGAATGTAGTAATAGAAGAATAGTAGAGATGCGTGCAAAGTTCGATGTATTTTTCTTTTCTTTCGATAAGATTGAATGGTCGACAAAAAAATGTAAGTGTGCAGCATGATTCGCGTGTATGTAGTCAAGATGCACGATGCATCTACATGCACGTATATACTTTAAGTATGTATATTGAGACAAAATCAAGTGGTTCTATATACATCGAGTAGGTACATCGTTGCACAAGAGGAGAACTTTAGTTTCGCTCCAGTCGAATCTTATCGCGCGTTCTGTTAGCATCACGTGAATTTAAAGCTACGCTCAAACGGAAGCATTTGAATATTTTGACAAATATAAAATACGAGTACAATATTCTCGGGTAGCAATTCATCGGGAAGAGAGAGAGAGAGAGAGAGAGAGAAGGAGATTTGAATTTGTTAGTTTTACAAACAATAGATCTAAACGTGGTTGTAAATTTTGAAAGAAAAAAAGACAAATAATCGTTGCATAATGATTCGAAGAAGAATCGACGGTAAATTCATTGTTTTTTTCCATTTATTTCATGACTGATTTTTGAATAACTTTATTTTAAATCGTTTTCGAAAATATCGTTAAGAAATATTTGACATTGCAGTAAGCTTGACTTAAAAACATGAGAAACGTTTGATGACGTAAGATCAAAAAAAGAGTTAAATGACAATATCGTTTAGAACGTTTAGATCGTGTTAAGAGATCGTCGTTAAAGCTAAAAATAAAAGGAAGATAAAGAAGCGAAAGAAGAGGAGCAAAGGAAGTAGATGGTCGCGGCGCGTAAAATTTAAACTTGCAATTAGTGAAATCAATCGAAATCGGTTTGCAATGGTTTTTTCATTGAAAAGTGGAGCAATATAAAGATAACCGTTTATACGGTACTTTCTACCGCGTACTTGTTATCTTTTACCAGATGTGATACTTTCGAAAGGAAGAATGAAAAATGAAACGATATTTTATTAGCTTCCAGTCGAATAGTCCCTTTGTTTTTTTTAACGTCTTATTAAAAAACATTTATTGCAGATTACTAAGATATTGTATCGAACGATTATTTCGTCAAGAATCTACAAAATAAATAGGTTACCAAACGTCCGAATATAAATTGTATATTTAAATGAAAAAACAAAGAGAAACAAATCGATATTTCCGAGACAACGATGAATTTTGACTTTGAACGGCGGATCCGTATTTATTTATCGTTATTATCGGTTACATCTGATATAACTCGATTTAATCGTGAATCTCTTTTTTTTAATTTTCTTTCTCTCTCTCTCTCTCTCTCTCTCTCTCTCTCTCTCTCTGTCGCTCTTTATTGGATCGAGAAAAAGCGAAGAACCGACAGTCCGTGAAGATACGCGTAGCCGTGTGGCACACACAGCACTTCATATTCTCGCTTACTTTAAGTACTTACAAATATAACTCTATTGCGATAGAAATCGTTATTTTTTTATAAATATACATATGTATATTTATTTTTTTTTACTTTTCAATGAATTATGGTGTTTTCTCGTAACGCATAAAACGCATTTAACTAAACGTACCATCAATTAAATAACGTAAATACATTTTGACGAGAATAATGATCGTGTCACCGAGCGTAAGTTTAGTAGCAGCCGGAGTGGCTTCTGGCCTTTGCTTTATCCTCTTCAGTACATTGCGAAAAGGGTAAGTTAAGAAGAAAGAAAAGAAAAGAAAAGAAAAAACAAAACAAAAAAAAACCATAAAAATTGTAAAGAAATATTATCCTATTTACTTATTCATAAGTTGCATTAGTGTAGAATTGCGCAAAGTTACGCCGACGAAAGGAGTCATCTTTACCGCCAACGTAATTACACAATTTGAAATGTTAATGAGATTGGCATAGAGTGGCATGATCAAAGTAGGTCGATTATTCGAGACATGTTGATCGTGACCCCGTTAAAAGCCAATTTCTATCGATTTCATGCGTTTTCCCATAAAGAAAGATACACAACGGTTAAGACTTTCCACCGTTCGAGACGATAGATCAATTTTATTTCAAACCAGTTATATCAAACAAATGATGAAAAAAAACTCCTTAATGGAAACTAATATCTCAATTATCGTATCGCTTAGATACGATAATAAAAATAAAAGAAAAAAAAAACAACAATGTTGATACGTCAAATATAGATTTGTTTTTTTAGCGAGGGAAAAAAGAAAAGAAAAAAGTGAAGTAGGATCGAATTAGTTGGAAGAAGGCTAAATGATTATCTAAGTTTAATCGTCAAAAGGATGACTCAGGTTAATAATAAAATAGTATATATATATATATATATATCTCTTAATGGCAAGATAAGGTAACTTATTATTGTCTAAGGAGGAAACAATGTGAGGTATGTAATTGTAGGAAGAATGTGTCATGGCGTTTTGGGTGCGCATCGTTTCACGTGCCGTGGAAGAAAAGTTTTACACGTCATTACGAGTCCATGGTCAAAGTAGTCCGGGCAAAGGCCCCGCGAGAAGAATCTTCGGCCGTTATGACCCGCGAGCCAGGCCTGAATCTCTCTCTCTCTCTCTATATAATAATATATATACATACATATGAACGTATAGGTACACCTACATATAGAACGCAACTTTGGTATGCAGGACTTGTTTTTATTTACTCTCTCCCGTTCTGACCAGTCCGGCAAGTGTCGATCCACATTCTCTCTCTCTCTCTCTCTCTCTCGCTCTCTCGCTCTCTCGCTCTCTCGCTCTCTCGCTCTCTCTCTTCTTTCTCCTGCGCCAAAGTAAATTACGTTTTGCCGATTTCCTTCGTGGTCCGAGCGAGCCACCAAGGAAAATAAAAAGAAGAAAAAGAAAAAAACAAATGGCGACCTCAAAAATTGTTCGCCAGACGCGCCAAGGGCATCCTCCTCCTTTCTGCAATCTTCTTACTTCTCTCTTTTACTCTAAAGTCAATATTTCCTTCCATTTGGAAGAAAAATATTTCTAATAATGTTGTGATTTGTGTGAAAAACGAATGATCTCACCTTATCCGTATCTATTCCTAATTCCATCGTTGATTGTCACGGCTAACCCGATACAAATATTTAACGTTGTTGACTTGAAGTGCATACAAATTTAAAATTATTCTTATTATCAGTTATTATTATTATTAATTATTAGTTATTATAGAAATTTGTTAACTATTTGTAATCTTTTTAATGCCTTGTTTCTTGTAATCTAATGTATTTCCAATATAACAAACTCTTGTCTATTTCATACACAACCTTGCGCTAGTAGACGAATATAACGACTGACTTTTTCACTTAATCGTAGTAGGAAGATACTCATTTGTCTTGAAAATCGCAAAATCGGTCGGACAAGGTCAGTTTGGTCAGCTGGTGCAATTACTATTTTAGATATCATGCAAACTAACAAGCTTTAACGCATTTATAAGTAACAAAAAGTAACAAAAACCTGATGCATTCTGTAATATTTTATTTTTGTAGGAATTTTTTTAATTTCAATGTCATTCACGCTAATGCTATTAACTGTCATATATTATATTTTGTTTTTTATCATTATTTTTAGCTGTCAGTTAAAATACATATTACTAACTAAAAAAGAAACAAATGAATACAAGTTAATAATATATAATTCATTAAAAGAATAATTCAGTAATAAGCAAAGTAAAGTGGGTTATAGTAATAGAGTGCGATAATAATCGAGAGCGAGGAAGAACGCGGAAACCATTGACTATGCAAGTATATATATATATATACATACGTAAATAATTCCTATTTTGTTTCTTTTTATTTTCTTCTTCTCGATCGCACGGCCTTACGGTTCTTTGGCTATTCATGCGTGTCACTCGTGCAACTCCGTGTAGTTACAAGCATGGTTGTTACTACTCCTATGAACGCGTGCTGTTCGCGTGAATGTTTTTCTGATACTTTTTTTTTACCTTGGACAGCTATAAATATATACACCCCTGTTATTCCTTATTTACAGGGTGGACCATTCATTTTTCCTTTTATTTGATACAGGTTTGCTATAGGTAGTATAGTATCAAGTAATATTTGTTCATTTGTTTACTGCTCCGCGGAGGCAGGAAACGTGGTGGTAACGCATTAGTGATGCCATGCGTTGACCCTGCTTGGTTCAATAACTTTGATAACAGGGCAAAGAGAGTAAGAGAAATAAAAAAGGAGAGGGAAGACATTATTAGGATGCACAAGGTGGGCCGCCGCCGAGTCATAAAGACACCAAAGTCGTTAATGGTAAAACATCGTTACACAATGGACGGTATATCAAACCATATTAAACAATGGCGTCGCTGACCCACCGTGTAGGGAGACCGGAAACGAGGAGGAACCGAACGGGGATTCGAACACAACGGCTCAACGGCTCTTTCATTGTTGAAATGTTAGTTTGTCCTGACGAGTAGTCGTCAGTCAACCACCGCATTTCATAGTGCAACGTGCCGTGAGACTTATACTTATTTTTCTATTATTCATTCCTTCTATCTTAATGCAAGATAACAGTAGTACTATGAAGTTGTTGTCGTCGAGTTTGTCAGGAAGTTGCTTCAATTTTTGTATATTTTTTTGAGACCAATTGACAATTAGTATCGTTAGAGAAGATGACAGTAAAGATCGATGATGCTTTTCTCGTATTTTTATATTGCTGATAGAATTGAAAATAATTAGCCGCATTGTGAATACGAGATTCTTCATGAGACCGGGAGAGGCAAAGCGATTAGTCAAAATATTTCTTTTAAATACCATTCTCTGCAGAAAAAAGCAAGACAAACGGTAAGATTTTCAATTTATCTTTCATCTTGTCATCACTCTCGCTCTCGCTCTCGCTAACAATCAATTTGTCGTTTAAAACGTATATCTTTCGGAGAAAAAGAAACATAACGGAGCTACGATCAATTTAATTGAAATCATGGATTCGTTACGTGACTATAACTGAAAGAACCTGCAAGGGAAGTATTCTTACGTAATTGGAAAGTTATACGCCATGCTGATATAACTTGTTGCGTTGTTCTTTTCATTTTAAATACGTGTTTATATACTGATATACAATAATCGTATATATATATATATAACAATTATGATAATTAATTCAAACTTTCGTTCGAGCGATATGAGTTTTGAAATTGAAAATCATAAAAATAAAAAATCCAGTAATGTCGACTCGTCAACTCTCGCGCTTAGCATTCCTCCCCATCGTCATGTGGATCCAATCAATTATTAATATTACCAAATAAACAGCGATCGTCGTAATTTACCAGTCCACACATTCAAAACTACTATTTATATAATTTTCGGTACGATACTGTGATATTACTCGACGAATCGAGAAAGAAAACATACAGAGAGAGGGAGAGATGAAGAAGAATGAGAATTTTGGAGAGTACTCGAAAGGAGTCACGGGCAAATGATTGGATTGGTCCAACCGAAGTTCAGTGAAAGTAAAACGTTAATCCCTGAAACGTGTTGTGTTATGTAGAGGATTGGTAGTGTATCGAGTTGCTCGAATACATTCCGTTAACTCCTACCATTGAAAAAATTCCGTGCATAAGCGAACGGAGTAGCAGCAGCAGCAACAGCAGCAACAGCAGCAACAGCAGCAGCAACAGCAACAGCAGCAGCAGACAGAGAGAGAGAGAGACCACTGCGAGTTTCCCCGAGCAAAGCCACTGTCACTTTCAAACCGACGCTTCGCCACAAAGGACGGATATTCGTGTCGATCCGAGTCCCGAGTTGAGTCAAATCGAACGAACGAACGAACGAACGAACGGTTATTTAACAAGGATGCACGCGCCGACGATCCTTTACGAGATTTTCTACTTTAAGGAGAACAACAACGAAAAAGAACTATTATTTATTCATTTCTCCTTATACTAACATAAACGATCCAGTTATTATATCAATGGCACCTACCAATAATAATAATAATAATCATTATTATTATTATTATTATTATTATTATTTAGCACAAAATTTACATTTATATCGGTCATCCCTTTTTTATTTTCTTTTTTTATGAAATCGTGGATCGATCGAGTTCATTGGTAATTTTGTTGTTGCCGGATAATCGAATGTTGTGTGTGGTGTGTGTCAACGTTGTTCCTAAGAGAAGACAAAACTTAAAGGGAGGACCTAACAGGATAAAGGATTTATTGCTACTACTTACGTTGAATATTGCAGAAGATCGAAAATAACATTTGACTCAAACGATATTCTCTTGGTTGAAGTTTCTCGAGCGAAAGTCTTATAAGCTGCTTCTCGCATGTTTATATATCTATACATGCTATGCTATGTTATTCAGTTACGGTGGACGGTTTGTACACGTTACCACTGTCAAATTTCAACGAGGTACATCAACGTCTTTCAAAAACCATTCTAGAAAGTTATCAAAAGTGCAACAATATTATCATATTTTTATTCATCCGAAGAAGGATTATTTGTTTGAAAAAGAAGAGAAAGAATCATTACGCCAACAAGTGAAAGAACCATTTAAGGAATGGATATGAAACAACAAAATATTATTTGAACATGCTATAGGCTGTGTTATAGAAATAGATTATTTTTGTAACGAACATATACAGTGCGTAGTTGCGTAAGCGATCGTTTACGTAACTCGTAGGTGAGATTTTTCATAGTTATTTCTCCGATAAGGATTATCGAAACAATTGGATTATTAAAAAAAAAAAAGAAAAAAAAAAAAGAAAAAATCCAAATTGTTCACTTGCCAAAAATCCAATAGTCCACTTGGCAACCATTGAAGAATATAGTTATAGAAGTTCTGTAACCAAATGAGAATGCTTATTACCGGTTTGATCGACTACTGGCACGTGACGAGCGTGAAAGGAATCATTAGAAAAAGATTTCAAGTATAATAGTACCTTTGATCTTAAGAAGATATACGAGTTTGAAGGGAAGAATTATGTTGGTCTGCGTCTCCACTATAATCTCAACTGTCTTCCTCGAAGGTGACAAGATTATTTCGGGTCAAGAGAAATATAATATGGCCACTTTTATGGTACTTTTCCTTTTGATAACCATTGAAGTTGTCGTGGTGAAGATTATAACATCGTACATGGAAAGGGATGAAGACAGTTTCTCCGGGCTTACGGCGGACTTAATTTTTTTTGATGATAATTTTGATCCTAACGATACTTCCTATCGTTTTTGACTCTTTCTACGTGTCTTTTGATGAAAAATATCAACTTGACGCTTTTCAACTAAATTATCGAGAGAATGTTGTAAGATATTTCAATGGAAGATTGCGATATATGAGTGCTAAGTCTGCAGATTTGTTTCTTCTTCATAAACATGCGATTCCAAAATTGAACCATTAGCGATGTGGTTTAAGACATTTTGTATTTTTCAAAGATTTCTTTTCAATGATTTATTATAATTTGAATTTATTGTAATTAACGTAAATATAATTATTGTCGAAATTAGATTAATTGCATTGTATTATATGAAATATTTTCCCATTGAATTCTTTATTAATTGGATTGATTTTTCAAAGATACGACAGAAACAGCGCACACATGTTAAATTAAGACGAATCAATAAATTAGTATACAATAGTCAGGAAATATTTGAACGTAAAGGGAAAAAGGAAATGACGAAAATAAGAAGGCGTCTTTTAGGAGATCGTACTCGCGATACGATGTCAAGTTTTCATTTCGATGCCATACGTATCGCAGTACTTGATGTTACGTGACCGTTCATTGTAAGCGTATTATGTGGATTGCATCTTATATTCGAAAGGTCAATAGCTATATTTTTCCATTCGTTTAGCAAGTAGGTAGGAAACTTTGCGATGTAGTTAGTCGTTCGAGTTAAACAATGCAATTGTAACAATAAATAGAGCTTGGAACTTTCAAATATTGTCATCTCTGATTGTTATTTTGAAATAAATCAAATACAAAAAAAAAAAAAAAATACGAAATTATAAAAAGAAGAAGAAGAAGAGAAAAAAAACAGGAAAATTATTTGTTGAAAAATGTAGAAAATTATTCCATTACCCGTTCTCCCGTAATCATTCCTTGAGAAAGTGAGTAAATATAGCATAAGTTAGCGAACGCGTATCAATGACCGATGAACGATGCTTTCAGGAAAGAAGCAGACACTCGAAGAAAAAGGAAAGAGATCGTCGTTACTGACGACGGTCGTTGCGCTTGCTGTTTCAAACCATTCTTGATCGGACGCGGTGTGAGTTGCAACGATTGTGGCCTCAGATCCTGCAGAAAAGTTTGTTCCCGTTGGGACTGCGAAGACAACGCCTGGCATTGTCTCTTCTGCCATCAGCAAAGGTTTTCACCTACTTGATAGTCTATCCTTTATTTCTTTAAAACGTACAACGATGCAAGCCAATATTTACTAAAAATACATCAATTCGTGCGTCTTGTCCCATTCACTTTACGAAGAATACGGTACTTCTTGACAAGCTACCAGAAAAGGATGGTGGTGTTGCATTGAGCAAGAAAAAATGTATCCCAAGATAAAAGAAGTAAGACAGTAGCCAATTAGATTCACTCGCTCGCAAGAAAATTCGTTACTTTCGCAGCAGGTCATCACCATCATCATCAACGTCGCCACCACCACCACCATCACCACCACCATCACCACCACCAACGAAGAATCGTTCCCGAAGATCTTCCCGCTAACGAGATCATTTCTTTTGCAAATCTTTTTACCATATCCGTTGTACAAATCTCTTTACGTACGAATGACGACGATCTTTCTCAATGAACGTTTTTTAGGTCGTGGGCGAGAAAGAAGGAAAAGTGGTTCGAAACATTTGGCGGTACGTTTACAGAAGAGGAATTACATCGTTACTTCGATACGGCTAAATCTCGTGTCTATGTCGAAGGTTTGTATTATTTTCATGATTATTATTTTTTATTTCAATTCAAATAATCCTTAGAAAATCGAAATTCGTGCGTGTTTCATCATCTTTCTCTCTCTCTCCCTCTCTCAGAAAAATCATTTATTTGAGAATAAGAGTTCGCTCGCGTGCAGAAAATACTTAAATACATCGTGTAAAAAGTCTAATGATCTTCTCCCTCTGTTAAAGGTAGACTAATTGTAAGTAGTAAGTATTACGTGTAACACGAGCATGAAATAATTTTGTCCACGCGTAATCATGCGTGTACGAGCAAACGAGCAAACGAGCAAACGTTTTATCGGTCAATAGCATTTCCACTTTCGATCGAACGATCAAGGATTCTTTCAAGCATGGACAGGAAAAAAAAATCATTAATTGGATCGAATTACAGGTGTTGGAACATAGCGCGAGAAACTTGACGAATAAACCCTTTCGATACGGCTACGTCGTTAGGAATGAAAAATGTTCTCTCCTCTTAGGGCTGTTCTTGAAAAATGCGAGCTCAACAATTTATCGTGATATTAAGAAATGTTGAGTTAAGCGCCAATTCCTAAGTCATTCTTATTCGTTGTCCTTGTTCGAGAATGAAAAAAAAAAAAAAAAAAAAAAAAAAGACAAAAATTATCTAACGGAAGAGGAACAATGAAGATAGATAGGTCAAAAAATATCTCACGGTAAATTGTCGGCAACGTGCATTGTTTCGATGCACTCCGAACGCGATCTTAGATCGGTGAATCGTATCAAAATGTTTGATCAGGAACACCGAGAGACTACAAGATATCTCGTAAGTATTTACCTACGTAATGCACCAAAGTTAGCAGGATTGTAAAAGCTTCTTTTTCTCTAATTCGTCAAAAAGGAGAATTACGTAGGTAGGAAAAAGAAAATGGAAGAGGAAAATAAAAGCTAACAGGATGAGAGATCGTTTGCGGCGATGTGACCCAAAGACGTGGCATCCTTTCTCTCAAAAGTAACGCGGCCGATGATTATCATCATAGAATTGTATAGGAAGAAACAATCTAAAAAAGATTGAACGAACCTGAATCCGGATTTGGTAGCGATCCAAATTGCTGACTCTTTTCCAACGTTGTTTGTTCCAAGTTTTCTCGAGCATCCTTTCTTCCCCCTGCCAAAATAGGAATCTCCTAGGAATAAAACAAACCAAATGATCTTATTATCTTTTTCAAGTCAACAATTTTATCAGATAAAAAAAGTGTCATGCGCGCGTTCTTTATCATAATTTAACAAGTACTATATTTGAAAAGCTCAATATTACTAGTAAGACGCGGCAATCCAGGTGTTTTTTTTTTTTTTTTTTGAAATAATATGTAATAGCTATTTTTTTTTTTTTTTTTTTTCTAGAAATAATACTTACGACTAAATTGAGGGAAATTATGTTTCGTTTTTGAATTTGATGAATAGGAGGACGCGTTGATAAAATAAAAGAGAAAAAAAATAGACACGTAACTGGCGAAGAACGCACGCGCAAGAATAAACATATAGCTAGTTAGTATTGCTAGCTGTGATACGTACGCATACTAACGTAAGAAGACGCTTTTGCGTGTAGTTCTATACAGAAAGGCACGTTCCTCTTCCTCCCGTTTGTCCTCCCCAGCACAAGGTGGTGAACCTCAGTTCTGCTCCAGTACTCTTGGAAGCAACGTCGCGCATTTCCTCCTCTCTTCTCGCGACCTTTCTCCGAGTGATTCGTTCCTCCGTTATTCGCATACTTTCAGATAAAACCTCCTCCTCCTCCTCCTCCACCTCTCCTCCTTCACCTTGTCTCTTAGTTATTATCATCATCATTATCTATGAAAATAAGAAATGTTTAACGAATAGATTGAAAAAGTTTCTACTCCAACTTTGAACAAAATTGATAGCACCTTGTTTTCTTTCAACATTTTGTCATTGATCGCGAGTGAATAATCATTTGCCATACAAAGGAATACGATGCAATCAATAATTTGATAATAATATGGGACTAGTGGAAAAAAAAAAATTAAGAAAAAAATCAAAAAAAGGGAAGAGACTATTGTAAATCACAAAAGTGTTTTAAAGCAATTATCGGCGAACCGGAAAATCTGCTCTCGTTAAATGTAAATCATTCGAACGACGTACGACGTACGACGTACGACGAGTTAATCATAGACATAGTCGGTTTGCGGTGTGAGCGAGTAATTAAAATTGAGTGAGATTGTGTTAACGAGAGATAATGTTATTGACGAATAAATATACAAAAGGATTGCAGATTTGTGAGAGAAAGTGAGGAAGAACTCTAAAAATGAAACGAAAGAATACGTTTGCTGCTTGAAAGGAGAAATATTGAAATGCGCGCGCAAACCTGTTTACAGACGATTGCAAATTTCAATGAAAATAAAAGGAAACAAATATGCGTAGTACCTTTCCGCAAAAAAGGACAAACTTTCAACGACGAAATACCTTCTCGTTAAGTTAGTATTATAGAATTGTTTCATTATTTTATATTGGTTACTTAAAAGAAAGGACCAAAAAAATGATGAATTGAATTGAATAGGAAAAAGATAGTAAACAACAACTATCCCGCATGCTTATTTTGCAGACAGGGCGATAACAGCAACGCACTACTGCTAGCCAAAGCGGTGGTGTTCGCTAACAGTTTTGCGGTCGCAAAAGCGACGCAAAAGCGACGCAAAAGCGACGCAAAAGAAGATGGAAAAAGAAACGTGTGGTTAATCTTTAATGCTTGTCGATACTTTCGTTTAGAAAGCTGTACCAGCAGATGGTTCTTTAGACAGTATACTTGTAATACATTACCGGTTCATCATTCGTTCATCATTTCCAATTTCTTATCAACCTCTCCAATCTAAATTATTATATAATCTATAATCGAACGATAGGGTTAATAGCATTATTTTCTTTGCTTGCACGCTACTGCTTTTATTTTTCTTTTTTTCTTTTTTTCTTTTTTTCTTTTTTACATCTTACAGAGCTACGAATTTGTTCTCGCGCGCGTGTCCGTGTTTGTGTGTAATTATAATTGAAAATCTATTCAAATTGTTGTAATATTATTTGTGGATTTAGAAAGTTCATACACGCGAAGTGATAATTGTTATCTACAGGAGTTGAAAATGCAGCTACTGGTTCGGGTTTGGACCTGGCCGCGGGTGGTCAAGAAGACGCGAACACGATGGAAACCGTTAGAGTCTTTATAGAAAAAATCATCGAAGATCTGATTGGCAACGTGGATGACGCATCTATCGCACGTCTCTACGATCATCCAGAATGTAAGTAACCAAACATATTTTTCTTCTGTATACAGCTACTTGTTGTAAGTTTCTTATATTTTGTTTAATTTTTTCAAATGGATACTAAACGAGCTTGATTACCGTTTCGTGCTGCCACCTGTAAGCAAAGTTTCCAGATAGAAATATGTAAGACGTACCTGCTTTTTTACCTTTCCAATCAAAGCTCTAAGATCAACGTTTCATTCATCGTGATTGGTTAAATACTCACCAAATTCTATCCCGCTAATATTTTGGAAATTTGAAAGACCACGTTTCGATTATTCACGTTCAATAGCTACATTTTTGTTTTTATTTAAATGATCATCATCGTCGCTCTTTTTTCATTATCTTCAAGTAAATTTGGTATAAATATTAAATTATTTGAATAATCAGTAACACACGAGTATCTACATATATAACATGAAAAAGTACATTTTCCTAAAATTCGACCGATTATTTTTCAGTCAAAATCAAAAAATAGTATCGTTAAATTTCATTATCGTTTAGAATAATTTTCTAATTAAAACACTATAACACATTACAATATTATAGATCAATACTACCGCCAGATGGTATTGTATTAGCAAAGATATTTGTCATGCTCGAACAGGTAGTATTAAATAATAATTACGGCAAAGTGGTGCATAAATTATAATAGTATTACGATAGCAATTAAAGAAGAATATCGACATCTACATATTTCAAGTAATAATATCATTAACTCGAACAAGAAATCACGTTTTAATTGGTACAACAACACTCACCTGCTATATTCCTATTTAATTTTAACAAGTCAATAATTGTAATAATCATCATCGCTAACATTTATATTAACTGCATCGCTAACGCATATTAACAGATGACAGGCTTTTGGCAACGTACAGCGTACAATTGGCCGATGCTCTGACACGATTGGCAGTCTCCGTGCATCTCAATATTTCCAGTAAGTAATAGAAATAATCCATAAATATATAACATGTATTATACAAATTTCATTCGCGATTGAATTAATTGTTTAATGCTAATCGTATAATTCTGATTTTGACATCATTCGCACGATGTATTGTGGTATTGAACGAACAGAACAACTGCAATGGCGGACATTTTTCTTTTTTCCTTTATAACCGACGAGCTGCAATTCAATTATGTTAGAACATCCTACTATCTTACAGAGTTAGAAGTATATATGTATAAAATTACATAAATGGTATAAAGAGAGAGATGGAGGTAGAAAAAAATCTTACTTCTTGTTCAAGTTGTCTTAAAACGACGATTACATTATTGAAAATTATTAAAAATTACTGCTTATTATATTAAATGTTTAATTTAGAATCGTTGAAATATTAAATCTACGTGTTTAAGTCAAGATGGACGAACTGTAACTGTTTCGAATATTTACAACCCGAAAGAAAAAACGTTATCTTACAAAAGGACGGTTTTTGTTTCCTTATAATATAAAATATAATTATAATGTGCTGTATAAAATATAATGTGCTGTATATATGCTAATGTGTATTTATCCGAATAACGCTTTTTTTTCTTTGGTAATGTTTTCTATGGTTTCGCGCGTACTACTTTTATATACCCTTATATATCCGATTATCTGTCTAAGCAACTGTTCCCATTTTTTCTTTTCTTTCTCGAGGTAATAAATCGATAGGTATAATTATTCCATATAACGTAAGTCCCATTTCGAATTATGAACGAAGCTTAATCGTTAATCGCAAAGTTTATAAAACGAATCTGTACAAATAATACTGTATATTGTTTTTCTTGACTCGAGGTAGACGATACGTATTCACGATACAGGTATAAGTAAGCAAGTAAGACGTGATATGTTCTTATCGAAATATCAAGACCATGTTTCAGGTATTTTATTATTAGAAATGTTCAAAGTGAGAAAGAGAAATGAGAGAAAGAGAAAGAATGACGCATTTATATACGATATACGTAAGCGTACATTAAAACGTCATTTCCCTTTGACTACGTAATGGCTCATATCAATAATCATTGATCAAAAATACCTACTTGCAATTGTTTGCTTTCTACGAGATGATAAATGAAAGAATAAAATATTCTTATTAGTTGTATTCTAATATGTTATTATAAATACTAATGAAAAAAACGTATTAAATTATTGACCCAATAAATAAGCAATATCATTAGATATTTAATCGTAAATAGTAATGAAGAAAAATGTATAAAAAAAAGTAGCGATCCGATAAAGAAATAGAATTGATTAGAAAGGTATTAGAAAGGCCATAGATTTATATGAATGTGTAAAGGCAAATGTATGTCGTCTCCTTTTCATGAAGTATTTTTCGTTGAAACGAGTGTTCTGACGCATTTGCGTATAGAGAAAAAGCAAAAAAACAACAAATGGAAATAAAAAGTTGGGCGCGAATTTAGAAAACGCAGCAGCAGCAGCAGCAACTCTTTCAAAAAAAAAAAAAAAAAAAAAAAAAAAAAAAAAAAAAANTTCTTCTCTTCTCCCCACTAATGTAAAAGGAAGCCGTACGGAAGAAGGCGTCGCATGTGGGGTATTCGTCGTCGTTCGCGTATCACGTCGTTGCTTTGCCAAAGTCTCAAAGCACAATCAGTCGCTCGGTAGCAAGAAACCTTTACGTTTGTCTCGCGAGTTTAAATCTAAATAATCTTTCATCTTATTTTTCTAACGAAAATCGACATCTCATTTTATCATTCGAATTTCTTTTTCAAAGCTTTTTTCTTTTCTTTCTGACTATTACCTAACTACCTGACAGTGGAATTTTGAAAGGTGACGTTTAGTGTGATTTAAACAAAAGTAACAGTTATTATTCGAATTAAATTATTGTCTTTTAATAACCTGCCAATGAGGAATCGGAATATGAAAAGTATAGATTTCTATACTCTTATGTTAGTTAGACTGACATAAGAACATTCTTTTTCCATTGAAAGAAGAAACGAAAGTTATAAGTACGGGCATCTTGAGAGAAAGAAAATATTTAACTTGACTCGATTGTTTAAATTCTCAGAAAAAGTTTCTACGAGATTATTTTCTATCTCTTTTTGGAGATAAACGTTTTATTTGTCGTGTTTTACAAAAGAAATCATTATACTTTGGCCGACCGGCCGGCTGGTACTCTTGTGAACATTAATTATTCTCATGATTATTATAATCGTGTCCGATAGATGAGCGTATCATTGATAAACGATCATTTCTACAAGGATCATTAAAAGACAAACATCGTGAAGATTTTAATATCAAGGTTGAGACCTTCCAATGAGATAATAGAAACTCATTGAATATTGTTTTTTTTTTTATGTTCTTTTTTCTAGATAAAACGCTCGGATCTATTCAAAGTAATTAATTTTTTTTTTTTGCTTATTGCACGAGAAAAATAATAAAAGATGTGTTTAAAGGTCGAGGAAGTAACATTCGAATGAGAGTTTAAAGATTGTTCTTAAACACGTATTACGATCGTGTTGCAATAGAATTATTTGAAATACCACGTACCCCTAAGACAAATTTCGTTGGTTATTTTTTTCTTTTTCAAATTGATTAAACTTTCGTACGTTATTTCGATGAGTTTCTAATTAACGTTAGGTGCTTATTTGTAACGATAAAGAAAAAGTAATAAAGTTTGAAACGAGCAGGTAACTACAAGAGATTCTCTTTTTTCCATTTAAACGAGATTATCGTAAGAACCTTTCATTAATTTCGATCCTGAGAATTGAGAAAGTCATAGAACCGAGTTAACTTCTTTTCTAATGGGATTGAAAATATTCTCCGAAGAATGGTCGCGTGTACAAACGTAAGACATTGTTCGAAAATACGAATCGTTTATTACGTTTACTTGTGTACATTGAACGTGCCTTTGATAATCACTATGAGATAGTACGTTAATCGGCTCGAAATATTATCAGAAGAAATTGACGAAGCGAGTTAATATAATACGATTAAATAAATGGAATATAAGCACGGACGTGATTCAAACACGATTTTCTTTTCCACGTGTGTGGCAGCGTTATTTTTTATTTTATTTTATTTTTTTTTTACTTTGTTTTTATAAATAATTTCATTCGAATAAAATTGTTCTTACTTGACGTGTATCATTTTATTTAGGCAGGACATGTTAGTTGCCATCGAATTTACGTGATCGATAATAAATAGACTCGACAAACTCTTTGGGAGAACAACAAAATATAAGAAAACAAATATGAGAGAGTGAAACAAACAAAAAAAAAGAGCAGTGAAAAAACTCTAATGTTGTATTTATCAATGTGTAATGTGACGTGAAAGTTTACGTCAAATGTTGGAAATAATAGGAGAGATGTGGACCCTTTTCTGTGGACTAATCATCCTTTACATCATCTACGTCCTGATCACTCTCAAAAGAAATGGTAAATAAATAAATGAATTAAAATAAATGTTTGTAGAATTTTTCAAAAATATTACGAGCGAGCGAACGAACGAACGAACGTTTCCTTTCCGCGCCTGTAATATGCTTGCTTATTTTTATCGCAAGCGATTATACATATGTAATACATAAATCGTTACATACGAATAGCTCACATATCCTTGGCACCGTTCACCTTCTTGACATATTACTATTTGTACCAACAATTTCGCGAAAAGAAAAACCTCATCGTTTATATTATAACTTTGCTTTTTATTCATAGTCGCTTTTTTTTTAATTTAACATTTAACTTCTTGTTGTTTTACTTTGTACATGTAAACGCCAGTAAACATCATTTTTCATACAAGTTTTTATGTTCTCTTTTTTCTCAAGAAATTCATCACGTTCGAGTATTACCGTTTAAAAATTGATAAGTTGTGATACTCGAACGTTTAATCTAAAATCAATTCTCTTGAATTACTCTAGGATTAAATATAGGAAGTTATTCTATATATTAAATATAGGTTTTACTACGAATGTACGTTAGTCTAGATGATTATAGTAAGTTTTGTTATCGTTATCGATAAACGATTCGTCGTAATCGACACCGCGAGCACTTAACAAAACGCTCGTAATGTTAGCAACGGTTACAATACTATCCAAGCTTATCTCACGACTCGATCCATGAACAATGTTATCATTGAAGAAACTTTGGCCGTGGCATCTTTCGTAATTAACTGTCGTTATACTTCTTATCCGAGTGTATAATAAACGTAAGCGGTCAAAGGGACGAACGTCCAAGAAAAAATGCTTTATTATCTTTCATTTTTTTCCTTTCATCCACCTGGAATGTTCGACCTACTCGACCCTACTCCCTATCCTACCCCCCCCCCCTTATTTTACCTTCTCGTTTAAAACTAGTTCAGAGTAACATTTTCGCATTCCGATGGTTAATTTATCGCGTGAAATCGTTAACACGGGATGGGTGGAGAAAGAGAAAGAGAAAGAGAGAGAGAGAGAGAGGAAAAAAAAGAAAGAACGACATTATTCTCTTTTATACAACGGTTCGCAATTTCCGTTGGCCTGCTTCTCTTCAAGTTCAAATGTGAATTCGTCGTCGAATGATGCCTGTTGTTTCATTTTAGAAAAATTTGTCGATTCAAAGTAACGAACGAATACGAAGTATCGTAGAAATCATTCTCGTTAGATCATTACGTACATACATATAATATAATTCAATAATCACTCTGATACTGTTACATCATCGGGTTACGTTTCGTATAACATTAAGCTGGGGAGGTATTTAAAGTAAATTAAAATGAATTTCAGAATGACTTCTAAGTGAGTTTTCTCTTTTTTTCTTTTTTCACTTGGGTTCACTCCTTTAATTTATTTTCATTGCAAGAAAGGTGCAATTATGTTTCTTGCGACGCATCCTTCCCTGTAAACGTCAAGTATCAAAAGGAGGAACGTCGTCTCGGTTTCATTTAATATGATATTTCATCATGAAATATTACGTTTGTTCAATCTTATTTTCTTATTCTTTCAAATGAAAAACGTTCATTATTATACTTGATTACTTTGGTATACACGGCCCCGTAGAAGAATTAATTAAACAAACAGGATAATAAAAGGAAACATATTTCTATGCAAATTCGATTGGATCACGATGATTCACATCAACGATAGACGACGTCCTTTTATTACAATCGAGTCGTATCTATCTTTTTAAAGATGATTAAATAGAAAAGGATTATTATGCTATGGGATGGTACTTTCCACGTTTATGTTTGTTTCCTTGCAAAGAGAGAAAAGCCAAGACAATTGACGACGTAGTTAGTATTATACGAAGAAACACGTACCGTTTAATTACAATTCCCCCACGAACGATTGCTTCTAACAAGGAAAGTAAAAGTTACATAGCTAATTGAAGGATATATCAAATAATTTTTTTCATATGAGTCTATCTATCTAAAATATAAATAATCACGAAGAAGAAGACGAAGAAGAAGGACGAAGAATATATTCCGTATGTTTGTAATCGCAATAAGATGAGAAGAGGATGATGCTTCCTTCGTTAAAGCTAAATCATTCGCATCGATAGATAAATATAATATTTACGACAGCTATCAAGTGGCAATAGAGAGAAGGGAAATAACTGTTGATGACCTTCACCTTCTGGCCGAGAGATCAGGGTTAGAAAGTACGTCGTCGTCCGTCAGGTGATCGAACGTGTTGTTCGCGGAATGAACATTTAGAGAGACGACGACGACGACGACGACACCGTTTTCTACACATTTCCCTTCATATTTCATTAAATATTTCATTCACATCGGTAATGAACTTGAGCTTACTTTAGTTACAATCTAACAAGCGTGAAAGATAGGAAATTTTCTTCTTCTGATGATGATTACTTTCCTACAAGAAGAATATTATTCCTAATCGCATTCTGATCTTGACGTTCACGCGCGACCTTGTAAAAGGCCGTCCGTCTATCGTTCATCGTGGTTTCCCATGGAAAGAGTTCAGGAGGTCGCGATCGATCGTCAATTTCACTGAGAAATTTAATCTTGAGATAGAAAGAGAGGACAAATGATGCTGAGAGGAATCAACGGCAAGGTCGCTGGCTGGCTGGCTGGCTGGCATGCACGTTAGTGTACACGTTGGTGTACACGTTGTGTACACGCTGTGCACACGCTGACGCAGGTGAAATCATTCCTATAGACTTTTAAACTTGCCACTGCAAAACAAGACTTCTCTATTCGATCCATTATCGGCATGACTTGACCGATTTAAAAGAAAGTGCCAGCTAAAAAGTGCATATGCATGTACTCGTATGTATCTATCAATTGCTTTTCCCTACAACTGTAATCATTCGATTTCTTATCTTTTACTAACTCTCTTTGGAAACTAACTTAACATTAGCTACTACGCATTGACACTTTCAACGAAAAATGTCAAACGGTCAAGCTCTTGTTTTTTTTTCTTTTTTTTTTTTTTTTTCATTCAAATATATGTATACGTATAGTTAAATACGAGGCAAGTAGATTATGACATAGCAGTTAATATACATAATCACGTAACCGTATACGAGTTAATAATATCTTGAAACTCGATGAGATTTAACTAAAGCAACTGCCTTTCGTAAGAAAAATGTTTTTGTCGTTGTTTGTTCCAGACAAACCTTCGACAGATTCGCCAACAATGGCACATTCGGCACTTCGCGAACTCGTTGGACGAGCCGTAGAAGAGGCCAAAAAATTACCTGGTCTTTCTGACTCGAGCGCCGATAATTCAAGGACACACGAACAGTGTAATATTTCGGAGCACAGTTACGAAGATCTTCTCGCCACTGCGATATTGAATAAAGTCGGCAGAACTTTGTATCTTTTTATTCTTTTTTCCTTATAAAATTGAATCGTTTATTAAATGATATCTATCAATTTGTTCTAGGTCATAGAAAAATTTCAAAAAGAACAAGTTGATGGAAATAGCAACGTCCTGCACGAAAAGCCTTCAGCTAAAGCGGAAAGTATGTTTCCTGTGATTGACATAAAGAATGATTATATTCAACTATCTTAGCTAGATCTAAGAAATGATTTTCTTAGATTTCCTTTTTCTACACTATATTAACTAGTACTAATCATACGGTATAAATACAAGGATTATAATATATTTATTATTTTAGGTGAAACTGAGTTAGGTCTCGATGAAGGTGTCGAAGAAGGTAGCAGTAGTTTGGAACCCTTATCTCAAGACGAATATAGCAGCGATTGCAGTGTACCGCGTGCAAGGCATTCACGAAATCGTCAAGAGCCATTATCCCTTACGGTATGTAATTCGAATATTCAACGATTTAGTTATTTAAAACGAACAATATCATTGTTATTTCATTTATATACACTTACGTCAATGATAACTAACTGATCAAAACACTTTACCAAATTATTTAAATTACATTTTCGAACGTATTTTGAACATTAAAGGAAGTACTGATCAGCATATTGCGTGATATTATACCACGTTTAAATATTCATTAATCGATAGGTTGGTTTTTCTCACATGACACATCTGTTTAATATTTAATGAGCACTTAATATGAGAAAGGAAACATATATAAAAATTGTCTATTAACGAAATTCACGTACTTGGATGTGAAACGAATCGATCATTCGTATGTATGTGTTGTACCCATGTCCTATTAACTCTTGTAATTTGGTTAAATTAAACATTTTTACCTGAACATATTACATTTGAATTATAATATTCTATGAACTGTTTCGCGAATATATTGATCCTGTATTATTTAGATAGAGGAACGAATAGAAGAAGTTACAACTACGTACACATCCGATGAGGATCCTCCGGAATGTGTGGAAAATGGTCTACACATCACAAATGTTCGTCGTGTGCCATTTCCGGAGCTTGGTATGGACATCATCGATCGTAAGTAATTTCATTGCACGTGACCAAGAGCAACGATTACTTTTTACAAATTATTTATCTTTTATTACTATTGTCTAGCTTCTCAGGAATCATCCGACGAAAGTCAAGACGAAGAGGATGAATCAACAGCTCATGTTGATCTCGTAGCACCGTTTCAATCCTGGGAAGAAAATTGGCTATTTCAAAAGAAAAGAGTACCGATTCAATCGGATCCCGTTGCCATGCTCGTACCAAGCTCCAGCGCCGATTTTAAAGCATTGATCGGTGATAAGGATGCTGAGGATACGTCTGATCTTTCTGAATGTTCATCGGCACAATCCGATGAAGAAATCGAAAAGGAACTCTTAGAAGCTATCAATAACGTTGTGCCACGATCGCCGAGAATATCAGAATGCGAAATTGTTGAAAGCTTGAATGAAAATGAAACGATTGTTCGTAAGGATATTCAAGATTTGTATTCGTTGCAAAATCATTCGGAATTTATTGAAACATCGTTGGATTATAAAAATAAAACTAATCAAATGTATAATGGCGATGTTAAATGCAACGGAAATGTAAATAACGGAAATAACGAGGATATTCAGAAAGATCAAATACTTTTGATGAGTTCTTTGAACAACAACAATAATAATAATAATAATAATAATAATAATAATAATAATAATAATAATAATATCGAAAAGGAAAACATGAATTATAATATAGAAATAAAGGATGAAAAGTTTGATACAAGATCGGAATACAAAGTTGACAAAAAACATATAATAGATTCGAAGGCTGAAATACAAAGAACGGATATCCAATTACTTCAGTCTCAAAAGGACACCATACCGGATGTGCCAAAGATAACGACGACTCAGTCAACAAAATCGTCTATGTTAGAGAATAATCTTGAAGTTATTACTAACGACGTGGTAGACTTGAATGAGAAGGACAATTTCAAATCTTTAGGCGACATTCAAAATAAAATGATTGATCAGTATATCAATGGAGAAGAAGATAAAACAACGTTGTATTCGTTAAACGTTTATTCTAAAGAAGAAGTGCACTGTAAGTATCTACGTTATAGTGATCATCAATGTGTTGTCGTCATATATTATAAGCAAAATAAATGTCTCTCTCTCTCTCTCTCTCTCTTATTATTATTCGTACGATTTATTTTAGTTGAAGATGGAGCTCAGCAAGAAAGTGAATATACTGAACATTATGATACAGCAACACAGAGACATTTGGATAGTCTAACGAAAGATGATATTTACGTCTTACAAAATGACGAAATATTTGAAAGTTCGTTAAACGATATCAAATTAACGTCCAATTTGTCGCCTAAAGAAGAAACATAGTAAGTTTGATATCACATTGTCAAATGATTTGCAAATATTTCGCGCTAGTCTTATGTTATCTCGATATGTCAATCTTCGATAAAAATGTTCTATAGATTTTTGAAAGATTTATATCGCATAAAGAATTTTCTTGTTCTAATGACGTGGTAATAAATAAAGCATATCAACATTCTTCTGTGTAGTAAGTGTCGAGAAGCTGTAGCAAACGGCAAACTTGATTCGGTTTCTTATTCGTCCTTAGAGAAAACAGCCGAAAAAGATATACAATTATCTACACCACCACGTCCAGGTAATCGAAATCGAGTAACATATTTCTATTATATTCCATTTATATTCCATTTATATTACATTCTTACATATTATATGTATTATATTGATATAATCGAATAGGTACAATCGCTGAAAGAGAACATAAGAAATGGGAAAATGCAGCACCGATTGAAAATAATCCTTACAGTGAGAAGAGCATTAAAAAAAGACTTTTAGAAAGACAATATAGCAGAAGATCCGCAGATATGCCAGGGTAAATTATCGAAATGAATTAATTCACAATAATTGTCAATAATTCTCCATTTGTTTGTGTCATTTATTATTTTGATAAATTTAGAATGAACACCGAGTTACCGTTAAGCAATGGAACTGATCTTGTTCTAGAACCTAATGAACCGGATATTAAACGGTAACAGTCAAATTTTGATTCTTATCATTGTTGAATAACTATTTGATTTTTAATTAATTGTTTAATTAATAGATTTGGCAGAGATTACTACATCAATAATGCAAAATCGGCAACCGGTGAGAAGATACGAAAATCACCAACAATCTCTGTATCGAGCAGACCTGACAGTGCATTGTCTCAACGTTCAAGTTCAACCACAGGGACTGACCAAGAACAACAGGTGAGTTTCGAACTTGGAAAGTTCGAAGAGGCTTCCTTACATGGTAGCCTATCTAGACGGAGTTATCGCGATCGACACGCAAGTCCTAATTTTGCGATCAATCCTCTGCTGCGTTTGGAATTTCACGAAAATTTCGACGAATCAAAAGAAAATATATTCACGACCGATGATCGCGAAACATGTATTAAGGATGATGTTGAAACAATTAACGATTTATGGACAAACGAGATATCAAAGAATTTTCAAAATGATACGATCGTTATCGACAGCGTCAAAATGAATCCATTATATCAAGCTCATCAGGATGAATGTTTACCAATCGGTTCTAATTCGAATGATCGTGATTCCGGTATGGATTCAATAGAATCCTACGATTTGAAATGTAATAAAACGAATAATGTTTACTCCGATAAATTATCCTATACAAAAGACGAAATTAATGCCAGGGAAAATCAAATAATTTCAACTAATCACAAGAGATACCTTAATATGTTTCATTACAAATATCATACTTTTGGTGGAATAAGAAATTCAGTTATCTATCCACGAGATCGTGCAATTAATTACGAAGACGACGTAGTCAAAGATAATTTCTTCTTTGGGTCGCCAGATTTTGTCAATATGAAATTTCAAACTTTCGGTGGGATTAAAAGGAGTAGAAAAATCGACAGTAGAAAAATACAAAATTATAGTAAAATTAAATTAAGACCAACGATACAAATAATTAAAGGATCTAAAGCTAATCATTTCGCGAATAAAAGTATCATTAATGATGATCAATTGAATGAAGTAAAAAAGGAGGAAATTATCGACGAGGACGATTGGTTGGACGAGGATGAACACTTGGAAACTAGATCCTCGCGAGTTTTCAATCGTAATTCGAATATTAAAAATAGGCATAAGAGAGTTCTCAAAAGACAAAACAAAGTAGAGAGCATGGAAGATGATAAATACGAAAATAGGGATACTTTGCGTACTTCTTATCGCTCGTCGTTAGACTTATCAAAGAAAAACAAAATAAGAAAGATTAATTATACTAAAGGTAAATTATTGAGACAACATTCACGTTCTTCGGAGGAAGGAAATTTGAAATTAGAACCGCCTGTTGTGCCACAAGTTATCGAACGAGATTTTAAGACGTTGAAAGAGCTTAAAAATTCGAGTTCTCGAAAAAAGAAATGTAAAGATAATTCCTCTAATAAAATATTAGGTATAAGAAGTCTAAGTAATATTACGATTTGGTAACAAGTTCACATTTTTTTGATTAATCTATGAAGTCTCATTATATTTTATAAGTATTTTTATATCAAAGTTATAAAAGTTAATGGACATTTACCTGAAACAAAATAGCCACAATTAAAAAGTCAATTAGTGTTTAAGTATCTCGTATTCAAGGAATCCTTAACAAATAATCTATTCCAAAGAAATTTATGCCAAAATGTTGTTGTCAATTTTTTGTCAAAGTTAAAGTTAATAATTAATTAAGATATACCATTAGCGTTGTTTTTAATTGCAAATTTGTTATTGTTGGAAAGTTTGTTTTTGTTTAATTTTATTTATGTCATTTATCTCAGGAATATATGGTGTGTAGCGTTTACATAATCGTACATCTTATGATCTCACTTATAATTTACTTACGAATACTAATTCATTGGGAGTAAAACGAAGGGACTAGCTATATCCAACTTTAAATATGTATTATTGTGTAGACCTTCAAATAATTTAAATATATTACTTAATTAATGTTTATTTTTTTGTTCTGTTTTAAAATTGCATGCTTTAGGTGTCGGTTATTAATGCATCGTTATTTTCAGCAAATCGAATACAATCGGTTGATTCTTCCGTTTTTGCGCATACGTGTATCGTAAACGTCAAAAATTATAATAGTAATAATAATCATTTATTAAATTTATTGTATATAACAGTGTATATATATAGTTCTGCACCAATTTGTCTGTCTGTAAGAGTCACTGATAAACTGTGAAACTTGCTGTCTCTATATTAATTTGATATTATACAAAGCAACACTCTATTCGCACTGCATATGCATGAAAGCTGTGATAAAATAAATTGGTAAGTAAACTTTAAGAAAAATTCAAGCTTCTTTCATATGCGTTGTTCTTCGTTTAACTAACAACTAACCCAATTTATATTCTTGGATTTGATTTCTTTTTATCAAAGGAACGAAACTTTCTCTCTCTCTTTCTCTCTCTTTTGAGCAACTTAATCACGCTAAGGGTAACACAAAATGAATATAAATATATTTGTCTCGATTATCAATTTCATCGATTACTTCTTGCACGACTTATTTCAATTTCGCTCTCCTAACACTGCACACAATATTTGGGTACAGGCTTTTATTCGCTTCACTCTAAGAATACGAGATATGGTTTAATCAAAAGTAATTGTATCTACATTAGTACGATATGCATGACTTCACGATGAAAACTAACTTGTATATACTATACATATATGAAAAAAATACTTTATGAAAAATTTGTTAAATGTTTGGTTTGAAAAAAAAAAAAAATATGAATTTTGTAAGATTTGCATAATCGTTTGTTTGCATTGCAATTCTCGTTTGTTTCAGAATGAAGAAAATTTCGACAAGGATATGGCATACGATTCACCCAAATCGAGAACGGAAAAATGGCGAAGGAACAATTCGAATTCTTCTACGGAAGAAAGCACGAAAGATGAATACACCATGGAAAAGAAGAAAAACGATGTTTCTCCGATGAAACGTGAAAAATCATGGAACGATCAAAAAGTAGAAGATCTTTTGGAAAACGAACGTAAAAACAGTAAAAACGAAATAAACGCGAGACTGAACAATCAAGACAACAATTGTGGGATCTTTGAAACGCAAAAATCTTATATTCAGAGTGACAATCAGAAAATGATAAGACGAATCGATTTAAAGGCTTACGGTTTTGAAAATGATTTCGATTCGAATAAAAATGAACATTTAAAGTCAACGAGACCGCAAAGAGTTGTGAACAAGCTCGATCTGAAATTATTCGGTTACGATGGTGGGTTGCGTCGTACGCAATCGCATAATCAAATCAACGGTGTTGATATTAAGCCACGGATTGTTAGGATGGCAAAGAAATCAAATCTCGGTCATTTCAGGAATCATCGTAATTTTCATGATAAAGATCATTTTGAAAGACAATGTTCTGATGATCCAAATCTCACGCAAAGTACTGGAACCCTTAATGAACTTTGCGAACAAGTTAATCACAACTTTTTCAATACGGTGATGACTTCTGCTAAATCGGTTCCTAATATTGCGAATAGCGAATATTATGAAGATACAAATGGGAATTGTAAAGACTTCGATAGCGAGGAAGAGGATAAGAAATTGAGAGTTGATGTTGGGAATGATAGTGGCTCGTCGAATGTTCATTCAGAAATAGACGTAGAAGAAAAGGATCTATCTACGGAAAAATTATCGAATGGAAATGACGAAGTGGATTCTTCCCAAGAGAAAATAAACTTCAAAAATATTGAAGAAAACAAACTTCCTATGCCATCGGTCAGAAGATTGGCCGAAACTTTTAACAAACCAACGATAATCGCTCCAACTCCTGCACCACGAGTAAGATAATTGAACATTTTGATATTTCTGGGCAACAAAATTAATATTCCCTCCTTCAATATAAAATATTTTTATTTGTAGACTACAAAATCTAATACAGCGCATAACGATAGATGTGTAACACCAGAATTGCAAATAATCGAGACACCCAGGCAGATGCACAGTTTAACAGCCAGGTCTCTTTCGAAACAATTTCGGGAAGGTTTACGACAAATTCCTTACAAAGTAACTTCACCACCGGCTAGTCACGTCACCATGGAACAATCTAATGATCGGGAAAATCAATCGGAAATAGTACAAGCTAAAAGGGATGATTCGTTGAAAGACATTAACGTAATAGCCCCGGGTAAGTTAAAATCTAATATTAAATTTTGGGAACAAATGCAAAGGCAAAGTTAAAACTTTATAACGATGGACTTTGAAATTGGATAAAAAGGCACACTATTACATCGCCATGGCGATGATTTTTAATTCGTAACTACAAAATAAAAACATATATATATATATATACGTAATGTAATTTTTAATAATATATACAATACTATTTTATACACTTCTATTAGAATTGCGTTTCTCGCAGACCAGTCATAATTTTATATAAGTAAAAAGCATGATGAAGCGTTTTATTGAAATGATAACAAAAATTATATGTTCATATTTATATATATAAAAAAATAAAACGAAAAAGTTACCGTCCTTACCACGTGCAAGAATGTGTTAACGGAATATACTAAAAAAAAAAAAAAAAAAAAAAAAAAAAGAAAAAAGAATTAATTGTGAAGTTACTTCGAGTCAGCCTCTGATAATTACTTATGTGATTAAATTTGTGCCAAATGACATGAATAATAATATGTCATTAGCCAAAGAAGATAATATTGTAATTAATTTCTTTTATAATTCATAAATATATATACACCCTGTTCCATTTCCAGGATAAATTCTCTTTAATAAAGAGCATCTTCTTGTAAATATTGTTAAACTTTTAATGTTAAATATTAAATAATCGTCACTGATGAATATATACAAAATTCAATTTTATTATACACAAGATGAAAGTATATATTTGTAAAATATTTATTATTAATTTAGTAAACATGGGTCTGGTTGCAGACATTCGTTATTAAAATATATATATAATATATATATCATTATTTTTGCAAAAGGTTAAGTTAGTTCACTATCCTTGTGTGATTTTAGTGTAAAGTGTATTATTTGTATCAAATTTCAGTAAGTATTTAAAGTACAATTTTATTTACTTTAATTTGTACAATATAATGCATTGGATTCAAATATTATATATTCATATATATATATTTTTTTAAATTTAAATAAGACAATTAATAATTTTAAATATAATATAATAAAATTTATAAAAATAAATTTAATGTATATCACTGAGAAGAAGGAAATTAATAATAGATGCATCTAGTTTTATGAAATGGTATACTATCTAACTCTTTGGCATATTGTCGACGATAGTCCCACAAAAAATGATCGATTAAAACACAATTAATATCACTTTCTTTCAAACGTAAATTATTATGAGAATTAATTAAATGTTTAACTTCGTTATTAATACGTTCAACAACTTCTATAGAACATCCACGAATTTCTATTTCTTCAACACTTCCCGATTCCAATTTGAAACCTACATAAACTCAGTATTTAAAAAAGAACACACATCCTGTTATATATTATTATTATTATTATTATATTTATATAAGTACTTTTATCTAAACTCACCTGAGCAAAGTTTATTTAATAAGGAACTACTATATTTGAGAGTACCAAAATGAACAAGAACTTGAGGAATTCGATAATCGGCAAACATGGTAAGAAAATCAATGTCATAAAATTCACCATATTCTTTCCCTTTAAAGCAAGCCCAAATATCACCGATTAAAATCTGAGCCCTTTTATAAAAACTAACTAAAATAAATAAATAAATAAATAAATAAATAAATAAATAAATAAGTAAATAAATAAATAAATAAATATTATTCGAATAATCCATTAAAACACATAAACTTACTTTTATATGTTTGGAACTGTGCTTCATCTTGAAAAGAATGAAAATCAGTAACAATGAGTTTTAATAATTTTTCTGCCGAGCCTGCACACGATTTGATACATTCGACGAATGTACCTATATTATGAAAACAAATGTTATTATTAATATAATACAAGGAAAATATTTAAAAAGTATACCTTTATATTTGTTCAATAATACTTCTCCGGCTTCATGTAGAACTTTTACTCTTTCATTTATAAGAGGAATATTAATAGTGTTATCATCACCTCGAAAGATTACTTCAAGTTCATTTTTAGTTATTTTTGAATAGTACTTAGGATCTGTTATAGGTGTACCCTCCTGTTATACGTATATTATGCATATAGAACTTATCACAAATAATTTAGAAATTAATAATGATAATTGATAATACAGCCAATATAAAGTGATAAAAAATAAGGAATCATTTTTGATTGGAAATGTAAGAAAAACAAAAGTGTGAACAAATATAAATATATGACAGCTATATTCATCCTAGTAATATAAATATTAAAATGACATTTAATGATTAGAACATTATCCAAATTTATTAACATAGATATATTTCAATTTATATATTGTCTTGTATTTTGAATTAAACACAATGGCATGGAGTTGGGATACTATTGATATAATACGTCTCAAAAAACCAACGTAAGTAAATTATCATAGAATCAAATTGAAAGTATAAATAAATATTAAAAAAATTGGAAACACTTGGAAAATGTATCATTTAATCAGAGCTTTAGATAAAGTAATTGAAAGTATTCCCAAACCAAAGGGTGCTATTCCTAATTTTGGACTACCAAAATGGAAGGTAATGCCTTTGGAATCTAAAATTCCAATGGTACCTGGACCAGAAGGTGCCTATAACTTTATACGACGTAAAATAGGGAAAAAATTGTGGACCAGTTCATCCGACGCAGAGTTTAATTTAAATGATCCATATTGCTATGAAATCAAATTCACATACGATGCCTTGCATGATGAACATTTGGTACCATTCTTTTCAAATACGAATAATATTAAGCATTTATTGAAAGCTGGATTAATTACACGTAACTTGGAAGGAAAATGTTCCTTAAAGGATTATAACATGTACAGAAAATATTTAAGAAATGTACACACTGATAGAATTAGACGTGAACTAAGAAAAAGAACATGCGTTGCTCATGAAAAACGAGTATTAGAATGTACTGAAGAACAAGCACAAAATGAAGTGAATAAGTAAGATTTTGGAAATAAAGTAAGGCTGCTTTTTCTTCTTCTTTTCATTTCATACATATTTGTAATGATTTTAGATTAAAGAGAAAAGAAAAACTAACAGAGGCACGTAAGGAAATATGGGCAGCACATAAATTCGAAGAGGAAGCAAAAATCAAAGCTCAAAGAGAAAAAGCCAAAAAATTGAGAAAAAGAATGAAATTATTAGAAATAAGAAAACGTGAAGAACAAATGATGCGTGCTGCAAGAGCAAAGGCTCATTCGGAAAATATAAAACAAAAACAGAAATTGGCTAGTGAAATTCAGGAGCAAAAAAAGATTCATACGATAGTAGATTGGCGTAAGAAAGAACATATGCGTAAGAAAGCTAGAGAAGCGAGATTGAAACACAACCAAGAGCAAAAGATTATGGCCATTGAAGAGAAGTAAGTGATGCTAACAAATGATGATTCAATGATTCATTCATATTTCTACGGTATATATCAATTATATTTTAGATGGAAACTAAGACATGAATTGCAAAGAAAAGAAATTGAAAAAGAACACTTTCTCTTCGATTATATAAATAATCAACGTGCAAAATTTATAAAAAAGTATAATGAAAAGATAGCAAAAGATAGAAGACGAATGAATAGTATGGAATTTCAATTTAAATATTATTTCTTTTATTATATATTAATATTCTGATATTTGTAGAACGTTTACAAAACATGAAAATGTTTATACAATGTTATATGGCCCGGCGTTTACCAAGAGGAAAAGAAAGAATTTGTTGTAAGCTGTACAACGACAAACAGGTGAAATTTAAATTGTTTGTTTGTTTAATAAATCTATATATATCAATTATATGTTTACCAGAAATCAGAAGATAAAACTAGAAAAGTGTCACACATATCTGAAACTCGCTTGACTCTTTCGAAAGGCAAACAAGCAAAGGTAGCAAAGTTTAGAATAATGTAAATGTATTGTAAAAGTATTAACACTTAATTATCAGTTCTTTTCAATTAACAGAAAAGGAAAGAACTTATTGAACGTAAGGAAATATCAAAGATATCAAAATACTCTAAAACAAGGAAGACAAAAAGACAAGAAATGAAAATATCCAGTAGAGAGAGATTAACGGATAAATTAAGCAAAGAGAAAGCAAAATCGGAATTAAAAGAACAACCTGTTGTACCAACAATCGCTGTAAGAAAATCAGAAGAAAAAGAATCACCGGAAACATTAGCAAAGGATAATAAATGCAAATGCCAAATAGTCAAAAGTTAATGATTAAATATAAATATTTGATATTTAAGAAAGAATGCATGAACTTACATCTATAGCTCTTTTAATAGCAGCGCACATTGCAAAATACCCAGTTTGTCCGTTGACTTTCCATTTATTGGCATTTTCTTCGGTCCAAAATGAAAAATTTAATAAATCCAACAGGAATATCCAGTCAATGGCTTTAGGGTCAGAGCATTTAGGATGAAATTTACATTGTGAAAAATTATTAATATCTATTCTTTTTTCTTTAAGCTCTTCCAAAAGCTAAAACAATGTATGAAAATCTATCAAAATAGCAATGGAATAAAACAAACAGATATATAATATATGTACATAATAACTTGTTGCTGCTTACTTACCTTGCAAGCAACAGCTTTTATAGCCTCGTCGTCTATAAAAACATTTTTTGCATATGCAGAAACAATTTTAGCTGATTCTCTCGGCATTACAACCATGTTTGAACGATTATTACAATAATTACTTGCGTATAAAATAAAAACGTGTTATTATATAAAATAGAAGATATCTAACCGGAAATGAGGATAAAAATGTATGACGTAAACTTGACTATCATTGGAAACTATGCATTATGTCACGTGATTAATGTTCACTGGCTGTTTAGCAACGATTGCAGGTATAAACAAATATGGTGGCTATTGTCAAAGTTTGTCACATTCAACGATTTACTCGCTTACGATGTGTGTGAAGGAATTGATATTACTTAGAAAAAATACATCAAAAGTATTTTAATTAAAGGTAAGTAATTTGTATTTATTTTAATTCTTTTTTCAAGAATTTATCTTTTCTATATTGGTACACTAGACAAGATAACCACGAATTGGTCACGTTGACGCACATGGATATATGGATTGTTTACAGTTGTATAATTGTATTTTTTCATGTATTTTTATTGTAAAAGAGTGATATTTTGTAGACGATATTTATATATTAAATTCTATCTACTATTTTTGTCAGTTTAAATAGAAAAATGAAACCTTTTCAATAGAAGAAATATTTAATTAAAAGACTTTGTTAGGTTAATCGTTATCCATGGTAAACACACACGCACGCACACGCGCACACACACACACACACACGCGCACACACACACACACATACATACATAAAAAGATTTAAATATAATTCATTTATTGTATCGAAATTAACATTCAATATAAAATGCAAAATTAAATAAAAGAATAATGTTTGTAAGTACAGAGCCAAAGTATAAAGTGTCATGTCACTTTATTCAATCAATCATAACATTTAATAATACATAATTTAAACGATAAATGTATTCTGTGTTTAAATTTTTACATAAGGACATGCGTTTCTTATTTTTACGATACACTCGATTGTAGGTAATACCTAATTTTGTTTATTATAGGCAACTATTTTCTGTAAAGTTTGAGAAGATTCGAAACTTCAACACTTCATTTGTAATTTACATACGTAATACAAATTAACACGTGGGAAGAATAGCATGTAGATCTTATTTACATGTATTTTTCTTTTTTTTTTCTTTTTCTTTTTTATTGCAATAGCAATAATAGTAAATTATTTCTCTTTCCTCATTTCATTACCGTACCGCAGTACTTTATGAATATTTCGATGAAAGTCGCTGCAGTTACATATATTAGTATAATTCTTCTTCTTCTTCTTTTTCTTTTTCTTTTTCTTTTTAAACATTTATGAGTAAAATAGTTCCAAAAGAGATATCTCAATTAAATGAAGTTTTCCGAATTACGATGTAACTTACAAAATTTGAAGACCATTACACACATGTTTCGAATCCTTGTGTGTGACAAGTCAAATTGTGATGTGCTTCGTCGCATTCATTCATTCAAATAACATATGTACATAATACCCCCTCAACATAAAATGAACAGATTAAGGCTCCAGCAGGCTATAGGCTACATTCTACAATGTACAATGCATTATGTACTTTGTTAGTTTCCATTTTCGCGTACATGTCTGGCTGTGTAATGTGTGGCAAGCGATAGCACCAAAAGATTTATTGATGGTTCTAATTAATTTGAATGATTTCATATAGAGTAAAACTACACAATACACTTAACACGAAAATTAAGTTGCAATAATTAACACTTAATTTATTCAGTATTATTTAACTTTGCATCGTATCTGCGCTGTAATAGATATACTTATTATAAAACAATATATCTTAACAAAAGCATATAAATTTATATTTTATGAAATATAAAGCTTGAATAAAAATCGTAGGACACTTTGATGCCTACTGATTGTGATTAATTAATTCATTTAATTGTCGTTTCCATCGTTTATCTACCGATTGGCGTGAACACTTAGTTAGTGACATTTTTAAATAGAATTATGAATTAAAAATAATCCAAATATACTTGTTGTTAGACGTTGACATTACCTATGGCCCCAGTACGCCGTATTTCGTTGACAGCGTTAAAATCATTATAGTGTTTTCTTTTTTCTTTTTTTCTTTTTTTCTTTTTTTTCACTTTCTTATTATAACTTATTATTGTGCTATTTTGTTGTTACGAGGCTTAGGTTTTAAATGCAATTTTTTTTTCTTGTGCAAACTATTCAGTTCAAAATAATAATTATTAACAATTTAAATCTTTCTTTTTCTTTTCTTTTTTTCTTTTTTGTAGAATCTCTTTAATAAGGATGACTGCAAATATCTGCAAGTTCTTGCGATAAATTTTATTTTCTTCTACCATGCAATATTGTAATTTGCACAGTCCCTATAGTTTTACTTTTTTAATAATAATATTCACTGAGCAACACAAAATCAAGGGTCCCCTTTACCTCATTAATACGAATATTGATTATAAACTGTTTTTTAATATTACTCATAATAATTCTCATCATCACAGACTAATATGGTCATTTAACAGATTCTCATATATTTTCTTTGATTATCTTTTATTTATCTGATCAGAATGAAAACGTACGATAGTTGAAATATATTGAAATATGTATATTAAAGAAAATAAAAGTTTAATAAAGAATTTTTACATACAATAAATATGTAAAATTTTCCTAAAATTTAAAATACATGGTAATGTCATAAAAAAAAAAAAAAAAAAAAAAAAACAAAAAAGAAAAAAACAGAATCCCATTGCTTCTTATAGCAATCTCAAGAATAACAGAGATCTAGAGGAACCTTGAGCAGCATGCATGAGTTTCAGTCAAATATATCTAACAGAATATTGTTTCATACTATTGTATTTGCCCCCGCGCACATCACACCTCCAGACTTCACCCATGCAGCAAAATGCGCTTTTCAATTATTTCTCTTAATATTATATAAAAAAATCTATTTCTATTGACTTTTAAGCTCTTTGCCAATACTGTACGATACAATTTTGTTCCAGTCAATTTTCGTTCGCATAACAGGTAATTGCCTTCGCAAGGCCTTAAAGGTTGTGTCAGACATTGTTTGATAATTTTCCGAAATTGCAGTTTGATAGTCATTTTCTGAATCCTCAACTAGTCGGATCAACTCCTTGGCAGTTTGTTTTTCATTCGAGATCGATAAGCTTTCTCTGACTTCTTTGCTACTGACCAATTGTACATTTCCATCTTCATAATAATGAACTTGTACTTTAAGGCTACCTCTTAATTCTGCACTTCCAGAACTTGGACTGAAACTTACAGTCCATACAGAACGCCAACGACCATTCCAAAAATTTTTAGGTTGAAATTGATGATCTTCTATACACGCAGTCAACGTTATATTACCTGTCATAACATAATTATTATTTTGACAATGTTTTATTTGCTTATAAATATGAGAAAAATAAACACAATATGTATGCGTACCTCCTTGGCTTCTTCCAAAAACCGCACACGCACCATGTCTATAGTGATTTTGGGTATAAGTCGTTATCTCATCTTGTAAAACTGACCTCCAAGGTTCGGCTACAGAATCTGGTTCATAGGATTCATAATCCTGTGCTTCTTTTCTTAGGTGATCATACTTGAAACTTTGCTTACTACGCGAATCATAAAACCTTTGGCCTCCCAAGTCGTTATGTTCTGTTATTAGTGCTGGATACTCGCTTCCCTCTATCTGTATAAATAAATGTACACAATATTTTTATTAACTTATATTTTAATTAAAAAATACAGATAAATAAATAATAAACGCGAGTGTTTAAAGCTTAAACTTTCATCAACAAGAATATTTCTACAAGTGATAACAAAGTAGAACAATACTTTTATATAAATCAAATGAAATCTCACTTAACGTAGTGACCTTTCATTAATTACAAGAAAACATCAAAGCAAGATAGAAATGTATTAACAAATAAAAATAAATATTCAAAGAAAAAGCAAGTTCTCAAGATGGCTCTAAGAAGCATGTAGGCCTTACATCGTTTCCTAACCTAAATCAAAGAAAATTCTCAAGCAAAGTAATACATCAATGATCGACTAAATAAAAAATTACAAAATGGAAAGAATCATCTCATAAACATGTAACACAAACTACAAATATTTCTTCGTACATCTGTCATGAAATATTTAATGAAATAATGACAATCTATATTAAAAGGTCACATTCCTTTAGTAGTAAGATCGTTGATGCCTCTCACGTCAAGACGTGACTAATAATAGTTTATCAAAGAAAAATAATATGAAACTACTTGGCAAGATTATCTTAGAATTATCATGTAATCAAATATATTATGATTAAGTAAACGTCATTGATGAAAATTTGGGTCTCGCGTTGTCCCAAACAGGGAACATCGTATTCCACTTTGAAATTTGATCTTGCATAGAGGCGACAAGGATCTTCTTCGTGTCCTTTTGCGAAAGGTATATTTCCTTCTACGTTTACGTTAATGATATCACGTAAGGGATAAGTAGAGGGTCAAAGAAGAAGAAAGAAAAAAGAAATAAACATAAGAGAAAAAAAGGTATTCCATAGGATCGAGGAAAATAGAACGATTAATCGTGTGTGTTGTACGAGGATGTACCTTAACAGGCGTGAGCTGATCCTTGTTGTATTGAGCGAATGCCCCGGACGCGCCTTCTTTCAACAGGTTGTCGTTGTTCAACAAGACCCTGACATCGTTGAAAACCTCGTTGAACTCGCCCGGTGGTGAGTGAAGTATAAAATCCGAAACTATTCGTACTTTTTCTTGATCGGGGATCAGATCTCCGTCCGCCGCCATCTTACCTTTCCACTGGCACGCACACTCCGCCGATGTCAAAAGTAAGGTTCGTGCAGTGCAGGTTGAGCTGACGTGTTCCCCTAGCGCTCTCTCATATACCCGGTGACCAACACCGTCTATCTCTCTTTCGAGTCTGATTCGAAATCGTGACGCATCTGAATGAGGAAGCACGATTACCTTCCTCTCCCCCCCCCCCTCTCTCTCTCTCTCTCTCACTCCCTCATCTACAAACATACTATCTTTCATTTTTGTAATCGCACCAAGTTTAGAGTTCTTCCTTTTCATTACAAAAAATATTACTTTCAAATGAAAATTGCATTCAACGATTGGCCATTGTCGTTTTTCTTTTCTTTTTTTCATTTTCAATATTTCAAATAAATTATTATTTCCTTTAATTTATTCATAATATACATTAATAGTCGATAGGGTGATTTCAATTAAATTGAAAATATATCGATTATTCGATTATTCGATTAATATTGTAGGTAACTAATATTGTTTCGATTATCGACAAAAGCATTTAAACGTGTAATTTGTGTTTGAACAAATTTTGTTTGTTTTGTTTTTGGTTATTTTGTGTAAAGATATTTCAACGATATTAACTACGTGATTAAATCATTAAATGTTTATAATATTTAAATTCTTATGTGGTATGATAAATCAGTAAACATTCGTCTGTGAATACTTTCTTATCTTTATATAGGGTGTCACAGTTTTGCTACATTTTCATTTAAAGGTATGATGCGTTAGCAATTATTAAATACATAAATACAAAGTAAATTTATATTATCCAAGTTTTGTCAATGTTATATATGACCATTATATTGTTAATAATTTATTATAAAGTAATCAAAATAATAGAAACAAACAGGAAAAGAGAAAATAAGTCAAAGTAAAGAAAAAACGAATGAAATAAAAGGAATTCTTTTTCTCCATAGATTTTTGCAAGACTTGGAAAACGGCGCGAAATTTGAAAGAAGAAAATACAAGATACTAATGTTGGCTCGACAATCCTGGCGTTCACGAAAAACCTTGAACGTGTACAATCATCGTAAAGTCAAACAAAGTCTTCGTAAGTTTATTCAGGCGTGGTCATCAATTTTTTTTCTCTTTTTTTTTTTTTTTTCATATTTCTCTATTCCTCATATTGCCTATTTTGTTATTTTTCTATCATCCTCTTGATAATATACTACATATTTTCATAAGACTTTATTGTCCTTTTGTTTACTTATTATAAAACGTATTCATTTATATGGCATACATATGTAATAGCATTTCAATTTTTTAAATCACGCGCCAATTTTAAATGGTGCTCGGCTCGAGAATTCAATTCAAAAGTCATTCCGTATGGCAATCGTTGCATCGATTTCTTTCTTATAATTTGATTGTGTTATTTAATATATTTTTTTTTTATTTAATTGATATATATGTAAATATCATTTTTAGGAAGTATGATAAAATCTTGAAAGAATGGCGGACGATCCAAATCGAGACCTTTTGCCTGTAAAGGAGGGATCTTGCATCGATACATGTCGTAGTGTTATAGGTACGTGTTATTTAATAATGATTTATTATTATTATTATTATTATTAGTATTATTATTATTATTTCTTTGGAAGAATATATTTTCAAATAAACGTATTTGCAAATCTTAGATCCCAAGGAGCGTCGTTTGGTATGCAAGCTCGATCGATATCAGTTGGAGGACAAGTATTTACGGCTACTCGAGGAGGCAAATAATTTGAAAAAATTGTCCAATTGTCAGGAAGACAAGATCAAACGGCTGGCTACGAAATTAATGAGAGTAGCTGCTAATCCAAGGGCGTGCGTTTCTTTTGGTTGCGATGCTAAAACCAAAGCAACGGCTCTCGAGATCGAAAACTCCAAGGTATCAATTTATTTGACGATCAGTTCTCAACAAGAACATTTGTTTTTTAATGGATCAATTTTTAGTTAAAAAATAAATTATCCGTATTGAGAAGTCAACTGTTGAGTCATACAATGAGCGGTGTATCACCAACGAGAAGTCGTCGGCCTCACACAAGACCATCCTCGGGACTCATGTGCGTAGAAAGTGTAAATAGACTGAATTCTTTTATTATGATTCACTTGGTGGGTATAGATTACAATAGATCACTTACATAAAATTGCTTTTTTTAGAACATGTCGAAGCGAGAACAGCCGTATAAGGGCACCATCCTGTCAGTGTATTGTTCAAACAAGAAACGAAGATAATGATGTACAGAATTATCTCGTTAAAATCGAGGTAATGAGATAAAGAATTATCTGCGTGATTTAATGTGACTCATACAAAATCAAGCATGAAATGTTTCTGTACTGTAATATTGTTTACTAATTGAAAATTTTAATTTTTTTTTATTGTTTTTTGTTAATAGGAATTAGAAACACAGAAAAAAGAAATGTCCTGTCGCATAACGCAGTTAGAGAAGGAACTTGAGACTTATGTGGTAAATAATCAGAGGAAGAAAGTAGTTGAGAACATCGAGTATATAAAGGTCTGGCGGCAAATGAAACAGTTGAGCGACAAATTGATAGCTGCTCAGAATACGAACGAGTCGTTGAACTTACAAATCAACGATCTCAAAAAAATCCTTGAAGAGACAACAAAGTAAACATTTTATATTTTTTCTTGATTTTTTACATTATGCGAGCAAAAATAATAGCACTTATCTTATGAGTGATTAGTATAAAAGAAGTATTTTTACATTATATGTATATAATGAATTTGTTGTTGTTGTTGTTGTTGTTGTTAGAAATAATCAAGACATAACGGTATCTCTAATGGCAGAAAAAAAACGGATAGCCGAGATCGATACACAAATGATAAAAGCAAAAGATTCTCAATTGACGTTACGCGAAAAAGATGAACAGATAAGAGATCTAATGAATGAGATGAAAATTTTACAGCAACACAATAACGAATTAATAGCATTGAGTTCTAAATATGGTCAAGTTGAATTAGAGAATGTTGAATTGAGAAAACAATTTTCTCAGCAATTTACCGATCAGCAAACCCTGAAAGTGGCGTTTAATACTGAACAAGCTAATATTGCTGCCCTAAAAACGGCTAACGAACAATTGTTAAATAAGGTTCAATATTTACAGAAAAATATGGACACCTTAATGATCCAATTAGCGGTAAGACAAATTAATAATTATTCAATGTTATTTAGTAAGACAATTTTGATGTTTGATATTTTGTATATTTGACAGACCATTCAAAATGATAATAAAAAACACGAATCAAGTAGCAAAGCAGAATCGCCTGACTCTTATATTAAAGTTAAGACTACGCATACGAAAGAATTATCTTCTTCTCCCAAAAATATGATATCATCAACAGATAGATGTAAAAAATGTTGCGAAGCATTTGAGAAGATTTTACAGCTTGAAAAAGGTGTAAATACGATACGACAAGGTTTGACATGTTTAGATAAATGCGTACAAACGGAAGTCGTATGTAGTAGGACTTCTGTCAAGACGAAAGAAGCAAGTACTTCAATGATTAATTCTACGGATGAACGATCCACGACGAAGGAACAAGTAGTGGAAAAACATCAGGAGATTGATCAAGAAATATCAGAAGAGAAGAATCCTTTGTCACGCGAAAAGATGTTAAAATTATTGGACCAAGCGCAGATCAGTACGCCATTGAAGGCAGGAAGAATTGGTCAATTGGATTCAGTTTCATCTGTTGTCGATTGCGAAGTCATGCAAGATTTTAGCCAAAGACACAGGCAAGTGGTCACCCTCGAAAAGCTGCTCTTTGGTGATTCTAACTGCTGACAAAGAATTGACAAGCTGTCGACGAGTACTGTTATAAATGGTCCCGCTGGAAATGTACGTTGCTTGGGTAGTCAAGGATAGATACGTTAGTAGATTTAGATAGATACGTTAGTATCTTTGACTGATTCTACATTCTTAAATCGCTATTAAATCACAGTTAGGCTTTTTACGAGCTATTCTAATAGATAGGAAGCTTTTTAATTATGTCATTTATATTAACGAAATATAAGGGTCAGGACCCATCAAGTCGCTGTGCCTTATTCTTCCAATCGAGGTAAAACAATAAATACTCCAATCGATTAGTGCCTTCATTGTCTTTTACATATTTACAAATAACAATTTCGGCGCTTCCATTTAGACAGATGGTTAGGAAGAATATAGAGGAATTAATTGTGTTAGAAATTTAGAAACAAAATATTTGTCTTACTTTATATTTATATGTATTTTAAATTATTGAATTTTGTACGATAGATATTTGTCGCTTTTTAATATAATTGCAGCTTTATCTCGTGATACTTTCATTATGAATAAAATATATCTCGATCACACACACACACACACACACACACACACACACACACACGATCCTTTATATCCTATGCCTTAAATATATATTATGAATATAATTGTGACGTCAATCAGCAATAATGAAAATGATTAGCAAGCTACATTCGTTGTTGTAAATTATCATCAAATTATATTACAGAGACGCGGATGTGGCAGATCATGTGCAAAAAAAAGATTTAACAAATTTACTCGCAATACTTGGCGACATACTTCGCGAAGAACGTAATATTTTGTTTCAAAATCCACAATTATGCGACGAAAAGCAATTTACAAAAGATGTACAAACGGATATTAATAATAACAATGCAATTAACTGGCCCGTTGATGTAGGAATACAATTTGACACACATTTGATTGTCAAGGATTCGCGATGCGAAGATAGCAATGATTCATCTTCACGGAGTATGAAAAATTGTAGCATCAAAAGATCTTGTAATCAAGATAAATCGCAATATCGTTGTTGTTCGAAAGTAAAAAATTATGAAACAGGAAATCAAGTTACGAGATTCACAGAAACCGGCGAGTGTACTTGTACTGATTTGAAAAGATGTCACGCGGAATCGGATTGTGGTTATTTTTGTAGTGGAAATTATTCAAAACAATCTTACAAAAAATATAGCGACAATTTGAAAAATCCGAATGTTAAATGTTCATCTACTTCACCGATCAAAATAAGTGACAATAAATATGCAAGAAAAGCCGTTGACACAGCTTTTTCGGAACGGTAAATTATTTATTGTTGTTGTTCATTCGATAAGATATTAATGAACTAACAACAACGTTTTAGTTATGTCGATGATACTAAGAATTGTTTCGAATCCTGGAAGATGAATGTATCAACGCAAAAAGGCGAAGCTTTTGCTAACGATCATCAAGACGTACAAAGTTATGTCGAACATTTGGAAAAATGTAAAGAGTTTCTGGAAGAATGTAATTTGAAAAATACAAGCAAAAATAGTGTAAGATTAAAGATACGACGTGGTGTCGATAAGATATAAGAAGAACCGGTTGTTTATGTATCATTAATTTCCAATTGAACAGGTTAATAATGTCTTGAGTCATTTACGATTTACGGAAGCTATGAAGTTACCTCCTTTATGGAACATGCCTTGTCAAATGGAGAATCAAGTAAAGCCGACAATAAAAAGTGGAGAAAAATTATATTGCGATGACAAGTGTCCAGACGAATGTGTCGAAGTATTACCTTATTCGACGAAGTCGATACCTTTTTTGATTACTAATGGTCAAGGTCTTATGGAAATTCATGTTATCTCACTACAGTTAGCTACATCCGTTAGTAACAAAATAGAAACGTTGTACCGAGGCTTCGATTATAATTTTTCACGTTTATATAAATATCGTTATAGGCTGCAGCAATTCTTTTTCAAGAGGAAAATCTTTGCAACGTGTCCTTATTCATTAGTTGGAACATTTGGGGTCAAGAGACAGTTCGCACTCCAACATTGAAATGCTCGAAGTTAAATTTCAATTCCTCCTTCGTTTATCATATACAAGATTTATTCGCATTTTTTAATTGCGTATTGTCGGAGTATGTAATATTTCAGGCGAATGTCGTTGAACAAAATACAACGACTTACTCCGTTGCTAGAGCTAAATTGTGTATCAAAGATATACTTGATTATCCACAAAATAAGTTACATTACATCGCGCCTATGAATAGCGTTATAGCTTGTACACTTGGAACAAACTTTGGACAATTATCGTTATGGGTGAGATTGAGCTGTGACGTCGAACAGGTTGATACATTTAAAAAACAGTGCGGTTTGCTTCCGCGAATGGAACAAATACAAAAGACTTCTTTTCAAGATGATCCTTCTATGATGCAAGAAGATATTGATCATTATCAACAATTTAATAATCACCTTACACGTAAGTTCGACAAATTTTTCTGCTAGTTATATTTTAATTAATGAAATTAATGCAACTGATGTATGCACGCGTAAACACAAATATCAGGTATTAACGAAATAAAAGAAGACAAGAAAAAAATGAAACATTTAACAACTCCAGTCATTGGCCAGAACGACGATAAATTGATTAGCGACATAAATAACGATGGCTCATCCGATAGCGAGATAATGTTAGTGAAAGTGTTTTTATCGAATCAACGTTCAACCATTGCTTTTGACAAAATAAAATAAGATTTTTTGCTATACAGTTATAAACCAGTAACTACGATAGAGAAAGAAGAAGAAGAAGAAGAAGAAGAAGAAGAAAGGCAGCAAGCGAAAAATGCCAATCGAAAGAATACAGTGAACACAGATGAGTTCAATTCTTTTATTTCGGGCGTAAGATTTTTATTTGAAAAATATATGTACTTGTGAAGAATAATCGTCGAATATTTTTCATAAGAAATTTTTGAACGTGTTCAGACGAAGCACGATGACATAGAAACAAATAGTTCAACTCGTGACGTTTTAGAAGTGTTTCAAGAAGAGAATTGGAAAGAATATGAGCGGAAGAGTTCCTTAGCTTATTCCCAAACCTCTAGTAATTAGAAATGGCTCGTTTTTTGTTGTTGTTTTTATTATATGCAGAGCTTCTAGTTTGAAAACTTTGCATTAGATTGAACTACTTACAGAGTCACGAAATGCTGCCGATGATGTGCATGGCAAGAATCATCCTTTGACAAAATATGTACGAAGTTATTTCGTTAATTATCCTTAACAGATTAAACACTATAAATTATGTAGACATACGCAAGTCTGAACATATTCATTTTTATTCAAATATAATTATTAAGAGCAGATGTAATATAAATCTTGTGTTTTCCTCAACTCTTCAAGAAAATGTGAAATTACTTGATCAAATATAATGAAATTGCAGCCATTGGAAAGGGATACGATTGTAATCCAGATAGCAAGTGTAAATCTATTTGAAAATAGTTTAGTAATGCGCGACGATGATGTGCATTTGCTTTATGTGGAATATTCTTTTCTTGGTTACCGTGGTGCTGATATGGAAACGGAATCATTACCGAAACCAAAAATACCTAGAAAACCATTGATTTATAATTTCAGAAAAAGTAATATTATAGATCAATGTACATATTAAAAAAAAAAAAAAAGAAACAACAACAGAATAATATTGAACATGTTTGTTACAGCATTTCCGATAGACGAGAAATATCACGCCATCGAAAGAAACACATTGAGAGCCATGTTAGACGAGTCTATCAATCCAAATATAAAATTTATTTTAGTGAGCGAACCACTCCCTGAAGAAACAGATACTAAAGATTGTATGGAAATCGGGTAAAACGATATAAGCAATAGAAAGATTAAAAATCTACTTTGAGTAACCATAATATTATGTTTAATCAGGCACGCATATTTTAATATAAGGGAATATGCTTTGGAAGACAATAAGCAAAGTATAACGTTGCCAATCTCAAATCCAGCAGAAACTGAAAGAATAGGCGTAATAACGGTAAATTCAATAATATTTTTAAAAATATCATGTGGGCAGATCACACGTGTTACAAGTGAAACCTTCGAAAAACTACGTTTTGAGAGAATGAGACAAATGCAGAATATCAGGTGTAGGATAATTATAGGGTTGTTACTTTATAAAAATATTATTATTATATTGTTAATACTTTCAAAAATTAATTTACGTCTTATTAACATATTACACAGTAGGCAAGTTCTCAATTTGAAGAAATGAGACAAGTTGCTTCTGGTAACTAAAAAATGTATGGTAATTAAAAACCTCTCTGCATTCAAGCAATGCAAAAACGCCTTCCGTCGAAATCTTTGAAATTTTCCAAGTATTTTCTTTCTGCAGATTTTCACGAAACTGGCGTTAATATTCGGTCGCAAGACACTTAAATAACAATTCACAACATCAAATTGCAAATAATCTGAATAGAAAATAAACAAAAATGTTACAAAAGCGATCTATTAGGATTATGTTTGTCTAGAATGAGTCAAAAGGATAAAAAGAGATATATATATATATATATATATATATATATATATATATATATACATTAAAATTTAAGTAGTGAGGTTTTTTCCGAAAAGTAGTATTTTTAGTTATCGTTATTTAGTATAGTAGCATGTCGTTTCATAGCTTCGTTACATAGCTCCGTTTCCGTTTATTTACTTTTCAGATCACTCCCATTCTAAAGAAGTTTTCACTTCAATAAAAATAAAGAACAAATATAGTTTGTAATAAGATTTAACAAGTTGTGTATGCGCGAAATGAGTGCGCGTGGTTGTATAGACGGCTATTCCCGTCACGCCTCGATTCGCATTTCGCAGTGCGATGCACGCAGTCTGTCTCGAGTCAGGGAGGGGACTGCATCGCCGCGTGTAGTATATCTACGCTTCGCGTCAACATTTTTTTCAAGTCCAATATTTTAGATAACAGTTACGGTATCATTGTAAACAATAACACTAAAAAAAAAAAAGAGGGAAAATAGAGGTAAAGACAGAGGGAGAGTAAGATAGAACTTGCGATACAAATTAATCATTATTTCATTGGGTCATTACATCGAAATTAATTTAACGATTTTACTGTTAATTATTTTAAACATATTTATATCTTGTATAAAATATTTCTTTACAGATATACGTGCTGGGTCTCGATGCCATACGTCAATGTTTGGGCGACGATATGTAAAAGTAGACAAGTTTCGAGATGATTTACAGAACGATTTTCTTTTTATTCCTAATAAATGATTTATTACAAATCTTTACAACATAGTATATATATATATATAATATAATAATGTATATGAATAATCATATTTTTATGTATTGTTTTTTTCGCTCTCGATTTTTGGAGTAACATTATCTAAAGTTGTATTGGTATTGTTTCTTATTAAACTTTGTAGAATAGCCTTCTTCTTTTCCTGTATCGCTGTAAGAAGTTTAGTTCTTCGGAATATGTCGTTAAATATTCCAATAGCCATTTGAAAATTTCGACAATCTCTTGGTTCATGTGAGACTGACCAAACACCCTGGATCGTATCGATTCCTTGGCATACTTTGCAAGAACCTACAGTTAATATAATGAATCTTTAATGAAAATTACATTAAGAAATTATTTGTTAGAAAAAGATTTCAATACGATTACTTGCCAACAAAAATAGCCAAAGTTTTGGTATGATTGTCATAAGCGAGTAAAGAAAAAGGTCCACCAAGTCTGAATGGCGCATATCCTGTTACGTTCCATGTCGTGTTTAAAAGTCCTACATGTATAGGTTGAGGTATAAGATTTGCCAAAGTTACTATTATACTTTGATTGAAAACTTTCATATCTAATCTCACTCCAGCTTTATTTGTCACCCACGATCCTGTAAGTTTGCACGGTAAACCTAAAAACAACCAATAGTTTCCAATTCTCCATTTAATGTTAATTTAATGTTAATTTAATGTGAATTTATGTTTAATGTAATAATATACCTTCGTTGTGACTTTGATCTTTCGTATTACCCATTTTAATTTCTTCTAATTCGTCGACAATTCTATTGAGAATTTGATCAGCAACTTCTTTAGTTTCGTTAACAGTAGCAGCAATATTAACGTGTCGCATATTTGCAACATCCTCTTCAACGGAATTTCGATTTCTAATACCGTTTCTTAGCTCTAGAAATTGATTTTCTCTTACAGCTGGTGACTGGTCATAAATGTGCGTTCTATCCATCACGTTGTTCACTCTCTTTTGAAGTCCACGTCTATTCATTTGTTGGTTCAACGTTCTCACATCATTAGATTCATCTTGCTTATTCCATTTTTCCTCGGAATTAAGATAAACAGGATTTAAGAATTGTTCTACAGGCCGAACATGTTTCTTCGACGACGATGTGTCTACGATTTTATGTAACGGGTGATATAAATTGTCGTTAATATCCATTAATGTATCTGTATTATTGAAATGTTGTTTTTTATAAGGATTCTCGAGATATAAACGATTTTCTAGATACTTGTTGTTTTTATGTACCGGTACGTAATGTAATTGTTGTTGTTCCGATGGTAAAACGAAACTTTTTTCGTACGGCTCCGAATAGATATTTATTGGATTTTTTACTTCATACATATTTTCTTCTTCATTATTATTATTATTATTATTATTATTAATCTCAGGTGTAGAAATCTCATCGGAATGTAATTGAAATTGATTATTCATTAAATATTCTTGATTATTATCGATTAAAGGATAAAGATATTTATCCGTGTCCTTTTGCAACAATGAACCGTAATTATTTAAATCATTTTCTTCTTGTCCTAAATTCAATCCATAATTGTTATATACATTTTTATCACTTGTATCTAACGGTAAATTATATTGATCTCCACTTGATTGTAAAAGTAATGAATTTGCGTCAAAATGAAAATCATTTAATTTAGGATCCTTTTCGGTTTGATATTGTGGAATATTTTCATCGGATGAGTAGAAATCGTCGTTCAAATTTCGATTAGGTCTAATTTTTGGAAACATTCTTTTCGAGGATAATAATTGTTCTGGTTGAAAGTATATTGGATTATTGTTGTTTGGTGTAAAACTTTGACGAATAGATCGAGCACGTGGATTTTTTTCAATTTCCTCTTCAACTTCATCATTAATATCATTGTAATATTCGGAATACTCAGCTCCTTGATCACCAGAATTTGGCTTCGTTGGATTTTTCGTTGTCGTTCTCATCAATCGTTCTATCATACTTTGTTTTTCATCATTTCGTTCAATATTATTTGTCACTTTAATAGAAATTGTTGTTTTTTCCGTATTCAAAGTTGTGGATTGAGTCACATCGATGTAATCTTCTACATCAATAATGACTGTTACGTTATCACTTTTATATTTAATATCGTTAGGTACTTTTTTGAATAACGCTTTTTTCATTTTATTTTTCAAATTAATATTAGATTTTAACATTTTTTTTCTAGACTTCTCTTTCACAAGATCGTTTTTTCTGTTAGTGTTGTAATCTGCCTGAATGAATAAACTCGTCAATTTTTCAAACTTATATTATGAAATTTGTTTGAAATAAGTTTGTGTGAAATAAGGATAATAAAATAGATTCAATAATATGAAAGAAATAATGAAATCTTACCTACCTTGGCAGATGCATTTTTAGACCATCGCGGTTTTCGACGACGTCTATGTCTATGTTTCTTTCGCTTTTTTTTCTTTCCTCCTTTATGCTTCGATTTTAGAATAGGTTTACGTGTGTTATTTTCTTCTACGGAAAGTTGCAAATACGTATCAGTAGAAGAGGATCCGATATTCACGAGTTTATTTATGGTTTCTTGCATCTTTAGAGATTTGATAGCATCCTTAGCAAATTTCTCTGCCAGTTTGTTCTCTTCAATCAATCTCGAATCGAAATGCGTGTCATCGAAATCCCTAACTTTATCCGTATACTCTTCTTCTTCTTCGTGTTGTTTTTCATTTCGTGTCTGTCTGATCTTATTAGCTCTTTCCATTTTCAAATCCGAATGTTGTCTTCTCGAATTTCGAACGATCAGATTGGCTTCCCTTGATTGAACGTTTCTACTATTTTTAAGATCGTCCCGGATGCAAGACACGTTAACCAGTAGTGCAATCATCGTCACAAATCTATTATTTTTTTATTTTTTTTTTTTTTTTTTTTACATTAACCTAATATTATTAAAAATTGAAGCATGCGTATGGTAAATGAATCAACAGGTTTCGATTACCTGAACAAGCTTGGCTGCATTCCTCCAAGAGGTTGTGACAAATCGTATCATCGATTTCGTGGTCCATTGATTCTAAACTGAAAAACGACGTCGTTTTGTCGTCTACATGACAGAATTTCAGTACTGTCAATTGTATTACATATACGATGTAGGGTTAACGTTATGCTTTTATTTGATTACACAAATATTCATATTTTCAATTGTTTCACTTGGACAAATTAGAATTTGTTAATTTGTCAAACAAAGTCCTCTTCGAGGGAAACCCACCGTGCGAGTGTCAGCAATCACAGGGGTGAAATACAAAAAAGAAGAAGAAGAAGAAGAAGAAGAAGATGAAGAAGAAGAAGAAAAGAGAGGATAGGACGCTTAATTTCGTCGCACAAATCGTACATGTGTACTTATATATACAATTCTCTCGTAGAGTCTACCGACCGATCTACTATGTACGATCAAAGGAGACTTGGGCCAATGCCAAGTACACGCGTCGGCCTCAATTAGTCGAATATTACGTATAAATGTCATACACCGAGCTATCGTACTTACAATTAGCCCTATAGACAACGTAAAAGAGATGTGAATACAACTCTTGGTATGTTTTATGTCAACCCTTAATATGTCGGTTAAAATCAAACTTCATTCTCAAACTTCTTCAAATTATAAACTTGTTTATTTTCTTCATTATGATAATAAGCGACACATATGTATTAACTTTTATTAATGCAATTAGTATAATCGAACGTTTAAGCTATCTCGTATAAAAAAACTCTACTTGAAGAGTAGAGCAATCTTGAAACATATGGCAGATGATGATAAACGCAGCGTCATTTAAGTTCTGTTAAGTTATGCATATATGCATCTTGAAATTTGTTGATCTCTAAGATGTTAGATCAATTTCTAAAGTTTAAATATATACTTCGTGGATGTATAAATACATATGAATAAATTATTTTTGCCCGAGAGTCAATTCGATTTGGTATTATATCAACTCACAATCATACACTTTAAGTAATCTTAAATTGTACACGAATAAGATTTAGAAATGCATATACATATATACAGAAGGAAGAAGATATATCGAAGGAAATGTTCTTCTCATAAATTATATATATATATATATTTATACATCTATTCTGTGTATGCGTGTATGTAATGTATTAAAATTGAATCTGCACACAAATAGATTCTCGAAGAAGACGAACCGTCGAAGTAGCATCGGTGCTTGGTGGAACTCGGTAACAGGCTTGAAAAAGGAGAAGACATGATTGGTCAGTACCAGCTTGAAATGATCATGTCTTGAGAAAAAAAAAAACTTAGCAAAAGACAACGTATGTATCGATGGTGCAGAGTCGAAGTGAAATCCCTGGAGATAGGGGAGCATTGATTATTATTAGAACTAGCTAATTGTAAGGTACAAGCAAACTATCTTAACTGGTCGGTCAAGAAACCATAATAATCCTTTTTTTTTTGGATGGATTTACCCATCCATCCATGATTCCTTCATTCATTTCATTTAATAATCATTTCTAGACAAATAAAATCATTATAATAAACATGTTGACACCTGGTAAGTTGGATTAAGTAAGACACGTTCTTGTTAGCTAGTTACGAAAATGGTTATTCCTTGCGTGCGCATTAATCAAATGGCTAACTACCAAAGTGTGTTTGAAATTACATTAAATATATGTATCGTATTAGTAGTTGAAAATAAGAAAAGGGTGAGAATGAAATTTGACTGAGTTTGAGGATACCAAAGGGTAAAGAGTAAAACGACGACAAAAGCTGTAATGGTGAAGAGGACAAATTTCGACGGCGACGACGACGACGACGACGACGACGACGACGACGACGACGACGACGACGAAGCTAAGAAGAAGAAGAAGAAGAAGAAGAAGAGGTAGTAGAGAAGCGTGGAGGGCGTCACGACGCCTTACTGCTCTGGCATTGGTAGCAGTCTCGAGATAGCCGCCGGCTGGCTTCCTTACCACCTCGGTGAATTTATTCGAGGATTCCGAGCGCAAAGCGCCGAACGATAAATCCGATCGATCGTCCGTAGAGTGATCTTTCTTTATTTCTCTCTTTCTCTCTCTCTCTCTCTCTATTTTATTTTTCTCAACACTCAGCAGAATTTGTCATCATTTCCTTGAGAAACGATCCCCCCTCGAGTAAAACGAAACGCTCAAATACACATTTTTACATTTTTAAATCCTTCGAACGTGGGCAAAGAAAAAAGTAATCGAATTGATCTAATAAAATTTGGATAAAGAGATAAGTGCATCGAAGTGAGTGCTTCAAAAAAGGGAAATAAATAAGAGATTATTATTGTATATAGGTGAGTCGTGTTTCATTTCTTATTTCAATGTTTTATTTGTCATTGTAAAACACGTTTTTCTTTGCTTTCGTCTATCTTTTCCTCTCGGATTTTTTGTTTCTTTTTTTTTTTTTTTTTTTTATTTGTTCCCGTCGTGTAAGCCCCTCTCCCGCGGCTATTTTCGCGCGTCTGTTGTGCAAGTGTCGAACGCATTAAGGCGGCATTCGAAAATCGTGCCTACCTCCGATGTTAGTGAACGGAACGTCGAAAGATCGCAGATCCTCCTTCGATCGTCTCGCCTTTTCTCGCCATGTCCCTTTCGATGAGTCTAAAGCTTAAAAAAGTTTCGGTTTCGTATAACGCCGCTCTCTCTCACTCTCTCTCTCTCTCTCTCTTTGATGAATGCTGACCATTCTTTTATTTATTTTATTTTTAAATTAGAAACATCTTTGTTTCCACAATATGATCAATATTTAGAAACATGTTTGTTAAATCATGTAACTCGTGATCATTTTTCAAGTTATTTGTATTTTGTACAAAGCGTCCAAGATTATGTCAACAGATTATTTAAAAATATCTTGTATACTTATGTTAAAATATTGATCATCGATTGATACTATTTGAATGGAATCAAATTAGACTTTTGTTTTATCGATAAGATTCGAATGAAAAAAGGCAAAAGACTTTTGGTTGCATCGATTAACGGATTGACACGCATGTGACACCGCATAATATACACAGAACGCGTAACTCCGCTTCGAAATGAAATTCTGTGTTACGTGCTCAAGGTGCCTCGTAAAATAGCTGCGCGCTATTTTCCTGGCACAGTTTCTGAAAGTCAAGCGTCCAGTGAATCAAACCGTGGGTCCAGTCATACGAAGGCCAAGTTTTTAGCTTCTCTGTTTCCTAAACAACAAAGTATTAGTCATTAGAATCACAAAACTCTAGTTACTACTTGCCAGCGTGTAAAACTTTATCTTCGCTGTAAAATTCGCTGCTTGTCTCAACAAATCCTATTTGCAAACAATTAAATATGATCTTTGCGTTTTTTCCCCTAATTATATGTTACAATTAATGATGTTTTTGTATTAATTTGCAGCGTGGTTGAAATAATAGGTAATAGAGTAGTTTAGCAGTCGTTTACTAGGTGATCCCGATAAAGAATTTGTTGTCGTGCCAGGTGACGAATAAAGGCAAAGCAGGGACTTATCGATGCCAGCAAATCGAACGATGATATCGTCGATAAATAGTTTAGGTATTTTCGACAGAAGTATATTTTCTTTAGACGATTTCAAAGGACGCGCGTGTCTGGGAGTTTAAGTTTACGATCTGCGTAGGCATATTCCATAATTAAAGTTCCTCGTTATCGATGAAAATTCATCTCGTTCGATCGTTTGGAAAAAAAAATCATTTCTTTTTTACGGCTTCCGGTTTATTTATATTCTCCCGCAATTCCATGATTCGTGGGTATTGAAGATTTTCGATTGGTGCATAGAAATCGATGGCGGAAGTGACCCGATTAACGGGAAAGTACAAGAAAATGCGGCCAACCCTGCGTGTTCAGTTAGCGGGCCAGCCAATCGGAGCTACGAATACGGGTTCCTACGTGTCGGAAATAGATTTTGCTCAAACCAAAGGTTGATCCACCGACGCCACTTTCACCAATCTCTACGTCTCTAACGTTTCTCTTTATTTTATCTTTTGCTATTTTGTTTCACGGCTATTATCCTATTTGGTGGTTAACTTTGACAATGGAAAAAGACAAAAAAAAAACAAAAAAAAACCAAAAAAAAAAAACAATGTTTTCAGCTATTGCATATTTTCATTTATTTTTACATCTTGCATATGAGCTCGATTGCGATTTAATGAGATTCATATCATCGTCAAACTATTTAATTATCTTGTTCGTAATGTAACACGTGTTTTCAATTGATTCTACATCTAACAATAACGAAAGAACGAAGAAGAGCCAATTTGTTAATAGGATATGATTCATACAACAAATATCTTATTCTCGTAGTTACAATGAAGTGAATTAGTTGAAATGTTAGATTTAAATTTTCGTGCTAGCTTTGAAATATTCTATCGATAATATAGAATCGTTGCATATTTCGTTGATGATTTGAATAGTCGGTAAATTACCACATCGCGATCAAACTAAAAAGAAACTTTCCAATTTATCTTACGGAAGATGCAGAAATATGAATTTGAATGTACGTTGTTCTCTTAGCGGGTACTTCAGATGGCAGCACTGTAACAAATTTTAAATTTCAACCGCGCGAAAATGTTAATTGTAAAAAAAAATAAGGATCAATGCATTGGAATGCGAATAATCTTTTTGCAAATATTATTGAAATAAAAATATTTGACATATATATTATGTTTTGTATTACAGAATAATGACGTAATTCAGCATCTATAAAATGGCTTACAACAGATCAATTACAAGCGTAACTTCGAAAAGGAAAAAAGGTAATTGATATTTTTACAATTCTTATCGATAGCCGTAAGCTATATATTTCTTTCTCCTATAAACATAATAAAAAAATTCACAGGAATCATAAAAACTCGTTGAATTATTTCAGAATATTCGGTGGAAGTAAGCAAAATCGTAGCGAGTGAATCAAGAATCCAAGAAAGAAGATCGACACTTAGGGTGAGCAGTGTCCATTTTTTTTGTCTTTTTTACAAATGACATAATAGCGTATAATTGAAATATTGCATGCATACGTCACGATCTTTATTACTAATCTCGATTTGCAATTAACAAAGTAAATAATAGTTACAAACGACGAAGGAAGTATAATTATTCCACTGGCATAAAACATTTCGCGTTAATTGGTTATCGCGTAGGTTGGGTGAGAGGAAAAAATTAAAAATGGTATAAAAAAAAACAGTTGATAAAAAGGGAAAAGAAAAAGACGTTAAATACCATTGCGTCACGATAAGATCATCTAAATTAAACTAAAACTGTAGAGTGGCGCGTAGTTAGATAGAAAATATCTGATTTGATGCCAAAGTTTCTTACCGGGGAAGAAAAAGTACGAGAACTTACCAACAACGTCATTTCAATTACACCAGTACAGATTTCATTTTTTTCTTTCTTTCAAATATTACATTTAAATTTATATCGATCGTTGTTTCACTTACAGGATCATTCATTTTCTATGCACTTGTATATACCATAAATATAAAATGATTGAATGCATTGTAACCACAAAATCATCGAAAGAACATATACCGTAGATCTAGTATCGTGTTTATGAATGTGAAAATTGATTTCTTCGTCAGACCGTAAGAAGAAGAAGAAGAAGAAGAAGAAGAAGAAGAGGAAGAAGAAATATCGTCCAGTATAGTTGTTCAGTTTTGGCTGGACGTCAAAAATGTAGATTTTGTGCCAGTAATTCTTCGTCGTGTGTCAGAAAATGAGTAGAAAATAAGAAAGAAAGTGCGACGTCTTTAAACCGTGATAAACTTTCAATGTCGCAACGATTCTACATATGCACAATGCATTTTCGGCTACTCTTGACCTAACTTAAAAATTGTCCTACAATTATTTTCAAATTCTCTTTTCTCTCAAAGATTAATCTATGAAATGTGTATTTTGCAAATTTGACTTGGCTCAGTTAAAAAATGGTCAAGATAAAATATTTGCTGGTGTGTGTGTGTGAAAGTAAAAGATGGATGTGTCAATGATTCAAAGATTTCCGAGCTCGCGATAGAAAGAAAATAAATGACATTGTCTTGGTAACTTATTGAACTCATCCGGACGGAGATCAGTGAGTTTGGCAGCACATCAAATCCACGTATCACCGGACTCTTTGAATGTGCCAATACCACTCATAGACCTGTTCAAAGAAACATCTTAACGTCTAGGTAATGCAAGTAAATCATCATGATTTACAATTGAACGATGAAAAGTTTCGCTAGATAATTTTACTTTTGTCACGCGAATTTTCATTGTTTTTATTCTCTATGACTGTTAGTTGATAAAAATATTAATGAATCTTATCAAAAAATGATCTTCTACGAATTGTCTTTTGGATTAGCTAAATGTAACGTTGTTTAGAATTTTCTGTCAGATATAAATTCAACAATACTACAATACAGTTATAGGAGTGTTAATAAATCAGTCAACCTTGACTATCGTGATAAATCAAAAGGATGGATCATAGCACAAATCGTTTAGCGGTAATGTTTTATGACAAATTTTGTTCACTCTCTTAAATGTTATCGATATATATATATATATATATATTATGATCGAAATATACAACTAACCGTATTGAAATAATTCCCATTTGAAAGTTTATCGTCCATGTCTCGGTATGCCAACAATGCGTCGCGAATTTATTTCAGACCCGTTTAACTACCAAAACGAAACAATACGATTGTTTTATGGTCGAGAAATGGTGCTAATGATTTTCCCTTAGAATTTCTTTAACCAGGGTGTGAAATTGTAATCATTAATAATGAATACAATATCGGTGATACCTTTATATTATATCTTTATATCGGATTCTACGATACCTTTAACCCATCGAAACTAACTAATAAAACGTATTTTTTTATTTGGACGGTACGTTCTCGAAATTGAAGTTTTATATGAAATAATGACGCAACGTTCCTAAATACAGAAAAGGGGCACACGTTGATGATTCCAATGCACGTGGGTATAACGAGTACGAAGCTGAAAATATCCCAACACCAATATTGCCCTTATTTCAAAAAACCTTTCCTAAACATCGATCGAATAATACTATTGAATATTCGCAAAAAAATTCCCTCCTATCATGTCAGTGGAAAATTCGTTGAATTGAGAAAAAATCCGGAATTGGTTGTTGTGAGATAAGAAGATAATGGGTTGCACAAGATAATACATAAGAATTAGTTGAATGTTCTCGTTTAAATTAAGAGAAATGTGTAAGAGGAGGAGGAGGAGCAGGAGGAGGAGGAGGAGGAGGAGGAGGAGGAGGAGAAAATAGGATAGGAAAAGGCTTGAGCTCGGTGTAACTCAGAGTTCTGAAGTTGTATTGGAGAAGTGTAAGAAGGGTAGCTATTTCTGTTCGTGGGGAGTCGAGAGTTTGGTCGCGCAAACGGCTCTTTAGCCACTTCTCCTACATCGAGTAGTAGTCTAGCGTTAGCCGCGAATCGTAATACGTTTATTCCGAACTAACGGTGCAAACTTTGTGTCGTTGATCCTTCATTCGAGAACAACTAACAACTTCGAAGAGAAAGAGAGAGAGAGAGAGAGAGAGAGAGAGAAAGAGAGAGAAAGATCAAAAAGAAAAATTTAACATCCTATAGATGCCCCGTGAATTTTATCCAAGATAAACGTTTGACGTTCGCGTGCTAATAACGACAAATGCATATATACATATATGCATATATTTTTTTTATTTAATCGATCGAATCAATATCGAAATGACTCATCGAATATGAGTACTCGAATTCGTCTGGAGAAATTCTTAATAAATTGCATTATTCTTTCTTTTTTTCTTTGCTTTTTAAACGACAATTGAAATGTCATTTTTTTGTTAAACGATCATGAAAATACTTATAGTATTTATGTATGGTTTTACGTTCGGAGGAAAAGTCTTTTGACAGAGAGGTAGGAAAAGAGAGAGAGAGAGAGAGAGAGAGAGAGAGAGGGAAAGAGTGCAGTGCACTGGCATGAAAATAGATGTACGACGGGGGTGTTGCTTTGTGAGCTTTAGTTAAAAGTGAGCGGATACTTCTCTATCGTTATTCTTTACTATTTCAAATTTGATTAAACGGTGTTCGATAAATTCACGATAAATACAAAACTTAAAGAGAAAACGTTCGTCGTAAATTTATTTGTTGCACCTTTGCCAATCGGATCTGGATGAGTTATTGGAGGACTTAGAAGAAGTGAAAGTGAAAATACAAAGAGAGAACATTTGAAGATTCGAGCTTGGAGAGTAATCGAGAGAAAGTACAAGAACAACGTTTGCTTGTCGAAGCAAACATTTCTTTTTTTTGTTTTCTCTCTCTCTCTCTCTCTTTCTCTCTCACGTGTAAATGAAAGAATTGGCCGTTTACCAGAGAAAGACGAAGGCAAGAACATCGACGGAATCCTCATAGGCATTTCGCACAAGTAAAAATAAACTCGAAACGCGACGCGACGCGACGCGACGCGCCACTCTTCTCCTTCGTGTGGCAAACTTGTCCAAATTTTCATTCCTTCTTTTTCTCATTTCTGTCTTTTACTTGCATTTTAACTCGATTGCTTATACGGATGTAAAAAATTGCAAAAAAGAAACACGAGGAAGATAGGAGAATGTATTGAGTGTGGGTGGAGAAGAAAAGTTAAGGGTAAAAATAATCAGCAGCAGCAGCAGCAGCAGATAGTACGAGATCATTCACCGGATTGTATTCCTACCAGACCAGTTGGGAGAAATAACTTTTCTCTCTTTCCCTCTCTCTCTCTCTCTCTCTCTCTTTCTTTTTTCAACGTGGCAGAGAGGAAAGCTCGTCCAAGAAAAACAAAAGAAACGATCGGAATAATCGTTGGGCAAAGAAAATTCAAAGAAATTGAATTGGAAAAGTCGTTATGGATAATTTCAAAAATGACGATCGATGGATGGTCCCCGAGATTAGGATCGTAAGATAAAAATTAAAGGGAAGAAAAAAAAACAAAGTTGGATAGATCGTAGAAGAGGAAGAACAAAAATGTCATTTTGTAGGATCACGGGGAGGAGCAGGGGCCTCCCCAAGCCAAATTATTTCCCCTTGTTACCTCCCATCAGTCCGGCAGATGCTAAACGCTTTTGTCGTATAACCGGTAAATCTTATGGGCTTCCGACACATCATTACATTCCAGTACTTCTCGGCGTTCATTCGCACGACAAGTCTAAATGTAAGATCACTAATGCTGCCGGTTTTGGTCCGCATCATTATACCGCTGGTCTGATACTCGGGGAAAAGAGGAAGCACGTAGTTTTGAAGGATTTTCGTTACGTCTTTCCGATACTCGAAGGGGAAAGTGAACAACAGAGAGCATTGAGAGATTTGCTAGGTAGGAAACAGCCAATGGTCGAGGAGGAAGATTACAAATTTGTTTACACGGTCGAAGAACGAAGATGCAGTTTAGTTTTTCCGGCGAGATTGGAAGCTGCTGTAAGAGACGGAGATGTCAAGGATGTCATGTTATCTCGAGACTGCGATACCGTACTCTTGAGACTGAAACAAGGGAAAAATGTATCGGTTGACTTTAAGAATTTGGAAGACTTTGACAATCTTTTTGATGGTCTTGGACCAAATGAGGAAGTCCTAAAGGAACGCGAAAGAATCGAGAATGAAGCTAAGAAACGCAAGAGAAAGAGACAAGCTGGTCTTAGTTACGCGAAGAAGATCTTTGAGGAAAAAGAAAAAGCTGCCGAGGAAGAGGAACTTCAAAAGGCGAAACATCTTAAATTAAGAAGCGTTAAGGAGGAAGTTGAAGAAGAACACGAAAATTGGAAACGAATTGATTTAGAAGCTGCAAGATTAAGAGCTTGTAATATAATTGCTACAACTAATTCGTTGAAGGATTCGATTAACACTTTCCCAGTATCCTTAGACTTGAGTACGTTTCAGAAAGATACGATTTCATCTAAGAGTATAGCAATAATAAATAAGCTACCTACTCCGATTAAGATAGAATCTCATACGTTTGAACAATGTACGGAGCTAACGAGTACTTCGCCAATTTCTGAACACACCGGTGGATTCGAAGCTATCTCAATAGTAAAACCGCTGACACCTTTGAAAATAAAATCCGAACCTGCTCTAGAATCCGCTGTCATGAATATTTCGGTTAACGACTTGAAAGCTACATCCAATGTAAATGCCAAGTTCACGAAAGCTGGCGAGACGGCACTCGAACGTCTTCCCAGAGTTGAGGAAATTCCTGCTTTAATAGAGAAAATCAATAACGGTGAAAAAACTACGATGCACAAAGTAAAAGGTCTTAAATTAGATATCAAAAGTGCACAGAGATTTATCGCAGGACAAACAGTGGAAACTCCAACAGGTCCTGTTTTTGTCCCAGGGCAAACTTTGGAAACACCTCAAGGCCCTGTATTCGTTCCCGGTTTTACTGTGAACACGCCTGATGGACCACTTTTAATTCCTGGTCAAATAATGAAAGTTAAAGAACAAAATGGCTTAGAGACACCGTCTTTCATCGCTGGACAAATGTTGCCAACGAGTAAACAGGGCTTGCAATTTATTCAAGGACAAACATTTCACAATAGGGATGGTAGTAGATTCGTGCAAGGTCAAACTGTATTGACCGACGAAGGGCCAAAGTTTGTGGCCGGACAAGTAGCCGATAATGGATATTTTATTCCTGGACAAACGATTTCCACTCCGGATGGTTTAAAATTTGTTCCTGGGCAAACGATCACGGATCATCAAGGTGAACAAATGTTTGTACCAGGAGAAAGCGTTCGAAATTCTGACAACTGGGAATTTGTACCAGGACAGAGCGTACAATCTTCGACGGGTAAAACAAAGTTCGTACCTGGTCAGACGGTGCTAACACCGCAAGGTAGTCATTTCGTTCCTGGTCAATTTGTCACGGAAGATTCCGGAGAGATTAACTTCGTACCGGGAGTCATCAAGGAATCTGAAAATGATGTTAAATTCGTACCAGGTATGACGTTGGATACACCGAAAGGACCAAAATTTGTCGAAGGACAAATTACGAAAGAATCGGATGGGAAGAAATTCGTTCCAGGACGAACTATACTCACCGAAGAAGGATTTCAATTTGCTGCTGCTAGTAAATTTGACGAAGTTGTTCTAACGGAAGCAGGACCAGTGGGAATACCGATAGATCCGAAAACAGCTAACGGCAATTCGATGTCCGATCAGAGAGAAATTTTTGGACATATGGTCCAAACGGATTTCGGCGTTGAATTTATTCCAGAAGGCACGAGAAATTTACCAAAGGGTAAAAGAATTGTTCCAGGACAATTGGTACGTGGCGGAAAAGATGAACCACGATTCGTACCGGGTGTTATGACGGAAGATGGTTTTCTTCCTGGTCAAATAGTAATGACGGAAAAGGGAGAAGAATTTGTGCCGGGTCAAGTGGTCGATACGAGCGGTGGACCAAAGTTCGTTCCAGGACAAATGGTTGAAACACGTACAGGACAAAAATTCGTTCCTGGACAGACCGTGGAAACGGTCGACGGACCAAGATTCGTACCTGGCCAAATTGTAGAAACAAAAGTTGGGCCAACTTTTATACCAGGTCAAGTGATCTCTACGGAAGAGGAAGGTTCTCGTTTCGTACCTGGACAAGTCGTCGATACTCCAGACGGACCTAGATTTGTTCCAGGACGGGTTGTGGAATCAGGAGAGTCTGGTATCACTTTTGTATCGGGTCAAATCGTCCAAACGGAAGAAGGTCCACGTTTCGTAGCACCGGATTTAACCGATACACCGGAAGGCGAAGTAGAATTTTCTGTTCAAGGATTCGAAGTTACTCCCGAAGAATTGCGTCTTCTCAGACCAAATCATTTGCATTACAATCCATATAATAACTTAAATCACGGAGAGAGTAGCATAGATGCTAGAATGTTAAGACAATTGTCAGAAGCTGGTTTATCGGTTGGTAGAAAGGTCTTGACAAATTTACCTGCGGTTGACGTCGACGTTGATCCGAAAGCTGTAGCTTTGGAGCAAGCTCTGGTTATGGCAGAGAAACTTGGGTTACACGGTAATGCTGCTGTCAAAATGGCTCAGGTAGTTTCTACCGTGGCGCAGTTAGCAAAAAATATTGCACAACAGCAAGAGCGAGATGTAAATCGATCGGAAATGATAGGTTTGACGAATGGCACTAAATCGCCGATCATGATGAATGGTGTAAAGGAAAAGACGAATGACGAATGGCTACGAGATGCGATTAAAACAGCTATGGCGTCTGCCGTTCTAGCGCTTACCAATAACTCATCGGATGATAACGAAAACGCGAAACAAGATTTGGTTTATTCGTCGATTACCGAAGCATTTAATGTATTGCTACGACAGAAAGATGAGAATATGGAAAAATCGGTAGAGAATGTTCTTCGCATTCTCCTAATTCCGCAAAACCGAAGCGAACTTTGCCAAAGTACAATGTTAGAATTAATGGACGATTCGAAAAATAATAAAGTAGATATATTGAAGTCTACAATAGTTGGTGAAACGTTGAAAGACGATGTAGTGCTCGAGAGATTATCCATGGTTCTCGAAGAAGAACACGGTACGGATTTGATCGGATCGGCTTTCAGAACGGTATCGAGAAACGATCCGGAATTGGTTTCACGAGTACTTCAGAAGGTATCGGAAGAAGTAGCGAGTGTAGCAACGGAAAAAGATGCCGCCGAAACCGTACATAAAGCTATTGTTCAAGCTGTTAGAGAATCTAGCGAACTACGTGTGAAAGAATTGTTGAACGACGAACAAGGTAGCAACGTGCGAGAAATGTTACTTCAAGCTGTGGGATTGGCTCGAGCTCTTGGAATGTCCAGCACGGCTAGTAGTCTTTTAGCCGTGATCAGTGACGAAAAATCAACTCGTGCTTTGGCCAGTGACAGGGTCACTTTGGACGTGTTGAAGAGGTTGACGGTAATGAGAAAATTAGCCGAGGAGAGGCCACCTTTCATGAGCGCTCTTGGACAACTCTGTAGCGATCCGGAATTGGCCAGAACGGATCCACGTCTTAGAACGCTTGTTAGAGAAAGTGCAGCACTGATGATAGTTCCAGAAGAAGCACCATTGCAATCCTCCGTTGACGTACCAACGGCGTTACTTCACGCTGACAATAGTTTAGCCATGGAAGAATTTCTCATGAGAAGAAGTCACAAACCAACGTCGATTTTTATGATACTGAAACAAGGTTTGCAAGCCGTTGTACCTAGAGAAGCCTCAAGATCAGTATTGACCGGAGAAGTAGCTTACACTGTTCTAGACGAGGATGGTATTCACCATTTCGAGCCGTTACACGTTTTCTCAGCTCTCAGATTGAATCGGCCAACCGCTCATCGTTTTTCCATGTACTGTTGTCCCGTCGCCAGAGAAGAAGATATCGAAGCTGAAATGACATCTACGTTCACCGGAACAATTTCGATTACTAGCAGTCTCGAAGGTTCAGCTAATGGACTCTGTCAGAAACAAGATAGGTCTTTCGGTATTTTAGGTAGTAGAGAAAATACACCAAGCTTCAAGAAATTAAGCAGTATCTGTCAGGAGAATGGTAACGAACGAATGGTAACTTGACATGACGTTTTATCTTTAAATTTTAGAAAATAAATATCCTATTATAAAGATATTCGAATGATTAAAGCTTTCTTATTCATCAGCAATGTAATAATGGATGTAATATAATACAAGTAATCGTATCTTTTTCGTTTCAGAAACCATTGGACAATTACATCGTCGTAAAGGATTACACGGACGAGACCGATGGGTTTACGGTGAATGTTGGTGATATCGTGGAAGCTTTCGAATATGCCGATCATGCAAAGTAAGTGAAACATTTATCTTCGAATTGGCATGGAAAATTGTGTTGTAACTGTGTGTGTGTGTGTGTGTGTGTTGTATTTATATTAGATCGATAATTTGAGATTAGAGCATTTGACTAAACTAAATTTGCTATGAAAAATATAATAAATGAAAAAGAAAAATATAAGAAGTGGAATACCATGGCTGCATACTTAATCGCTTGGAATCGCCTCTGTTGCAATCGTCAAGGTGCAACTTGCTTCAACATAAAAATAAACAAAAAATCGAAAATCGAGCCAAAATGGCTCTATGACCGACCAATGATTGACGATGTTGTAGGAAAATGAGAATGGATCCCGAGTTGGAAATTGGTGAGATCTACGGTATATTGGACAATTCTGCTGCAAAACACAAGCTGTCCATTCGACCACGTCGAAAGCATACAGATCCACGAGCACGATGCATTTCGAGGTCGAACTCGGACAGTAGCCTCCAAAGGTAAGGCTAAATAAGACATTTCTAAAGAAGATAAGAAATTGTTCATCGAACTTTCCAATAAGCTAGCCAAATGCTTGTCATCGTTAAATCCCATTAATGACATAGCTTGAATTGTAGTTTAAACAGCTGCGTTTTGTTGTTGTTGTTCTCCTTCTTCTTCTTCTTCTTCTTCTTCTTCTTCTTCTTCTTCTTCTTCTTCTTCTTCGATAATATTACATCGTTCTCTGTTTTATGAATGCAAAAAGCACTCTTCCTAGATTTCTACGAATAATTTTCGAATAATTCTCAAATAATCCGAATGAAAAGCAAGAGGAAATGATAATTCTGGAAAGTAGAAGAAATAGAAATGTGTTGAACGCAACGTTGAAAGCAATCTCCATATTTATCTATCTAATTGGCTATATGATCGTACCTAAAAGTGCAATCACGAAGAAAATCTACGAGAGGATCGAAACCTAAAGCAAGTACTTTGTAGACAGTGAATTAACTGAAAATTTATGAGTAATTCGGTGTGAATTTAAACGGTACATGAATTGCCAATCGAATCTCGAACGGACGAGGCAAGTGTTGCTCGATCAAAATAGTAACTGTTATGCGTAGAAACGACAGGTGCATACGACCAACGTTACATTCAACGTTCTGAGGTCAACGAACTTATCGTAAGGCATCATGCGAACGATAACTTTCAACTTTTCACCAAATTTTCCATTATTTTCACACAAGAGAGACAAAATATTCCGAGGATTATAAGTGCAATTATTTAATCGTACTAATACGGTCGATCGAAATTAGATTGTTATTGTGTTTGTCGACGAAACTTAATCAAATCTATATCAATTTCTTCCTCCTTTGCACAAAGATATATTCAGGGAAGTTGATTTATAATGACGTTAATTAAGACTAACCGTTTATAAATGTCCAGAACAATAATAACTTAAGGAGGAATACTTTTTGAAAAACGTCAAAGTTCTCGAAAGTTTTGATCGAAGGTGTAATATAAGACAAAATCCTAGTTGTCGTTAAACTGAATCTTGAAATAATATGAAAATATCGGCCTTGTCTATCCAATAATAGGATTGTCCAAGACGATATGCATTTCTTTATCTATTAAAAGATAATTGCTACTAGCAATGAAAATGAATGTTTGAAGTCGATTGCGCAGGAGACTAGTTGCATAATCATCTTGTAAGAAGACGCAGGAGTTTCGGGTTATATTAGCTCGCCAAAAAGAAGTGACTCCGCGCAAGGATAAATATCGGCCAGTTCTGAAAATAAATTAGGGTAAAGGTGAGGTTCAAGCCTAAAATGTCGCCTCTGATTCTGGCAACGTTGACGTTCAATGAGCTGCGAACCATTTACTACGGATTTACGTAGAAATGTATGGCTGCTGCTGCTGCTGCTGCTGCTGCTGAGAACTCAGAAGATTTCCAAGTGTACAAAAGAAAATGAAAATACTTGCCAAAAAGAAATGAAAAAGTGTCGTTCTCTTTCGAACCAATTTTACACCTCGTCTAGAAATTTCGATTGATATTTTTGATCCTATTAATATTTTCATCGGTGAATATTATTCATTAGAATTGTTACTATTTCGAATAGTATTTTCTATCCAATGACTGCGAAAAATAGATGCAAACGAATGATTTCCATCAAAATTGGACAAAGTATAGATAGATTTTCTTTCAGATGCGTGGGATTCACCGAATTATATTTTTATCTTGTGACTAACTCGTAGCACTATCTCACGAAACGTGTAGAAATTATCGTTCATTCAGTCGAACTAAGAAAATATGACATTTATAGGAATATCCTGATAATATTTTAGAAAATTAATCGAATAATACATTTGTACAATAGATATATATTATAATGCATAAATATTATTTCTTAGTTGAAAATGTGATATGTTTTGTTGCGTGTGTGCAGAGTGTACGTTCGTACAGCAGATGGAAGAGAAGGATGGCTACCAATGTCCATACTTATGCAAACTAGTCTCAGCGAGGAAAGTTCCGCCATGATTGGTCATAATCGACCAGAGGACTCTCATTATCGAAGAGAGTACGTTATTTATAATTACCCTTTTATTTTTTTTTTTTTTTGTTTTTTTTTTTTTACCATAATTTTATTCCTTATAATGTATTGTTTATAGGGCAGTGGTAAAGGAACTGGTTGAAACCGAAGAAGAATTTGGGAGAGACATTCAATTGGTCGTTGAACGTTATTTGAAACCTCTCGACAATCCAGATGTTCCACGTATAGTTCGCGATAATAAAGACATCATTTTTACGAATCTCAAGCAAATTGCTGATTTTCACAATACGTACGTAAAAATTCTTGAAATAAAGTACAATCTGAATTTGGATCTCTTAGATTCAACCACGACTCTATTCAAAACATCTCCATCATACACGAAACAAACTGAAATTTCGTTATTTTGTAAAAGTATCATAGAAACATGCCAAAAAGAACACAGCTACTTTTTACACGAGCATTCACAAAGCACACGTACACTTAAACTCATTAATTTACATTTTTCATTGTCAGTTTAGGAAAAACATGTATGTAGAGAAACAAATCGAATGAATATCCATGTTTGAAATTTGTTTTTGTGCACGTGTGGCTTCGTCATCGTATTTACGTCTTTTACGTGAATTTATTTTTTAATAAATATACCTATATATTTAGGTGTGTGAAATATGAAATAACATTCCAAATGTTTCCTCAAGATTATGTTTCAAAATTGATAATAATTCTTGACAAATTCATTCATTTGTATCGTTCAATAAAATAATATTAAAAATAACAAACGTAATCTTATGGAAATCATACAAAAATGAAAAGATTATAAAAAAAAAATGACAAATCTCCGAGATCTAAAGACACACTCTCGGTATTAACCACAAAATTCGTATTTAATTTATACAAGTTGAACCAAACAAGATTTCAGTTTGCTTTTGTGACGATTGTCATTGCAATCCCCTACGACCCTTGTGACTAATTATAAGCCCTTTTTTCTTTGCCCCAATTTTGAATTAAAAAAAAAAAAAAAAGAAAAAGAAACAAACCCTTTTAATAAAAACTGTATAGAGCAGTATGTTGTACTCATGTTACGAGAAGCAAAAATGAAAGGCACGTAGGCATGGAGTGATTTTGTGGCATGAAAATTAATTCCGGCCTTACTTAGATCGTTCGGCAGGGTGTTGATCGAGGGTGTTAAATACTATGCGGATCAGCCACGCATGTTGGGAAAAACTTTCTTGAGACTTGTAAGTATTATTTAAAATTTAATACATATACACATATCTGTTTTAATAACGTAGAAAATAATTATTGAATAAATTCATTGATTAATTCAAGGAACGTGACTTCGACAAACACGTAGCTTATTGCCGGGATGAACCACTTGCTCAGGAATTTCTTCAGACGAACGATCAAGTACGAGAATACTTTGAGGTAAGTTTAATTTAATTAGAATAAAAACAAAAACAAAATGAAAAGTCGTATAAATGATAATGCAGGTTTCTGTAGGAATTCAAAAGTAAGTAGTTTGAAAAGGATAAAACAGATTTCTACTCTCTTCAACTATTTGGCACAAAGCAAACGCGTTATCTGCGTCGTGACAGGGAAGCTTGCAGGGAAGCTTGCTAAAAGATCAATTCTTAAACTCGACAGTTACAAATGATCTCTGCCAGTAGTTTTCATACTTAGCGCCGTTTCTCACATATATACAGTAATATTGTATAATGCTAATATATATATAAATGTAAAAACAAATAGAGAGATATCTTTGATCTATCGAATATAATAACAATGACAGATCTCTGTTTTATTTCGTTTCTTAGATGCACACGTACGTAAGATATTCGATTACGCGAATTTAGTTGGATTAATGGTATCCTCCCTCATCTAACGAAATCTTGAAAATTGATAGAAAAAGATAAAAAAAAAAAAAAAAAACCAAAAAGAAAAGGAAAAGAAGAAACAGGTGACGCGTAAATCGTCCCACGCTCTATAATCGAGTCGGAGTATGGATTGGAGAAAATGTTGCAATTATATAACGGGCGGGGGCCAAGCAGGCGTCTGTCCAGCCCCCGAAATAGCTGAGTTTATTCTTAACAGGCCGAACATCTTTCGTCTCTCTTACGAACGCACGATAGTTGCGCCCGATGGTGAACGTACAACCAAAAGAAAAGAAATAAAGGAAAAGAAAGTTTATCGATTCATAGCTTATCAAATCTCATCGTCTGCAGATGCAGACTGCATTGCTTTCTATTTAGGGTCAAGCCTTATCAGTCTTTTTTGTCATTGACCTTGAAATATAAATGACCATTGACCAATCGAGCTCTCCTACCTAACTAGTTTCGTTTTTTTGTCTTTTTTACCTGAACGATTGGACGATCGTATGAGTCATTTAGAGATTTCTATTTACTCTCGTTTAGTTATTACAGGATAAAAATATATTTTGGTACTTGTTGAAACATCGTTAAATCTAAACTTGAAAGAACTTCTTCAAGAGTCACCGAGCTACGTAATGGCGTAGGCGAAGGAAACAACAACGTTTACACTTATTCTTTTCTAGGGTATAGGGTATTTGACATTCTCTTTCAATGATTCTTAACAATATTCTTAGACTCATGAATTAGACGATTCTTCTAAAAATTGTTCAAACGATTCATTATAGGAATGAGGGGTTGAAAATTCTTTAGGAATCTATCTATTAGGTTAGATTGCAGACGACCAAGATTCAAGGGAGTAAATGAGTTAAATGAGTTAAGTGAGTAAGAGTAAAAACGTTCAAGATTCGCGTGCGATTTTGCTGTCGTTTTTCTGCGTGGTCACTCTGCAAAGCGTTCGTCCATCCATCCATCCGGCGTCTAAGTATAGCCGTGGCCGTATTGGTCTCCCAACTAGCTATCGTGGGGGCTTGGGCTTTTTCTCGGTAACCACTGACTGTCTGTCTGAAAGGAACCAAGTTTTATCCGATGATCCAGTTTGCGAGCAGCCACAGAAAACGACGTCGAAACACCGGCTAGGAACAAACTTTCAAGGTGTGTCCTTCAATTCATACAAAATTGGGATCATCTTTCTCTCTTTCTCTCTTTCTCTCTAACTCATAGATGCGTTAACTATCTGTCAATTGGCGTCTTGGTAGCCAATACACTCGCGCGTAGTTTTTCGTCTGTGGACAATCCAATCACGTCCAAAAATACACGTGTTTGCGCCAAATTCGTGTCACCTCGGTGTCGAGTTACGGTGACGAACGTGAACATTGAATGATCTTGTTCATTCGAGATTCTACATTTTTACAAACTTTTCTTTTTTGTTTACTGCTCAACACACCTTTTAGAGATTACTTTTTCCGAGTGTACGAAACGTTGTGTTAGTGTTTAGAAGTTTTTTCATTTGTATATTTTCAGTGCTATATCATAAATTGTATCATTCGTTTATTAGTGAAAAAAAAAAGTAATGACAATTACTTCCACGAATTGGCATTAGACAATGTTTTAATTCAACAGTCGCTTGATTCTTTTTTTAACTTATATCGTTTTTTCTTTGTAGGAACTGAGCCAGACTCTCGGTGACGACAAAAGCGTATCGGAACATTTAAAGCTTCCGATACAACGCATAAACGACTACCAGCTTCTACTGAAGGTAATTTTCATTGATTTGCTAAAGCGTCAAGTGGTAGATTTTGAAAGCTTCCGATGCAAACATAACATATACTTGAAGATTCTTTCAAACAATGCTAGAATTACAATTCCAACTTGATATAATACCAAGTATGATATTATAGATTATATGAAAATAGTAACAAAACGATCTAACACGACTGAATATGGAGCATACATACGTCCCATATATATTTATATCTAAATTTTATTGCGTCTGACTAAAATAGAACGGCGCTAGAATACTTCCTGCCTTGCCTTGAAAATACGTCTCCCGGTGAAATTATTGATATCTGTAGATTTTTCTTTTTTTGTTTTTACGAATTCTAATACAACCAACATATATTATACGTCGTAGGTATATATGTATATAGTATATATTCATATATCACTTATCGATTAATTTCACTTTATTCTTTGATATTCTTTCTTATTAACACTTTCATTATTTATCTATCATACTGAAAACACAAATATTGTGAAAGATTATCGCAATACGACTGGAAATATTATGCTCGGTAATATAAATGATGAGTGGGCGTAAAAGTCGTACGAATTTAGCGAGCTAAAAACAGGTCATCTTCATGGCACGTTATCCTTTCTTCAATTTCACTCGAGTGATCGCCTTGGAAAAACAGTGAAAAGTGACAAGTGTTTATATCAATATCTTATGCAAACTCTTTTATAACGTATATATTTGGAACCATTATTGTGCGAATATTTTCAGGAACTGGTGAAGTATTCGACACGACTAGGTGAAAACTGTGATGATCTTCAAAAAGCTTTGGAGTTGATGCTAGGTATCCCCCACAGAGCAACCGATAATAAATTCATTAGTAATATCGAAGGATATAAAGGAAACATACATAAACTTGGTAGATTGCTAACGCACGTTAGTACATCTTATATTTGATCATTTTGTCGCATTGTACAAAATTCATTTAACTGTAATTCATTGATAATTATATTCGTAGGAGTGGTTTACAGTTATCGACAAGGACGGCAAAAGTAAGGAAAGGTATCTGTTTCTTTTCAAAGCTCGAATACTCGTCTGCAAAGTCAGACGAATTTCGGAGGACAGATCAGTTTTCGTTCTAAAGGATATCATTCGAGTACGTAATGCAATTAACCCGTTCAATTTGATTTCGATTTCTGTTTTACTTCTGTTATAGTTTTTTTTATACATATTCCACGATAATCAAATTTTAGTTGCCTGAAGTAGAATTGAAGGATCATCCGGATGATTTACGTTCTTTTGAATTACACAATCCAAGTCTCCCTGGCTATCCGATCACTTTAATAGCACATAAGGATCCAGTGAAAGCGTATTGGTTAAAAGAAATTCGGCAATACGCCAGCGATCTAGTTGCTTTAGCGGAACACGCAGCAGACGATTTACAATTAGAAGAAGTGCCAGAAGGAAAAGAAGAAATAAAAGATTCTTCTAAAGCGGAAGTAAAAGAAATCTCAACGAATCCAGGACCACCTAAACCAGAAGTAGGCAAAGACAATCCAGCACCGCCTAAGCCAGAACCAATCAAAGGAAATCCAGAATCATCAAAACCAAGTGTAATAAAAGACAATCCAGGACCACCAAAGCCAGAAGAATCGAAAGGAAATCCAAGACCCCTTGAAACAACAAATCCATCGAACCCAGGTCCTCAAAAAACAAATCCATCGAACCCAGGTCCTCAAAAAACAAATCCATCNAACAAATCCATCGAACCCAGGTCCTCAAAAAACAAATCCATCGAACCCAGGTCCTCAAAAAACAAATCCATCAAATCCAGGTCCCCAAAAAACAAATCCATCGAATCCAGGTCCTCAAAATCCTAATCCATCTAATCCAGGAGCACAAAAGAGCAATCCATCAAACCCAGGACCAGCAAATCCAACAACCGAAATTAAAACCGAAGAAAAAGATCCAAATATGTCTCGGCGATATTCTTCGAGTCGTTTCAGTGCATCTTCTAAGGTCGTAGAGGGTAAGAAGGATTTTTCTTTAGGATACAAATTTGTAACTGCGACTTACGTTGATTATCATCCATAGAGTATTCATCAGTATCGAGCACTCGTTCTGGTGTCACTTCATACGTCGAATCATCTTCATCGACTAGTGCCGGAGTTACAGCTTCGTCTCTCCATGGCACGGAAAAAATCAGCGAAACTTCAAGCTCCTACAAAACAGCTACCAGTGGGGGAGGTGCAGAAACAGCAGTTGAAAGTAAAGCAAAAATCTCGTTAGGTGCTACTGAAACTGGAAAACCTATCTTCCTCAAAACGATCGAAGGATGTAATGTAGAACGTAAGTAATTGTTCTCACGTTTATTGTGCTGTTCGTTCGAATGTAAACTGATAATCGATTATATCATCTATACTATATATTTATTTGTAAATGAAAAGGATCATCGCGCAATCTATATAGTACACAATTTAAATAATTATGGATAACATGAAACAACAGTATTCGACAAACGTATCATAAGATACATTTTTATTGTTCTAGCGAGTCGAGCAAAAAAGGCTTTGATACACGCCATAGGTAAAGTGACACGAAATTTGACTACCTATTTCTCATCATGCTCTACTATTCTATGCATTTTCACTTATTATTCGTATATGATTACAACGTTGATCATTCTACTTTTATCTATCTTTTTCTTCTAGCCAGCTATTTAAAATGCTTCTAGACGTGAACAAATATTGTCGCAGGTTTAAGATTGCTTCGTTGCTTGTTTTAGATAAAACTATCTTCTATACTTCACATTTCACACAGCTATAGACCATTTTCACGCTACACATCTCATACATACTATATTTTCAATCTTATCAAACTACTATCCCCTCGTTTCGTGTAATATTTATTTTTAATAGAATAAGCATACTCATCGATTTAACCATTATTGCTTCATACTTTGAGTAAAATTTCATGCATTACGTAGGTACACGTTTTTACATTAGCAAGCAAATATTTTTGTCTTCCCTTTTCTCTAGCAGTTGGGATTACTTTGTTGTCATCGTCCTTCCTGTATTTTTAGAAATATGTGTCATTTTCTATTACGTATTTGTTGGTGTTGTAAAAACATATTGACTGATAAAAAATACTAAAACCACATGAGAGAGAGAGAGAGAGAAATACACGTATTTGTGTACTTTCTCTATTCTTCTGCTTATAAAAATCTCTTTTGTGTAGTCAAGGTAAATTCACGAAAAAAAAAAAAAAAAAAAAAAAAAAAAACGAGAACGATTATTTAAGTATATTCATTATATAGAATAAAAAAAAGAAATATAGAAAAAGCATACTTGGCTTATCATATCATCAATAAATATTCCATTAATTGTTGGTACAACTTATTTCATTAAAATGTTGTTTATTCAGCTGGAGAAGTTGCTACATTCGAATGCACTTTGGTGACAGCCGACGAAACAACAAAGATACAATGGCTTAAGGATAACAAACCATTGAATGATAAACTAGCGGATCGTGTGATTCAATCATCCGACGAGAAAAGTTTTAAACTTCAAATACAAAATGTTCATGAATCAGATTCCGGAATTTATATTGCACGTGCCATGAATGGGGATGGTCAAGCAACTTGTACGGCACAATTGGTTGTCCAAGAATGTAAGTTTCGCATTCAAAATGTATAATTTATTTGTAAATATATAATTACAATAATAATGAATATAAAAATTATAGTAACAGCCGAAGAAAAGAAAGCACGAGCAGAAGCAAACTCTCCTATTTTCTTAGTACGTCTAAAAGATACCGAATTATTAGAAAACACTTACTTACGTTTCATGATTAAAGTAAAAGGTGATCCAATTCCAGAACTTAAATTGTAAGTTGAAAATAAATTAGAAAAAAAAATTACATTTTACAAATTTTGTCAAATTAAATGATTGCTATTTTAAACAAATTATTTGTTGATTTAATTAGCTATAAAGATGGCTCGTTAATCGACTCGAGAAACGCACGTGTAACGATAGTAACTGAAAAAGCGGATAAAGGATTCTACGAGATGGTAATACCGGATGTTCAAAAAGTTGACGCCGGTAAATACAGTTGTACAGCGATGAATCGTTATGGTGAAGCAACTTGCGAGGCTACGGTAACCGTGACGGAAGATAAACCAATGTTTCCTGGATTACCGGAAGGTTTGTTGGAACCTGGTGAAGAACCTCAGTTTACTTGGCTTCGCGATGGTGAACCTTTCGATCCTGAGGAAAGGTTCAAAGTACTTTTTAAAGATAACGAGGATACTCTAGCATTGGTATTCCAACATGTGAAGCCCGAAGATGCTGGTTTATATACTTGCGTTGCACAAACAAGCACAGGTAGCTATACTCTATATAATACTTGTATTTATTATAAATATTACTTTCATTGTAATATAATGCATTTAATTAATGTGTGTGTGTGTGTGTGTGTGTGTGTGTTTTGTTTTTTCAGGTAATATAAGTTGTAGCGCGGAGTTGACGGTACAAGGTGCGGTCAATCAATTACTAAGAGATCCAGAAAAACCTAAACTGGAATCAGAATCCAAACAATCGGAAGTAAGCGCGGGAGGTTCTGCAATGTTAGACTTGCAAGTGAAAGGTTATCCCAAGCCAGATATCACATGGACCAAAGATGGAAATGAAATAGTTGCTGGTGGAAGAATAAAATATCTCTGGGAAGACGAAGAATCTTTATCATTGGTAATTAAAAATGTAACAACAAAGGACGCTGGTATCTATACCATAAGAGCAAAGAACGAACTGGGAGAGGACACTACGGAAATTGAACTTATCGTCAAATCTGCTCCAAAAGTCATAAAGAAACAATCGAACACTACAGCGATCGTGGAAGATAATTTAACAATGACCGTTCAAGTGGAAGCTACTCCGGCACCAGAAATTAAGTGGTATAAGGATGGACAATTGATCCAAGAAAGCGAACGTATCAAGATAGAAAAGGAAGGAACTGATATATACAAAATCACGATCAAGAGTGTTCGCGTAGAAGATGCTGGGTCTTATTCGATCGTAGCTAAAAATGAGATCAATCAAACCACAGAAATATGGAATCTTACTGTAAAAAGTCCACCCAAAATCAGAAAGAAATTAGGTACTATTCCGATAATTAACGAAGGTGATTCTTTGACTCTGTTGATCGAGGTTGAGGCAGATCCAGAAGCTACAGTCGAGTGGTACAAAGATGAACAAATTGTTGTTGAAGATGAACGTATCAAGATCGTGCGAGAAGGAAATAATTACATGTTAAAGATTACTGGTGCAGTTGGCACCGATGCTGCAATATACAAAACAAAAATAACTAATACTCATGGCACTGTTTTGGATCAAACCAGAGTTCAGGTATGTTTGTGAATTAACAAACGTCAAATTAATCTATCTTAATATTATACTCGATATAAGATATTATTATATAATAAAATTGTGTAGGTAAGCGGTATACCAAGATTCAAATCGAAACTGAACGATCTTTCGGCCAACGAAGGCGACTCAAACATCGAATTAACGGTTGAAGTTGATGGCTATCCAAAAGCAAACGTTCATTGGTTTATCGGTGATGTGGAAATCACAGAAAAACGTACCGAGTACACTCGCATCGAAGAAGGTGACAGTTACAAGCTTGTCATGAAGGAAGTCAAAGAAGAAATGAAGGGTAGATACACTTGTAAAGTGGAGAACGAATATGGCGTGAATAAATGCAGTGCCGACTTTACGGTTAAAACTAAGCCAAAACTTTTGAAAAAATTGGCCGATCAAAGGATCAAAGAAGGTGAAACTTTAAAATTAACTGTTGAAATATCTGGTACTCCCGATCCTGAAGTGAAATGGTACAAGGACGGACACGAGGTATCGGCTGATGCAAGAATCAAGATTACTAGGGATAAACAACGAAAGGAGAGTTACGATTTGACAGTAACTTTGGTCAAAGGATCGGACGGTGGAGCTTACGAAGTTCGAGCAGAAAATGAACTTGGAATGGTCCTCAGCAAGAGCAAAGTTATCGTTCTCAGTAAGATCATTCAGTTTTTTATTCGAACGCTGTTAAATCGAAAAATACTGAGGCGCTGCTCTGTCCCAAATTTTCAAAGATATTTTCGATTTTAGAAATCTGCCATCACGATAACGCATTAGCAAAGTTAACTCGAGTAATACACTTATTTTGAAAAAAAAAAAAAAAAAAAACAACAACAACAACAACAAATCATAATCATTTTATTGGCTCAGCAGCGCAGCAGATTTAATTCGAAACACTTACGCGCGCGCGCACACGCATAAACACGTATCAAATTTTGTATCTTTTGAGAATCCTGGCAATAAATCGTCATACTTCGGCGACGTAAAGTAAGTAAATATGTAAGTAAAGAGTATGTATCAACGGGAGTTTTTTCTACGATTTGCAATTTAACAGTGAAACTGTCAATTTTCCAAGATCGTTACAGAACACTCTTTAAAGAGTACACTCTTCGATCTCAAACGAGAAGAGGACTCAAATAAGAGAACCTCTTCTTATTATATTTTTCTTTTTCTTTTTCTTTTTCTTTTTCTTTTTCCCTACGCTGCGGCGTCAAGCTGACGACGCGTCGTATGTTTCTTTTTTTACAACTGTATGTTTTTTTTTTTTTTTTCAAAACTCCTCATTACTTTTTGTTCCTTCAATGTTGAGTGCTACTGACGACGTTTTTTTTTTCTTTTTTGATCGTGTTTCGCATATATGTAAATACCTAAGCACACTTCCAAGACTGTTATGACGTATTTGAGATTCAATGTGTTCATGTATCCCACATGTTTCATTAATTATACGTGCCTATCAGACTTTTCTATCCTAAACAATCGTACTCCTGTCGTACGAATTAGTCCAATTTGTATATGAACTTTCCTAGCTAAAACGGAAGGAAGCGCCGAAACGGTAGAAGAAGAAACGAAATCGAAGAAGATTGAGATAGAAGAAGTAGGAACGCAGAAACAGCAAGCTGAAGAATCAGGTCCGGAAGGTAATATTTCAAGATCGTAAAAATTGATATCTCTCATCGATTTGAAATTCGCATCTCTATTCGCATTTCTTAGTTGCTTCTCACAGTCAGTAAACAAATCATTATAATCGACTAATCGTTGGATAGTCGTATTTTGTAGTTCAATGTTTCATAGTTTCATAGAGATAGATCTAACATTGATCGTCGACGATTTAATCTAACAACAAGTGAACACTTTAGCAATGGCAGCTTCAAGAGTTGTTCAAGATAACATGTATTTTATTGTATAGTAGATATGAAATGATGAAAGGGGTTTTTGATCGGTAGATTAGAAAAATTAGCTCTGGTAGAAAAACAAAACTGTGTAATAAATTCAGGTCGGTTCGCATCGAAGAAAGAAAAGGTTGAGGTATTACGAGGAGAAGCTGAGAAAGTAACCATCACCGTAGCATCAACGACGACTCATCAATCAACGTTAACAGGTAATATGGCTCACGCTAAGCTAAAGTGATCGTTTAATTAGTCGCTTGAGTAACCCATCGAAAGCTTCACTTTCTTGGTGTAATCATAATGGAAAGTATTGGTGACCAGCTAGACCGTTCACAGGTCCGGACGAGAGACACACGATCAGCAAGATGACCGCGACGAAGGTCGAGTTTCAGGAGTTAAGTTCAGAAGGGCCAACGGTGGAGGAGATAGGATCTTACAGTTACAATGTTCAGGAAGAAAATAGCCCGATGAAAGCACAGAACGGCGTGTTCGTCGAGGAATTCTCCGAGACCAGCGATAATAGTCGTTCAAGATTACAAGTTCATCGTGGAGTTTCGATAGTTTCGGTATCAGATGACGAGTCAACTATGAAAGCCATATCCAGGGACGTAAGCATGGACGACGTTCGGTGCGTTGAGCTAACCGACGATCTCAGATTAACAAATGGTTCTTGCGAACAATTCAAAAACGTCGACGGTCGTACGATCGAGAAAAATGTTCTGGACGAAGTCAAACCACTTCGAGCATCCAAATTCAACGAAACAATAATCGAGGAACGATCATCTATCGAAGAATCTATTTCTTCGAAAGCTAGCGAAATGACTTTGAACCAGTCACAAAAATCGAAAGTTCATAACAACGGTTTGATTAGGCAGAATTCAAAGTTGGAAAGAACAGAGTCCATAGAATCATCCTACAAAGTCGAAGTGAAAACGATTTCAAGAGAAAATTCACATAGAGGAGTTCTCGTTGGCGAAGAAGAAGTTGACGAAGAGTTAGAGGCTCTTCTAAATCGCGTTAAACGACAACGTAGCGTTCTTAACGAAATTCTCGATAAGGAACAAGGCGTGGAATCAGGTATGAAGGATATACTTGAGAAAACTTTCAAAGTAGGAGGCTATACATATATAGATCTCCATAATTCTATTTTATTCTTCAATTCGGATTGATTTTCGAACCATTACAGACTTTTTGTTGAATCGATATATAACATGCACGTATTCTGCACTATCTCTTCTTACTTTTCATTTCTTACACCAACCTTCCTGCCAGTGCATCTTTCATTATCCTTCAGCTTTCTTTGATCATCACTCATTTTGCTTTAGACGCAATAATGCCTAAACAAATTCAATGGATTCTCTTAATCTCGTCTGTTCAACATAACAATTGCTTTTATCAATGAATGAGCTGATATTCGTGAGAATCCATAGAATGTTACTGAGCTATTGCATGATAATGTGAAATAAGCACGCAAATTGAGCCAGCACCACAACAGTTACTGCACGCCTTATTAATCGAGGTAAGTTAGGACAATCGAATTTAACTGGACGGACGACGTGTTTGCGTCTTCGACGACGATCAACAACATTTCTCGACAGAGCTGTCTAACACTTTGTATCTTTTTTATTACGCGGGTCCAGTAGAATAACAGTGGCGTTATAATCAGTTTACATTATATTTTTTTCTAACAAATGCAAATTTCGAATCGCCACTTTTATTTGAAAATACCATTCTCACGATTGTGCACGATGAAAGAAAAACGTTTAGTAGAATTGCAATACAATGTAATAATAATGACAATATGACTGTAATTGATACACATACATTTGATACAAAGTGAAATCAGTAGAATCCTAACATTTGATTTTATCATTTAGCACCACCCCACGTAATAGAATCAAACTTAGTGGATCGGACGATCTTTGAAACGCAAAACCTCACTTTTGAGATCACTACTGTTGGTTTACCAAGACCTGAAGCTAAATGGTTCAAGGATGGCAAGATTCTCAGAACTGGAGAACGTATACGTATTACCAATGCAGGAGAAAAGTATGAACTCGAATTGAGCAAAATTTGTCTCGAAGATGCTGGTCTCTATGAGTGTATCTTTACAAATAAACTTGGTGAAGATATTGCACAAGGACAATTGACGGTAGGTACGGTCAATGATCTACGAAAACCACGATTCGTAGAACCCCTTAAAGACGTTGACATTGCGGATGGTAAAAATGGAGAATTCCAAGCTATCTTCACGGCTGATCCGGTACCCGATATTGTTTGGTAAGTTTTCTTACTTAACATTTGAATGATACTTATACATTAACGATATTAAACAAAACTTAACTCGAACGGATTTTCTTATTTTTCAAAGGTACTGTAAAGGATTGGAGCTTCCTAATGACGATTCAAGAATCAAGTGGAAGATGACCAATAAACCTGGATCAGATAAGTTAACTGAAAGTACTATTACATTGAAAATACCTAAATGTGGAAAAGATGATACTGGAGAGTATATTCTCAAGTTGGAAAATAAATGGGGCCAAGCTGAAAGCAGCGTAAGCAAGGAACTTTCTTCTTAACTTTGTTCTTTTTTTACATTGAAATTACGTCAAATCATTTTTGAAAATGTCAATTAGGCTCTTTTGAGTCTTCTACTGCAACCGAGCATAGAAGAATTTAAAGATCTGGTAGCACCAGTTGACGAACCAGCTACATGGGAGGCAATAATCAAAGGAAATCCAAAGCCTGAGATAAAGTGGATGAGAGATGACAAAGAATTAGAAATGGGTGATGAATTTGAAATGGAAGAAGATAGAAGGAACAACAAGTACAAACTAATCATCAAAAATGTTAATGTCGAACATGGTGGTAAATATAGAGTTTTAGCGACAAATTATTTGGGCGAAGCAGTTGGAGAAGCATTATTAACCACACACCGTAAGTTATTCAAAACAGTGATGAGGATACTGTTGATGAGTTCAATATTATATGAAACATCAATAAATTTGTCTTTATAGTCGAATCACCGATCTTCTTGAAGGAATTATCCAAAATGTTTGTAAGTGATCGCAATGATATCGAATTGAAAGTTCGAGTATCCGGAATACCAAAACCAAAGATCACTTGGTTATTTAACGATGCACCAATAATGCAAGACGGACGCCACGAGGTTATAACTCACGTCGAAGGTCTCATTGACAGTACTTTATATATCAAAACATTTTCTGTCGATGACTTGGGAATAATAAGTTGTATAGCTAGCAGTATCGCAGGAATTGCAAAAACAAGTGCCGAATTAAGTATGGTTTTCGAAGCACCCACCTTTGGTCGTTTAATTTTACCAAAATCTGTGAATATTGATGAGGGAGAACCACTCGAGCTCAAGGCCAAAGCTGACGGTAGCCCGATTCCTATAATAACTTGGTTTAAAGATGGTGAATTACTTACACCTAACGATCATATTAAGATCGAAAATCTTCCGGACGGTAGTACAAAACTGACAATTGAGAATGTGATACCCGCGGATTCCGGTGCTTACAAATTGGTTGCTTCTAATTCATCGGGAGAACAAAGTGCACTTTGTGCTGTTGCTATCACGCGTAAGTAAATAATAAAAAAATGATCTTTTGTTTATCCTATTAATATTGAAATGATATAAAATGAAATATATATTATAGCTTCTGCAAGAAGTCCAACATTTACAAAGCCTCTGGAAGATACAAAGGCTATTGTAGGACAGCCTCTGAAATTACGAGCTCAAATCGTAGCATTTCCGAATCCACATATTCAATGGTTCAAGGATGGTATACCATTGAGACCAACAAAAGAATTTAATTTCATAAACGATCCCAATGGTCTCATTGGTCTAATAATCGATAGAGTACGGCCAGAAGATGCAGGTACTTATTCCGTGGTCGTATCTAATAAACTTGGAGATACTACCGGAGAAGCAAAGGTTGAGGTAGAGGAGAAAGAAAAGAGACCAGATTTCGTTGGAAGTCTTCAACCACTTACGGTGGTAGAAAATTTACCAGCTAAATTAGAAGTTAAAGTAATTGGTAAACCAACTCCTGAACTCAAATGGTTACACAATGGCGAAGAGGTATGTTAATTATATCCAAATAAAAAGTTATCAATGATTATATTAGTTAAATGAAATATTTATTCAAATTGAATGCAGATTGTGCCAGATGGAAAACATTTGAATATCATTAGTCAGCCGGACGGTACTCACGCATTAATCATCGACAAGGCAACACCCGAAGATGCAGGAGAATATCAAGTTATAGCTGGTAATAGCGAAGGAACGGCATCTTGCAAAGCAAATCTCGATATACTTGGCAAATTGAGAGAGGACATTCCACAAGAGAAACCCGCATTCTTAACATTGTTACGAGATATTTCGGTCGAGGAAGGGCAACCGCTAACATTTAGTGCCTCCTTCAATGGTAATCCTATACCAGACATTACGTGGACGAAAGACGGAGAGCCATTAGAACTATCGCAAAGATTGATGATGACGTGTGATGGAAAGAAAGTAACTTTAGAGATCAATCCATCTGATGCCAAGGACCAAGGAGTTTATGCTTGTCATCTGACAAATCCACTTGGCGAAGACACATCTAATGCAAATGCCAACATCAGAAAGGTTTTCCAAGCTCCAAGCTTTACACAAAAGTTCACGGATCTTCAACAACTTCCTGACTTCGATGTTAAGTTCCCTGCTAAAATTAGCGGTATACCTAAGCCAGATGTTTCGTGGTATTTCAATGATCAACCAATACTTAAAGATAATGAAAAATATAAGATCAAACGGGACTGTGATGCCTGCTGTTTGTACGTTAAAGATTGTACATACGACGATACTGGAATTTACAAATGTAAAGCAGTTAATAGGGCTGGTGAAGCAGAATGTTCGGCTACATTAAATGTCGTTGATAAGATGTAAGTTTACGCTATTTAAATCTCTCTCTCTCTCTCTTCTATTATTCTACATTATTTTATTGAACTCGTGATAATTGAAAATTACAGCGAAAAAATGCAAAAGATAGAACCACCGGCGTTCTTGAAAAGAATCGGTGATTGTGAGGTTTATAGAGGAATGCAAGCAAAATTCACAGCTTGCATAACTGGTATACCTGAACCGGAATTCGAATGGTTCCGTAACGGTGACAAATTGTGGCAAACTGATCGTATCAGAATGGACCAAGAAGGTAGTTTACTTCGTATGACGATAGCTAATGTGGATGAAATGGATGCAGGCACATATTTATTAAAAATAACAAATCCTTATGGATCAGATTCGTGTACCGCCGATATGATCTTCGAGTGTAAGTAACCAACCAACTAAATTAGTTCAAATCTACATGCTCCTCACATAATGTACTTTTAAGTAATCATTCGTAAACATTTTGTATACAGCTCTGGAGCCACGTGCAAAGAGACCGTTAGCATCTCAGTATATAGAATTTGATAAATATCAAAAAACAGGAATAGCATGGCCACTAGCAGATCGTCCAATAATTAGTCGTATGATGGATCGACATTTGACACTTTCTTGGAAACCTTCCATCCCATTAGGACCACGCGTACCAGTAACGTATCTTGTAGAAATGTGCGAGTTACCGGATGGTGATTGGTTCACTGCGCGATCAGGTTTACGCAGTTGTGTCTGCGACATCCGCAACTTAGAACCTTTCCGGGATTACAAGTTCCGCATACGCGTAGAAAATAAATATGGCATCAGCGACCCTTCGCCATTTGCACAAACCTTCCGTGCTAAATTAGAACCCGATCCACCCAAATTCTTTCCTTATTTACCACCTGGTATAGATTTTCGTCCCGAGACCAGTCCTTATTTCCCCAAGGACTTTGATATCGAAAGACCACCCCATGACGAATATGCTCAAGCACCTAAATTCCTTCGACAAGAACACGATACTCAATTTGGTGTCAAGAATCACAATTGCAATCTCTTCTGGTTCGTTTATGGCTATCCTAAACCAAAAATGACCTATTATTTCAACGATGAATTAATCGAGTCTGGTGGTCGATACGATCAAAGTTACACGAGAAATGGACAGGCAACATTGTTCATCAACAGAATGCTTGAAAGAGACGAAGGTTTATACGAAGCTGTTGCAACCAATGAACATGGAGAAGCACGTCAACGTGTTAACTTACAAATCGCTGAATATCCAACGTTTATTGTAAGACCTGAAGAAACTATTGTGATGGCAAGAAAGTCTGGTAAATTGATAGCACGTCTTACGGGTGTTCCATTTCCTGAAATCAAATGGTACAAGGACTGGAAACCGATCACTACTACTTCGAGGATTAGGGTAATTATTGTTACTCTCTCTCTCTCTCTCTCTCTCTCTCTCTCTCTCTATTGCTTGTTATTATTATTCAATATTATCTAGTAAGTAAGTATCATTGAAGTTTTTCGTTATTTCAGATTGATTTCGTCGATCCAGATACATCTGTTTTAACCATTAATGAAGCAATTGTTAAAGACGAAGGATTATATTCGATCAGTGCAAGAAATGTAGCTGGAGCGGTATCGCATTCAGTCATGATACACATTGAAGAAAATGAATACGATTATGTTTATAAAACGTATAAGAGAAAAAGTGAAGTTAAACTACGTGCGGATAAACCCTACGATGAATTTTATGATTTGGGTGATGAATTGGGTCGTGGTACTCAAGGTATTACGTATCACGCAGCAGAAAGAAGCACTGGAAGAAATTATGCTGCTAAAGTTATGCATGGACGAGGAGAATTGAAACCATTTATGTTTAACGAGTTAGATGCCATGAATAATCTTAATCATCGAAAACTATTACGCTTGCACGAGGCTTACGAAACCGATAAATCGGTCACTTTGATCATGGAACTGTATCCTTTTATTAAATGTAATTTCGATGAAGATTTTTATTTATTTGTTGATATCCTTAACGAGTCAAATTTAGAGCTGCCGGTGGAGAATTAGCAGATGTTTTAACGAAACAACCACATTATACCGAATCAGAAATTGCTGGATATATTCGTCAGTTACTCTACGGCCTTGAATATATGCATGATAATCATTATGCACATCTTGGCCTAACAGTAAGTTTTTTCTCAAGCAAATTTTCTTCCACTTTAATATCATCATTCTCTAAGTGTTCATTTCCTTTTGGTAGCTCGGAGATCTTTTGATCTCTCACACAGGTGGTGACGATCTAAAGATCGGAGACTTCAGTTTAACACGAAGAATAGCACAAACGAAATTAATGTTATTGGCGTACGGTATGCCGGAATATGTTGCTCCAGAAGTTACAAACAATGAAGGTGTCGATTATGCTGCAGATATGTGGTCACTTGGTATTATAACATATATCCTGTTATCTGGAATTTCACCGTTCAGAGGTGTCAACGATAGAGAAACGTTATCGAAGATCAGACAAGGAGTTTGGGACTTTGATGATCGCTGGAAGAATATTTCTAATGAAGCCAAAGACTTTATTCGTAACTTGTTAGTCTACAATGTAGATAAACGAATGGACGTTAAGAGTGCTCTTAAACATCCTTGGTTGGAATATGCAGACAGATCACCATTAGATTTATATAAAATACCTTCCGAATATTTGAAGACTTATTACAAACTTTACAGGTAATATCCTCGATTTAAAGTTCGAATTTATCGATAAAAATCGATATTAATATGTTTCGTAAAATTCGTTAACAGAGATTGGTACAGTAACGCGTCTTGTCGTACATGGTACCGTAGACGCAAACTCAGTACTGCGTTTGAACATCCTTCAAAAATGGTTTATCCTCCTGGTCATAAATACACACCTGAACCAAGTATTGAACGATATAGTCCTATAGGAAAACCAGTGCCTAGAACTTGGGAAAATCAACTACCTGCGAGAGAACCAATCGACACAGAAATTGGACTTATTAAGAGCGAGAGTCAGTGAGTAATCCAAAAGAAACAATATAATTCAGTTGTTATTTCTAATAAATATAGTAAGTATTTATAAGAACACTGTGCTACTATCGAATATTTACAGCTATCAGTATGGTCCAGATACTTATCTTCTACAACTTCGTGATACTGACTTCCCAGTACGATTACGTGAATACATGAAAGTTGCCTGTAATCGCAGTCCAGGATATTCGCGTACGATCACTGACGAGAATGGCTACGATTGGAAGGCAATAAAGCACTGTTTTCTAAACGCATAAATTTTCATTAAAAAACATTCTTATTTATATTCTTCTTTTTACAGACACCAATAATACGTGAACGTCGTCGTTTTACTGATGTCATGGACGAAGAAATCGATGACGAACGTAGAGCCAGGATAAATAGATATGGATCACCCGATACATTTACATTGAGACGATTGAAACATGAATTGGGTACTCGTCTCGATAGTTATGTTGAAGCTGAAGCTATGATAGAATCCAAGAAAGAAGGGAATTTACCTTTCTTGCGTGAGAAACCACAAATACGGCCGATCGAAGAAGGCAAAACAGCACAATTAATGTGCCTCGCAGTAGGTGATCCAAAACCATTAATACAATGGTACAAAAATGATATAGTCATTCAAGAAACTAAAAGAATAAAGATCACGGAAGACAAAGATGGCAGATCGATACTCAGTTTTAATCCCGTAAAAGAACACGATGCTGGGATTTATAAGGTGGTAGCAAGAAATTCTCTTGGACAAACTGTAGCTAGAACTAGAATGTTGATAGCTTTGGTTCCCACTGGTCCTGATTCTCCAGAAGTATATATTCATTTTTTCTCAGATATTTCATTACATTATTTTCTAATGTAATGAAACATTGTAATAAGTATCGTTTGATTTGCAGGCTACTGAGGTATCAGATACCCAAATACTTTTACGTTGGAAGCAACCAAAATACGACGGCAATTCTGCCGTACTTTGCTATAATCTTCAATGCAAAGAAGCTGATTCTATTACATGGATAGATATTGGTTTTAACATAGATCACGAATTTTATTTAGTACGAGATCTAAAGCCTGACGTTTGTTACATTTTCCGTCTAGCAGCGCGTAATCGAATTGGATGGAGCGAGAAAGGTATTCCTTCGAAAGTAATTAAAACAAGACCGCCAGGTGTACCTCAGATACAGATAACCAGTGCAATGAGACATCTTCAAGAATTAACAGAATCTGGACAAGAGATCGTACTCGAGGAAGATAAGCCTCATATTGATTATTCACTTGAGGAACATCCGGTTGAATGGTCGACTGAAACATTAACAAACAAGTATAGTTTCATATCTGAATTGTGTCGTGGTCAATTCTCTGCTGTGGTTAAAGGTATCGACAAGTCTTCGGATCGCGTGATAGTCGCCAAAATTCTAGACCTTAGGCCGGAAATAGAGAAACAAGTTAACAGAGAATTTGAAGCTCTACGTTCTCTTAGGCATGAGAGAATAGCTCTTTTAGAGGCAGCATATAAAGCACCGGGATCACCATTAGCTGTCTTCATTATGGAGAAGCTTCAGGGTGCTGACATTCTCACATATTTTTCCAGTCGACACGAGTATTCTGAAAATTGCGTAGCCATGGCTGTAACACAAATATTAGATGCGTTACAGTATCTTCACTGGCGTGGATATTGTCATTTAGACATTCAACCGGACAACGTGGTAATGGCCTCTGTTAGAACTGTTCAAGTTAAATTAGTTGATATGGGCACTGCACAAAAAGTTAGCAAACTTGGCACAATGGTACCAAAGGCGGGTCATCGTGAATATAGAGCACCGGAAGTATACAATGAAGAACCTGCATATCCACAAACAGACATTTGGATGGTCGGTGTTCTTACGTACGTCTTATTATCCGGAGTATCACCGTTCCGTGGCGATGACGCCAGCGAAACCAGACAAAATATTTTATTTGTTAGGTATAGATTCGAATATCTTTACAAGGAACTTACTCAAGAGGCTACACGTTTTCTCATGTTGGTCTTTAAACGCGCACCAAAGTAAGTATTCATAAAAGTAACTTGTATAATTGATATCATTCACACCCCTTGTTTCTTCATTTATTTTAGCAAAAGGCCAATGGCTGAAGAATGCCACGAACATAGATGGTTATTACCGACCGAATTTATGATTAAAAAGCGTGAAAGATCGGTCTTTTTAGGTAATAGACTTAAAGAATACAACACCGAATATCATGAAGAAAAAGAAAAACTTGCATCTGAAAGTCAAAGTCTTGCAAGCGAAAGCCTTTTAGGTTCAACTCGAAAATTAATCAGATCAACGAGCATACAAGAAGAATTGCTTACAACGATCTAACGCGAAAAAAGTTTATGATTTTTCCAATTTATTTTCTCCATATGACTGTGAAGTATCACAAAAATATCTAGTCAGTCGTTAAGAGAACAAGGAAAAAAAGAAAAAAGAAAAAAGAAAAAAGAAAAAAAAGAGGGAATAAAAACAAAAGAGAATCATACAAAAAGTATCCCGCCGTTCCTTGTTTTCTTTTTTGTTATTATTTATTTGTTACAACGTATAATGAATTATATCGAATATTATATCATCGATTCGACCATGAATTTCATTAAAGAAAATCATGAAATTTTGACTGTTCAGTATTCTGATCAATTTAAATGGTTACAATGGACACAATGGTATTGAAAATATAGCCAGCGAATGTAATGACGAATTAGTGAACATGATTCATATTCTTTCAAATTGTACAAAAAAAAAAACATCGTTACATAATATAATAAATAAATATGAAATAACAAATGCAAGTAAGCACTACATTCTTATATGCGTATATGAAAAATTACATGTACATGTCTTTCGCACTCATGTCTCTTTGTAAGAAAATAAAAGTAATAATGAAATCAATGAAATATAATCAATGTTTGGAATGATAAGTCGATTAAAAAGATGTAAATTTTTTTTTTTTTATTAAATATTGAATTTATTTACAAATCGTGTAGTCATAGATAATCTGTGGTGAGAAAGAACTATCGTACATGTGATATATCTTTGACGCATCTTTCTTGTACTTTCAACAATAGTAACAAGTTGAATTATCTTGGATGTTTAAAGAAAAATAAAAATAAAATATGATACTCTTTCTAATATAAGACTAGTAAGAAATATATATCAAAATATAATGTACAATTTTCCTTTGAAAACGCCGATTTATTTGAAATTTTTCTTTGATTTGCAAAAATCATGGGTCTAATTTGGTAAGTGCATACTTATATTGTTATATTAGAAATTTGAATTGGAAATCATCTTTTTGCATATTGCATAACGTATTGTTTTACCTTAGAACGGAAAGATTCTTTATCTTTAATAAACAAATCAGCTGCATCTCTATTCAAAGGATCATCAAAATTTAAAAGATCCTGAAATATAAACGACCTAAAATATTTCATATCTATCGTACACACAATTATTTTCCTATAAAATAACATTACTTACGGTAAAAAGTGAATTTAAACCCCATACAACATCTTTTAGTTTACGGGTGGGCGCCCATCCCATTCCATCTATACTATTTTGCCTTAATATTGATAGACACACATCACCATCTTCGCTTATATTAGGATGCCATAGCTTCGTCGTACACTTCACTTTCGGTGGCTACAATCATATACAGTCGAATTAAATCAACAACATTATATAAAGAAGAATCTTAAATAAAAATAGTTCATTTATATTTACAGCCATATTATAATCTTCTGATATAATAATGTCAAAGAGAAAGCGCCCACCAACCCAATATCCCTCATCAGGAGTAATTAAAAGTGTAAATTCATGTAATCTATGAGGATCATTAAACCTAACTTGACAGGTGACAGGAAGCGTTTGTTCCATTTCTTGTACCTAAATAATATACATATATATATATATATAGTAAAAATATAATCTATAATGTTTATTAGAGAAATACATAAATAAATATTTCATCATACCTCTTTTATTAGTAGCTTATCGCGAATGGATGCCCGTTTATTGTAATCTCTATTTTTAGAATTTGTAATTTCAGCATCTTTTTTCAATTTTCCTCTTAATGTAATCATGGTACCTTCTGTGTGTGTGTAAAAATTTATTAATTTATCTATTTACATAGATTAATTTGCATAAATATATACAACATTTTATATACAATAGTATTAGTATAATATTAAGAACATTAGAGAATTGTCCTTCACATATAAGGTCAAAGAAAATTGTTATAAATAAATAAATGTTAATACTTACTTCGTGATTAACTCCGTTTTGTAATAAAATCTTTACAATCGTAAAAGAAACATAATTAATTAAAAATATATTCATTCAATATTATAAAAGTAATGTCTATCCCAATGAACTTTGAGGTTAGATTATCGTGCAGTTAGTGATTTAGTAAGAAACGTACTTTTGACAATTCTATATCATAAAGTTCTAAATTTGGCCATGAAACTCGTATAATGGTTCTTTAGGAAAAGTATATTCGAAGAAATTCCATTTCACCCGTCATGATGTAGCCGAATAAAAATGTTAAATATATCAGTCAATTCAAAGTTGTTACTCTTGTACTGCAGATGGTGGTACTGTTTAAAAATAGAGAAATTGAACTATTTAAAGAATATAAATATAACAATTGTTGATAAAGAAGAAAATGAATTAATCATTCATGATTCCTATTTTAAATTCAAATTCGATTATTTACATTTTCAATTTCGTTCGGAATTATAGTTAGCCGCCATTTATGCTGTGTTAATAATGTTCACGCTTGCAACCAAAGTGACACTGGTATTCTAGGGAAATATTTACCAAGGTTGACAAACCTAAAAAATATATTATAAAATAAATTTATACTTGCTGTCAAACGAAACGAAAAAAGTGTCAAATAAAAACATTTATATATGTATAATAATGTAAATTCGAAAACTTGTAATAAGTCATATGTATGAATCAAATATTTTTGTATTTATAACTTATTGTGTATACGATCTTAACCTAATTTTTGGTTTTCAAGTATTAAGTGGTTGCAAGTCATATACATATATCAATAGGAGATTGTTTTACAGTACGTTTATACAATAATAATTATTAAATAATGGCAGAAATCGAATGGCCATGGCAATACAGTTTTCCTCCATTTTTTACGTAAGTCTTATCAGATGAAATCCTTCAATTATTTAATGCTTATTGTCTTATTTGGATATAGTGCACAGTACTTGTCACATGTATAAACAAAATGATCAGAATACAAAATAACATAAATGAAATAATGTGTTATCTATTTGAACAGTCTTCAACCACACGCAGATACAAAAGCGAAACAATTGGAAGCATGGAAAAGTTTAGTATTAGAATATTATCGGATCACAAAACAAGCAATTATAGATGTGCGAGAAGTCCATTCGAGTCCTCTTTTTAATAACAGTGCAATTAATCGTATCCTTAATGAAATTTTACTCGAAGAATTTGTATTAATACATTTTATAATAATGCAATTATTTTCCTTAAAAAATATCAACTATTTAATAATAGGTAAACTACCATCTGAAGTAGTACTTATAATATTGGAAGAGTTAAGCAAAACAGGAAATGCTATGCCTTTAGATAAGACGAAACAAAGATGGTTAGTTTACTGGCATACATTAGAAGAATGGGGTGATATAATATATAATTATGCACAAGAAACTGGTCAGATTGGTTCCGTATGTACTTTATATGAATTAACGCAAGGAGAGGAGACAGTCGATCAAGGTATGCGCTGTAAATGATATTCATTATAACGTATTGACTATCCTTTATTCATACTATTTTTTAGAATTTCATAAACTTGATACAGAAGTATTAATAAGATCTCTTAGAACCCTTGAATATGCTAAAAAGGCTGAACTGATAATGTTCGACGATAATCAAGGTGTTAAATTTTTCTGATCCAATATTTATTACTCAGAAAATACGCATATTAAAACATTTGATGTTATTCAATTATTTTTCTAATAATGAAAAGTTCTTAATGATCATTTTTATAATGAATATTGTAATTATTAGAAGGGTAAGTTAATAAGACATGGGGGATACTTTGATGGGAAGAACAAATATTTGTACTACTAATATTTCAAAATCACTTCTACAATATATAAATTCTTTTTTATAACATTCTGTATTTAGATACATAAATAATTATTGTGTTCTCTCTTATTCTTGTTATTAACTAGAATTCTTATTACGAATAAGAATTCTTAACAATGAAGTATATTCTATATGCATATTCCTATATACAATGTGATTTAAATTATTGCTTGTATTAGAAATTATATAATGTATCTAACAAGAAGTTATGCATCTCGATATATTAGAAACAAGAAGAGAGTTGTGTATATATAAAGAGTATGTCTATAAATATAAAAATTTATTATATGATTAGCATCGATTTATTTCCAAGTGAAACGATTTGATTTTTTTTTTTTTTTTAATAATTTTCCAATTCTTTATCATTGAGGATAACAGCATTACCTATATTATACTCTTAAATTATTATATCAATGGCTTTTGTACATATGTATATAATAAATCTACGTAAATATGATGGAAAAAGTTTAAAGCTAAATTTGTTTGTGTTGTAGATTTGTATTTGCATTAATATATATCTAGATTTAAAAAGTTATTATTCATTAAATTATGCTGAACAAATTTGTTCATTTGTAAGCACGTTATATTAAATAATATAAAAATTGATAAGTCTCTGATAAGAAACACAGTTAAAACTGTGTAAAATAATATAATATCGTATAAATGCTATTAAGTAGCATGCATAGGAAGAAGAAAAGAAAAAGAAAAAATTAGTTATCTGAGTTTTGCAATCGAGCAAGTTCAATGGCATCTTCTGTTTGATTCAATGCAGGTACATTAAGATCTCCTTTGCTCATCTTTTCGATAATGCAAGCTCCAAGTGCATCGCACATTACATTAATAGTTGTTCGGAATCGATCTCTAAATAAGTTAAACAATCAGAAAATAATAAGCATCAATATTATTTTAAATTATAAATTGAAACTTACAGCAACCAATCTACGGCAATAATTAGAGTAACATCCTTTGCTGGTAAACCTATAGTATCTAAAACCATGACCATGGTAACAAGACCAGCTTGTGGTATACCTGCAGCACCTATACTTGCAGCTGTTGCAGTTACGCTTAAAAAAAAAAAAAAAAAGGATATAAAAGTGATTATTTTCAATAGAAAATTCATTCATTTCATTTAATCATTTCTATTTTATTAATATTTTATTAAAATACCTAACACCGATGACTTTACTAAGATTTAACGATACGCCTCTAACTTGAGAAATAAATATAGCTGCAACTGCTTCGTATAATGCAGTTCCGTCCATGTTAATAGTTGCACCAATTGGTACCACAAATCTTGTTATTCTAGGATCTGCTCCCATATTATCCAAGCACTGCAGAGTTACTGGCAGTGTAGCAGTACTGAATGAATAAATACATTTGTATATATGTAATAACTTTTTCAAACAATTGCAATAGAAATGAATAATAATATTCACCTTGAAGCTGTTCCAAATGCTGTAACTAACACTTGTCCCATTTGTCCAATGACTTTAAAAGGTAATTCTCTGGTACATACGAAGTATATTACAGACAAAGTACCAAAACCATGGAGAAATAGTCCCAATAATACTGTCATAAAATATAAGCCTAATTTACCAATGATTGCACTTATATCCTCAATTTCTAAAAGTTTAGCAGCAACCAAAAAGAAAACACCGATCGGTGAAATCCTAAAAAGAATATGTATTCAAATATTATGATTGTAAAAATGATTATCAAATAATTCATTTAAAAAGAGACATTTTTAATTCTGTTCATACCAAATAACCCATTTGGTAATAATCATAGTTGCCTCTGACAATGCTATAAAAAAATCTAACAAAGCTTTTCCAGATTCTCCCATTTTACCGAGTGTAATCCCCAAAATAATACTAAAAACAACTAATCCAAGAGTATTTGTTCCATCGGTATATTTACTTGAAATATCCCATTCTTCTATAGTGGTTTCTTAAAAAGCAATTGATTAATATCATTAATAATAATCAAAATATCCACGTTGTTAGAGAAACTTAAATAAGATAACAATTATTCTTACCATTAGTCGCATTCTTAGGCTCCGTTAATATCGTTCGATACTGTAATCAAAAAATGAGATATTTCATAATAATTTTTTTTGAAATTTTTTTAATGTTAAAAAATGCTTTGAACACATTAAACTTACTTGTGCAACACATGCTTGAACAAGATTTGATGGAAATATATTTCTAAAAGGAACAAACAAAAAACCATGAATTATATTGTTTATTATTTTTCGAAATATCGGGTATCGATTATAATTTTATAATCGAATTATACCTAACTAAATCTAATAGCGTGTCGGAGGTAGTAACATTTCTGATGGGAGTTAAATCTTTGTCAACTTCGAAAGAAGTCCCACTAATTTCTCCGGGTCTTATCACCAAAACAAGAATTATTCCAAGTATAACAGCAGTAATCGTTGTAGTTCCGTAATAATAAATCGATCTCATGCCAATCTTTCCTATACAATTATTTTTATTATTTTACCAAAAAATAAATATTATTTATTCTATATATTAAGACATGTTAAAACAAATAATTTACCTGAAAGAGAGAGATCCAAACTACCGATCGAACTGACAATACTAGCCACAATTAAAGGTAAAATAAGACCTTTGAGCATCCTCAAAAAAAGATCTCCAGGAAATTGAATATACATTATTTCGCGATTTGTCCATCCCCCAGTTTTATCAATATTCCTTAAGATAAAACCTAATAGTGTGCCAGCAAAAACGCCGACTACCGTCAGTAAAGTCAATAAATTTTCCCACATACACTTTTTCCATCTTTTTGGGCGAGCCATTATCGTTCTGTTATTTTTTCTATGCGAAAATCGTTGAAATTACAAGATGATGAGGGGCCTGTCAAGACTGTAAAATTAAACAAATTACTAATACTAAGATACAGAATTTTATAAATTTAAAATGATTCATGAATGTTCGCAACATTTGCATAAAGATGCATAAAGATGCATAAAGATGCATACAAATGCACGGAAGGCTAGATTGAAACATTCTTTTATTACTTATACAGACATCTGTAATGTGTGCGTTAAATAGGTGATACAAGAATGGAAACGGTAAAGTCAATATTGTTTTATTGCTAAATCATTTTGAATTAAAAATAATGACAATGATAGCACGAACGGGCGGTAATTGAATTCTCTTGGTTTACTATCTTTGCATAAGAATTAAAACGATAATTTGATTTGATTAAGAAAAAATACAAAGAAGCGCGTTGTCTTATATATACCTACGTAACATTAAAATTATATCAATGTAACGAACATAACGTATTGGATAATTCATACATGTAGGATTCTGTAGAAATTATTCTTCGTGACAAGATAATGAAATTCCCATATTTATTATGTTAAACTGGTTAAATCCAATTCTTTCTTGTCTTAATATACAGAGATAGGGAAAAGAATTATAAAAATGATTATTCTTACTCAAATGATGTGTTCTTTTCTCTTACAATTAAAACTAACAATAAGACAAGCAAATGATTTTATTCACGCACGCAACGCATGATTTTTTTTGAATTTAACTGCTTTACTGTCTTACAAATTAATTTTTGGTTTTTTTTTTTCGTATTATTTTCAAATATTATGTTTTATCACTTTTTATCAAATGACAAATGTGATAAATTTCTTATTTTTGTATCATTTTATCTACTCGTATCTCTCGTGAAAAAAAAGTCTATTCCCGAGATCTTTATTCTTCTTATTCTGTATTAATTAAACTTTACTTCTCAGGAAGTAGAGTCCGATAATGGCACCTCCCATATTACTTTTTTGGTTCTCTTTTTTTTCTTTTAATTTGCCAATGTAATAACAGGAATATCTGCTAAATGATTTATCGGTTTCCCAATATATTTAAACACACGCTTGTACATATGTACATGTATGTATATAGATGTATATATATATACATGGAATAACTATTACATGTATTCATCGAAAAACTAGTATGAACCAGTTAAAACCATACCATAGATCGGTAAATGTATTTACATGTCGCAACCCATTGAAAATATAAAACTAAAAGAAAACTATCGTATGGTGGAATTTTTAATCACTTCTTTTTATTTGTGTGTGCGATTAGTACAGTTTTGAATACATGATCGGTATTTATAATAGGGGTAGGACTACATTAGGGTTGCGTCAGGGTTGCGTCAGGATATATTACAAATTGATATTTCAATTTCAAATACTGACCCAATAAAGATAGCATAAATTTGAAATTTGTTTGAGTATTTATATGAGCATAAGGAGAATTCTTAAACCCCGTGAGAAAGAAGAAAGAAAAGGCCAGCTCCAAAAACATACTCGTATACTACGACGACTGCATTCCTTGCATAATTGCGACCTAAGATCGTTTTCAACGTTCTCCCTGTTAACGAGGAACACTTTCCTTTTACGCGACAGAACCTTTTATTAATTATTTACGAAAGAAAGGTAATTAAATTAATTTTATACTCGTACTACCATCTTCATGATGTTGGAAAGTGTACGATAGATATGAATTGTTTTATGGTTCCCCATTTCTTCGAAAACCTACACGTACACAAAATAAAGTAAATTTAAATATTAATAACATATTAATTCATATTGCGACAATATTATTTGGAGAAATATGTTAGGAGCATACGATAACATTTAATATTTTCATTTGATTGCAGTTGCACGTTAAATGAAGTTTTTCTTCGTGTTTGGCTCTCGAAACTCGAGCCCAACAAAGTTCCTTGATCGTACACACGATTCGTCGATCCAAATAAGGTAATCGCTAAGTATGGTTGCTGTCTTACCTTCCAAACAAAATTCGGGTCATCTTTCTCGAAACTGAGATTTTGTCAATAACTCAAATCGTTCAACGATTTCTCTTTCAAATTTCCCGCTGAACATTAAAACAAATTTGTTCTTGTTTATAAATATAACGATTCACCTTTCTCGACATCGATTTTATCAATATTTCGATTCATCTTACAATTTTGTCCAATTTCCCGCCAAACGATAATACTTTTCATTCATCAAAATCAAATATTTTGTATTTAATGATTAATGAGAAAGAGAGATTGGTCTTTTTTTTAAATAATAATTAATCTTTTATTTTATAAATTACGTTTACATATCTCACCATCAGACGAAGATGAAAGACAAGAGAAGGTCCTTAAATTTCCCTTTCACATGCGCATCCAACACCCACGCGATTTGGTCCCAAGGACAACATATATTTTCTTCTATTTCAATTCTTTCAAACACTCGTCTTTCTTTCTTTCTTTCTTTCTTTCTTTCGTTTTTTCTATCGTTTAAAATTTTTCTATTTCTCTTATCGAGGATAATTTAAACGGATGGTTAAGAGCTTCTTTGTTCAGAATAGAAAATATCGTTCATCAATTTTGTTTACGTATATTTTATCATACTAATTCTTTGATAAGAAAACTTGTTCATATCCATTCATTTTTCACAGTTTCTCATAAAACACGAAGGAACACCACACACTTTCGTTTAGAGAAGATTTGATAAGAACACAAAAGTTACGATATGTATATTTATTCAAACCCATTAAAAGAAAGATAGATAGAAACATCATTTCACGCGGATTTGATGTTGCGACTTTGAATGTGACACATGTGGTCGTTGTCTTTGCGAACCACATTGATTATATACGCTTCGTCATATTTATGTATAGAAATATATACATTTTATCTTTCAGCGAAATCGTGTCATTCGTAAATCATTTGAATTTCTTCCTTCTTATTTCATTTTTTTGTCCTAATAACATTTTCATTTAATTTTGTCTGATTAATCATCCCTATAAGGGTTTTCTTTTTTTTTTCTTTTATAACAGAGATATGCAAATGATTTACTACTAATCGATCGATACAAAGTACCTCTATGGTTCTACGATGGGAAATAGAAAAAGGGAACCAGAATAGAAAGACCGTTGCTCCGAAGTATTTATGCATATAGTACGTTAAGAAAGATCAAAAGGTAGGGGAATGTACCAACGGTGTACCAACGGTGTACCACGGGAATAGTTAACCGGCGACACCAGCGACGACGTGTTTAGGAGAAAAGGAAGAGAGCGGGAATCAAAATGATCGATAGAATTTACTCACTCGTTCAATCCTGTTCGATAAATTTGAAAAGTTCCTTTTCGATGCACTATTTTTTCTCTTTTGATAAAAGTTTTGTCTTTAGTTTCAAATGATCTATACTATGTCTATTCAAAATGGCAGAGTAAGACCACGCGGTTATTTGAAAATTCAAATTTCCGATTGGAAAAATGGCATTTGTTCTGAGAGAGCATTACTCGAAAAATAATTATAAATGAAAATGTATTTAAATTGAAGAGTTCTCTTACTCGATAATGGTATACGTTGGAGTTCACGGTTGGAGTTTACGGTGGTGAAACTGAGAGACGCACACTAGTATTCGCGAGGATCGACTGCGAACGACAAATTCAAAAAACGTGAGACCGCTCTTGACTCTCTGCATCTGAAAGCCGCCGATGATCACCAATCGTCTCTCTTTTACTCCCGCTCTCCCTTTTTCTCTTTTTCTCTTACATGTTCCATCATACACACATACATACACGCATACATAGAGAAAGAGAGAGAGAGAGAGAGCACGCGCGCGCATTATATGTGCTCACAAATTCGTCCTTCGAGAATAAAAAGAGAGAAAGAGAGAACCGGGTCCAACGACTGGTCGTAACGTCACTCTCAACCCTGCTGCAAAAGCCGATGCGAATAAAACCATATACATATACATATATATGTAGTAGTAGTACTATATTGCCAGTTGGGTTGAAAAAAAGATCGAGAACAACACGGTCCAGACGAGATAAATCTCTCTTACTAGTAGTGTACTTTGTTCATTATGCGCATGCGCAAAAGATCCCAAAAACCGGAGATGTTAACTTTTTTGGTAAAAATTATCTACCTACTTAAAAGTTATGAATTAGTAATTAATTAATTGAATCAATTATATTTTTGTCTGCTTTATTCTTAAAATATATTATACAATGCAATGTATAATTTCATTTATGTTGTAAGATTCAGTTTTATATTTAACCGCCTGCGCGCAACACCCTGCGTACTACCGATAAAGTAACTGTTTCTGTCTCACTTTCACTTACTGGAATCGACAATATATTATTACTATACATGTATATATATATATTTAAAAGCCAAAGTTGAGAACCGTGTGCGAGTCCAAAGCCCTTCTGTGTCATCTCCCCTTCCCTCTTTTATAATCTCACAATCATCATCGTTCATTTTTCGCCTCGAGATGACTTTTTCTCTCTTTCTCTCTTTTTTTTTTTTTTTTATTACAACTGTTATCTACTTTCTCTTCTCCCACCCTCTTTCTCTCTTTCCCTACGTACACAGGCGGCACACTTACAAATCCCTTCTATTTCATCGATACAATCATCATCGTCATCGGATCAAGGACCTTTTATCTTCTGTTATGATTAAATTCGATCCTTCAGGCATTTTATCGAACATTCCGTGGTTAATTTCTAACATTAATAAATCAGAAAAGAAGAAGAGCAGTGTTTCTCAAATTTTCGTTAGTCACACATTTAGTCGCACGTGTTACAAATATTGTCTAGTTCTTCATGATTATTTTAATACATAGGAATTTACCTAATCGAATAAATACCATCATGTGAGGATGAAGTTGTATTTATATATATATATATGCTTTACATACGTTCATTCATGACAAAAGTATGACGTTTTCACACGTTATTTGCGTCAATACACAGTTAAAATTAATTTGTGTATAATTTATGGAAATTGCTGTGAGAAATATATAGTTTTATTAAAATACAACTTTGTTAATAGACATATATAATAGAGGACGTTAATTAGATCGAGGTCAAGCACATTGTGGTGATATTAATTAAGTCTTTAAATTCGTATTTATTAAATTTGTTTCACTTCGGGAAGTATTTCAGTTAGAGTATCTTATGATATTCGCTTATTTAAACGATATAAAATACAAATACGACGATATAAATGACAAAAAAGAATTTATACAAAAAAAAAAGAAATGTTTATTTTTCATTATGGGTACATGTCTTTTTGTTTAGCGAACTAAATCATTATTTACTCACACGTATACAAATATTTAAATATTAAGTTATAAAAAAAACTAAGCACATCAATTGAAACATTACCCTTATATTAAGTTCGAAGAAACGAAAATACATTTAATTATTTTTAATATAAAGTCTGAGTAATAAAATAATAATTCGAGTAATATGATATAAAGTTGTATAAAAATTACTCTATCACATTATTCAAATGCATGGAGGGGAGTACGACAAATTTACCGTATACTAAGGCACCTAACACACAAAGTTATCTAAAAATATAATTCTTATTTCAATACTTTCCGATTGCTCAGCTCATTTTTTTTTTCTTTTTTTTTTTTAAGATTCAATGAAATATTGAATTAATTTTCTATGATTTTTCCAAGAAACATCGTTAACAGGATGAAATATTAAAAGCTAAAGTAGTCTATAGACATATATACAGAATATTTCGATGATATATTGAAATTAATTATGAGAAGAGCACAGCTTATGTCATGTCTTAAAATTAAAACAATTTACATTAGTTTTTTGTCTGTTGCAAAATAACATATACTTCATGTAAATGATTGTTTTGAAATATGATATTTTCAATAACTCAAATGAATCGTCTAACGCTGAACCCTTCCAATGCTTTTATCATATCAACAAATATTTTCACAATAAAATATAATGGTCTTTTACGAATTATTTTCTGGTGGAGGAGATGTGATCTTTCTTTTAAATAGGAGAATGTGTGGTTCTAAAAATATATATATATATTTTAAAACGTTAGATATATGATTTTCATACCACATTATTATATATGAAAATATTCAACGCTTAGTTTACCTGGGTAGTGGATCATGTAGTGCACCCATCCTTGACTTTGTTGAACACCAATAGCTCTCCACTCCTGCTCAGACATGAGATGGGTTTTTGGCACTAACTTCTGCATATCTTTAGGTAAAACCACATGCCTAAAAACACCATTTGCAAATTTTTCATTGCTTTCAAATGTAAATAGAATGAACTAATTAATACCAAAAGTAATAATATCAAAGAAGTTGAAGCTAACAAAAGCATATGTGTGGTTAGTTAAATGTATATGTTAAATGTGAGATTGCACTTTATCCATAAACAAAAAGCACATTAAATTATACGGAATTTTTATTAAACGTGAATTTGGAATAATGCAACATGTTATTAATTATACATAATGGACGAAATATTTTGATGAAAAATAAAAGAAGGTGTAGATAATATAAAAGTAAACCGTCCATTGTGGACACTTACCTGTATTCATAATTATCGTCGTAATATTTGTCGGAATAATAAATGGGATTCGGCATTCCGTAATACTTAATTGTAATACCACAGTAAAATTAAAAACAAGGAGACAAAATAAACTATAATAATTTGCTATACTACGCAGCAGTAAGCGCTCGAGAATTTTCCAAAACCTTCTGACTGTGAAGGGTGTACGATTTGAAAGTTTAACGGATGTACAATTTAAAGAAGTGGGGGAAATTCAACTACTCTCTAGTCGTTGACATTTAAAATTAATTTCTTTTAATCAACCATCATTGATGAAAAATTTAATTAGGAATTTAACGTGAAATATATATATATATATATTTCATATCACATTATTATTTATTGTTAAATAGATCATTATTCGAAATGAAATCATTTATACATGTGCGGAATGTGTACACGGAAATTCAGTTAAGGTTAGTCATACTCGAAATACATTGCTGCATTGATGCCAACATGACAACGTCTGGAGATTTTTTTTCAAGTTTCATTGTTAGTAAACGTCGCGTTGTGGTGTTGATTAAGGATAGTATTTACATAATATAATATAATATAATATAATATAATATAATTAAAAATAATGGAAAAAGTTTCACGTAGACGTAATATTGAAAAATCGAAGAAAGATACAAGACATAAAAGTAGGAATAAAAGTTCTGATAAGAAATGCAATAGTGATGTTGAACATCATTCACAAAATTCTAAATCTCATAGAAATTCGAAAAAATCTAATACTAAAAAAAAGAAATCTAAAGATGTTCGAAATTTATCGAAATCTCGTGAATCACGGAAAAAATCATCCAAGCATAAAAGCAGAAGAAGGTAAAGTATTTTTAACCTAACCTATAACTATGAATACCTTTTTGTTTACTAACTAAATATTAATCTATTACAGATCATCCTCGTCCTCTTCTTCGTCATCTTCGTCATCTTCGTCGTCCTCTTCTTCCACTTCGTCATCTCAGTCGAGTGAATCAAACAATTCTTCTTCTTCTTCCTCTTCGAATACCTCATCTGACTCAACGAAACTATTAGAAAAATTACAACGGCAACGTCAAAAACAAATAGAAGAACGTAAACGTCAGAAGGAATTAATGAAAGCTGCTGAAACACCAGAGGAGAAAAGAATAAGACGTTTGAAAAAGAAAGAAGCTAAGGAAAGAAAGCGTAAAGAAAGAATGGGTTGGGACAACGATTACTTGCATTATACAAATACAGATAATCCATTCGGAGATGGAAATTTACTATCAACATTTGTATGGTCCAAGAAGTTAGAAAAGGAAGGTTTACTTGGTGTTAGCAGAGAAGAACTTGAAACTAGAAATAGGCATAAACAAGAAGAAAATAGAAAAGAATTGGAGAAAGTTAAAAAAAGAAGGCAAGAAAGAGAATTGGAGAGACAACAAAGAGAAGAAGAAATGACGCTGTTGCAAAGAGGAAAAGAAGCTGCGCAATTAGAACAGTGGGCGAGACAAGAAGATCAATTCCATCTTGAACAAGCAAGATTAAGATCACGTATTAGAATTCAGGATGGTCGTGCTAAACCGATAGATCTTCTCGCAAAGTATATCAGTGCGGAAGAAGAAGTCGATGCTGTGGAAATGCATGAACCGTATACGTATTTAAGAGGACTACATGTTAAAGACTTGGAAGATCTTATTGAGGACATTAAAGTGTATAAAGAATTAGAAAGAGGAAAAAATTTAGATTATTGGAATGATATAACTGTTATTGTTGAAGATGAATTACATAAATTGCGTAAATTAGAAAGATCGGAATATGAAGTAGCTGTTGGTAGAAGAGAAGGAATTCATTCGTCAGTGGCAAAAGATGTTACTGCTATTTTTAAAGGAAAAACAGCAGCTCAGCTAGAATCGCTGCAATTACAGATTGAATCGAAAATAACCGGGAAACCAGAAGGCGTTGATATCGGTTACTGGGAAAGTCTGTTGTCACAATTAAAAGGTAACTTATACTAAAATCTAATATAAATAACATATAAATTACATATATATTTTTGACTTATAAGATGAATGAATTTTTATAGCTCATATGGCAAGAGCTAGACTAAGGGATCGACATCAAGAGAATTTACGTAAAAAATTGGAAGTCTTGATTGCTGAACAGGGTGTAGCTAGAACAGAAAGTGAAGCAGAAGGATCTCAAGTACCAAGCGAGCATTCAACAAAACAGGAAGAACCTACTACGAGTAATATCGAAAAAAGTGAAGAAAGTCAATCAGAGTATGTATACACGTTAATCAAATCTTGCTGTTTGTCTTTTATATCATATTAACACTATTATTTATTAACTATTGTTATAGGGACGAACAAGAAAATGGGAATGCAGCAGATGATATGTTATCTGAATCATTTTGTGAATATGAAACAGGTGGCTATTCACCAAAATATATACCTTACTCTCAACTGGAACCAGGAACTTTAGTTACTTTAGAAGAGGATGATAATCAACGTTTAGAATATGCTAGAAATCAAGTACTGAGTACTGGACGTAAAGTTCAAAATGTAATGACCGTAGAAGAACAAGCGATGCACAGAGAAGCAAGGAAAAATATGGGTTCGGATGAGGCACAATTTAGTGTAGAGTCATCGTTGGAAGCACAAATTTATTTATGGTCTGATAAATATAGGCCTAGGAAACCAAGATACTTTAACAGAGTTCACACAGGTTTCGAATGGAATAAATATAATCAAACGCATTATGACATGGACAATCCACCACCGAAAATTGTACAAGGATACAAGTTCAATATATTTTATCCTGATCTCATAGACAAGCACACAACACCGGAATATTTCTTGACTCCGTGTGCCGATAATAAAGACTTTGCTATTTTACGATTCCACGCTGGTCCTCCTTACGAAGATATCGCGTTTAAGATTGTAAATAGGGAATGGGAGTATTCATATAAAAGAGGCTTTAGGTGTCAATTCCATAATAATATTTTTCAATTATGGTTTCACTTCAAACGATACAGATATCGTCGATAATATGTCAGCATTTTATATTGGGTTTTTTTTTTTTTGTAAATGGACGTGTAATATACAAATTATACCATAATTTAAGAGAAACACATTTTATAATATTATACTCTAAATAAAATAGATAGCCAAGTATTTATTGTAAAGTATAGAAAAAAATAACAGAGATATTATTTACAAAAAAAAAAAGAAAAAGAACTCGTAATTTTTTTTTTATTTGCGTACCCGCATTTGTAATATTAATACAATCAAATTTAGAAAGTTTCACATGATTATATAATTAGAATGTGTAAATACCCATATTATAATTCATCGCTCGGCGACATAATTTTATCAGTATTGACAAATATTGAAATATCCGGGCTTATACTAATTTCTTGTCCAATTATCTCTTTATGAAAAAAATCAATATTATAATATTTAACATCGTATTTAATTCGTATTTAATTCGCAATTATTTCATACATATGTAAAAGTTTGTTTCATAAAAAAAAAAAAAAAGAAATCAAAAAATTAACTTTAGATCGTGAATGTTCAATGGTTGATTGTTAGACATTCTGAGGGCTCGAACAATAATGAATATTTTAACGCGTTAGCGGGCCGATGACGGAAGTGTAAGTCACATAAAATAGGTATACCAGAAACGAGCTCAATGGTGCTCTCGTTGGATCGATTTTCTCGGCCACCTGTATTTCTACTGCAAATACATTCTCACAATCAGTGAGAAACATAAAAGGTATATACAACATATATATATATATATATATAAAGCCAATGGCAAGGTAAACCTAAGCTCAGTATACCGAGTAATTCGCTACCACGGAGACGCATTTTCACGGCTGCTTTTTCTTTCCCTTTAGAATTCTACGAAATTTTCTAACGTCAAGTATTACTAAAGATAAAAAAAAGAAATAAATAGCAATTGTTGCCGTATAAATTAATGAGAAAAAAAATTGTCAAAAACAATATTGTGTTTCGTCGAATCTTTATCTCTGTGTTTATCTTATGTATTTTATTTATCAAAATTACATAAATTACATATTAAAATTTTCTTTTAATTGGAATTTCTTGACATTTAGAAATATTAAAATGTTCGCCAACTGATAATCTTTTGAAATGACGTTGCCAGATAATCGTAGGTGTACGTGGATTATTAATATTAATTTAAACAAATGTAATATATTGAAAGAAAATTTGTAACGTTTTAATGAGTCATTTTTCAAAACAACAGAACGATTACGTGATTATTCATCGAGCACGATTTAACAGGCTTTGCGCGTTAAACGAATCGATCAAATCTTTTATAGATAAACAAATTTTCATCCGTATACCTAAATTAACTACAAATGTTTTTCTAAAAATACGTGTTAAAAAGGATCACTCGTAATTACTTTCAACGTACGGAATGTAAAATTAATAATTTTATTTCTTAATCGTTTAAAGACAACGATGACAAAATTTCAACGTAATCGGCGTAAATACATATTTAGATCGTTGTCTAATCGATCAACACAATTTTTCATTTGTCATGTTAGCAAAATCATATAAAATAGAACAAACAGAATATTCGAAAATGTAATGTAAGTTTTATAGGTTTCTGATTGGTAAGAGATGCTACTTTCTATTGAAATTCTCGATATTAAAGTTTGAACAAATCATCATGAAGTGGAAACGAGAATCCACGGAATTTTTATCGGAGAAAACTTTCTTGATAATAAGGGACAATTTGGATAACTGCGAAGGTAAATGGAAACATTTTTATTCGATGTATTTTGTTCTTTTGCAAATTGGAGTATAAGAGAATAAAGAAAGAGGAAAAAGAAAAGAAATAAATAATTGTTCTTAGCACCCGAAAAGACGAAAAATAAAAAGAGTAAGAAGAGCAATAGCAATAGCAGTAGCAACAGCAGTAGAGATAGGTCCACTGACGAAGAAAGCGATGGTTCACAAGCGAGATTGCCGTTAGGAAACACGAGTACTTGGCCACCAAAGATAAAAAGATCTCATTGTCAGCAAATTTACGAGGAAATCGAAAGACCGAAAACCGCGAATCTTGACAAACCTAGCATCCTAAATCCAGAATTGGTCGACAAGCTCGATATGTCCTTGCTGAGTAAGGAATTACTTAGCGATTCTATGACGCGTTACCACCAGCAGCAGCAGCAGCAGCAGCAGGTGACGAAGACGATTAGTGGGGGCAACTCGAGCATCGTAATTTTCCCTTCCAATCGTCCTCGACAAACTGTTCTTCTCGGTTTCCAACAACAACAGCACCAACACCTTCGACCTGCTTGGAACGATCGCATAGCTTTACATCAAAAACGTCGTAGTTTCGAACAAATACTCAATGTGAAAATAACTCAAATAGAAACTATACCGGAACCGACGAAAATGCAGAAGAATTCTCGTATTGCTAATCAAGAAAATTGTCATCTTGGAAAGAAATTATCCTTGGACGTTAAGAAATTCGATAATAATAATAATAACAGGTATGTAAGTATAATATTAACATTTCGTTAGGGCTTTTAGATTTTGCATAAACACCTACGTATGTGCACACACATTTTTAGGAATAATGCAAACGGACCGATCAAAGTTCAAACATTATCATCTCTGAAAAAAAAAAATTCACGAACCAACATGTCGGCCGACGTCGAAGTCTTCACGAGTTTGACGAGCAAAAACGTTCCAGAGCCGTGTAGAACTTGCGGAAGATCGGATCAACCGGAAAGATTTCATAGTCATCCGAAGGATGGAAGACCTGGGAAAACAAAGATTGCTATTACTTCAGTATCCCCAAAAAGTTCGAAGGTGTCGGTACCAAAGACCATACAGAAACCAATGCCATTGAATTTTCGCAGTGATAAAAATAGGACAAATAAATTGGAGGAAGCTTTGACGGTTCGAGATGTTCAAAGTACAAAGAATAATCCTGAAGAATCATCAAATAAATCAACGAGAGCATCTTCGGCTCCGATAAGAAAAGGACCAAAAACAGTAACTTGTTACATTTGCGGTCGTGAATTCGGCACTGCTGGTTTCCCCATTCACGAACCCAAATGTATGGAGGTGAGATTAATTTTCGATATAAATTTATTTGATACGTCATTCGATGTATGTAGTAGTACTCGTAGAGTAGAATATTTGCTAGAAATGTTAAACGTCAAGGTTGAAAAATCGATGGAGCTAGTGAGCAACAACAAGTCGAGTATTATCAAAGATCGTATCGGATGCGTTAGGAAGATTGCTATCGTATATAAGCTATATAGAGAAGAACATCGTTGTTGTGCATCGTAGTTGGTCTTGCATTATGCAACGTATACACGTGGTTCGATATGTCTCTTATGACCTCGGCAATGACATCTACGCCTGCGATGAGACGCACCATTCGTCATGCATAAAAGAGACATCGATCGTTTTGTCTATCATTTGCTGATCTTTTTAAATGACGTCATCTTTATATACTCTTATCGATTTTCAATACTTGTGTAATATGCTTCTTCGGTAATAATGACAATGGATTCAATCGAATTATTGATAAAATTGATTTAACGATTTATTTCATAATAACATTTCTTAATTTTAATTTTTTACCACCTATTGCATTTATTGCCTTATGCATTACTGCCTGTATGCATTTTAGAAGTGGGAACGAGAAAACAATTCTTTGCCAGTTTCCCAAAGACGAGCTAGACCTAAACGACCGGAAGTTGCGATTAATCATTCGGAATGGAACGCAGTTGCTTGGAAAGAGAGTCAGGTTTGTATTTTGTATAAAATAGAAATATATGACAAGATCACTCGATAAATGCAATTACGTTGATATAAGACAATTAACAATCGTCCACAATGAATCTGGTCGATCTCATCTGATTGATAGGGTTGATTATGTGAAAGGGTGCACTTAAGAATCTTATCAACATGTATTAAGTTCGTTTATACGAGAAAATTCTACGAGGGCGCCGGTTTATGTCTATTTATATGGTGCATACGAAAGAAAGAGAGAAAGAGAGAAAGAGAGAAAGAGAGAGTGAGAATGAATGAGAAAGAACGAGTTTAGTCACGCACCATGGTTCAACCCTATCGTGTTCAAGGTGCTGACCTAGATTTATGACATGCGCTTCGTTCCTTAAGGCAAAATCGAGACCATAATTAAATGTAAAAAATTCTAAGCCGCAATGCGACTATTGAAAAAAGTATTATAAGTTTCTATTCTATTTAATGTATGGTGTGATATTTATTGTTATTATTGATTTATCAATCGTATGTTTCAGACACAATTGGTTCCTTGCTCGAAATGTGGAAGAACATTTTTACCAGAACGTTTGTCAATTCACTCGAACAGTTGCAAAGCCAGTCCAAAGGTTTGAAAATGATTTTAGAATTTGTATTATGCCAATAAATTTTCAATCCTTAATTATAGTTCTTACGATCGTAGAATTTGGATAAAGAGAAAACCGAGAAAATAGATATTTTAGAAAAATCTTCAACGATTTCCACACGAAGCGGTCCTCCTATGGTACCTTGTCAGATTTGTGCTAGAAATTTTAGTACAAGAAGCATAAAGATTCACGAACCACAGTGCATGAAACGTTGGAAAATGGAAAAGGAAAATAAAGCGGCGAATTCTCAAAGGATTTCGTCTCACAAAGAAAAATCTGACCCTACTGGGAATATACAGGACAATACTTCGGACAACCCTATTGGGGTGAGTCATCCAAGAAAGCATACTTATTGTATTCGGTTTGCCTAAGGATTTCAGCCATGTAATATTTCACGTCGTTATGAAAATATTAACCAGAATAAAATATTTATAAAAACATTTAATTTTTTCCTATCGCATTGCGTGTTTTAATATTATCGTATAAAAATGTTGGGAAATACATAAAATTGTTCTCAAGGGACTAACATAAGCGTGGATAATGCACTGATTTTAGGATACTACTCAAAAACGAATGATCACCTGTTATATTTGCGGTAGAGATTTTGGAAGTGTTAGCATAGCCATACACGAACCGCAATGTTTGAAAAAATGGCATTTGGAAAACAACAAATTATCGCCTAAACAAAGAAGGAAGGAACCCCAAAAACCAGATATTATTTATACGAGTCGGTATTTTTGTTATATACATTTTTGCTTATAATTAATTGTATTTTTTCGCATATACCAATTATTACCTTCTTTTTTCTTTTTTTTTTCTTTTTTTCTTTTTTTCTTTTTTTCTTTTTTTCTTTTTTTCTTGCAGAAGATCCGTCTACAGGAGATGCAGTAGTAGATATTGCAGCGATGGCGGAAGCTAGTTGGAAAACTCATCTGAATCAATTAGTTCCATGTAAAAATTGCGGAAGAACTTTCAATCCCGATCGTGTAACTATTCATGAAAAAAGTTGTAAAGGAAATCGTTAAAGATTTCTCATCGTACATTTTTCAATCTCATAACATATAGAATAACATTTTCTGAAGTATAACAGTAATAATAATCATACATGATCACACATACAAAAACAAAAAAAGAAGAAAAAAAAGGCAATTAACATTAACACATTTGTTTGAACAAAAATGCGATTATTATGATTTATTGTATGACAAAGATGACAGTACTTGATCTCCATTTGAATTATTCGAATGTTGCAAAACAAGTATCGACATTTTGCTTTTAAGTTAATTTCATTTTTAATTCTATTTTGTGTAATTCGTTATTGTGTGTGTGTGTGTGTGTGTACAAATATTAATAGATTTCTCGTATTTTATAGATCGAATGAATTACCAAATGATATTTCCTATGTAATGTGAATAAAATGATAATAGTATTTTAATGCATTTATAAATTATCGTATTGAAATTAAGGTTCATTCACATTTTTAGATAATGGCAGACAAAAGTTCGTTAAAATTTAATTCACAATTACCCTGAAGAGGGCAGCACATTTAGAAAGCCATTTGTAGACGCGTCTTTAAGTACATTTTAAAGTCCAGAAAGCGTTTGGATAAAGTGAAGATATCATATTTATGTATATATATATATATAAATAATATACGATAGAAAAAAGAATGTACATAGCAAAGGTTTCTTACATTTACGATTATATGCAATTGCATCTTTCATGCGCACGCAGCTTCAGTCGACGTGGCGGGGTTTAAAAGATTTTGATTGGTCGAGAAGACGGCTTGAAATGTGAATACTCCTTCCGCAGTAGACTAAACGTTCTGCCCTTTCGCAGAACTCCTGTTCTTTCTGAGGGAGTCCGCCATAGTTGCTGGACATATATTTCAGATCAGGTCTACGGATATCAAACATCATCCAAAATGGTACGTACTATCTTTTTAAAGTATCGCGTGTAAACGAATCTCTGTAGCTCGGCAATTACTGAGGTGTAAATATTTTTGTAAACGCGTTCTCAATTGGGTTCAGATTAATTGAAAGAAACTGGCGGATATTGCTTCGGATTGCGCAACTTCCTTCGTGAAGAAAATTTCGAGTCCTTGCGAAGGATCTGCCTGGACAAAGATTGTCCTAAGTCCTGATAAATAATGTGCCGTTATGTTTCTGATCAATTTCACCAAGAAAAAGCTGAGATTCGTCGATATTCAACGTCGAAATATGTTCCGTGTGTCGTAAAAAGCAACGTGTCATGGAACGCTCTTTGGCTCCCCTCTATGGGAGTCAACGTGCGCAGAAGGAAACATCGTCTACTTACTAAAGATATAAGCTCTTAGCGACGCTTTCCAAATTCTATGTGCAATTAAAGAATATATTCCCAAAATGAAGAGCTCATACGAGAATACAGTCTACGCGTCTAATATGAATATTACAAATTTGGAATGGTTATTATATTAAGTTCGGGGACTAATAAGATATAAGAAGAGAAAATACACGGACGTATAATGAATAGACGCTAAGTTAATAGACGACGCCAAGCTTTCCACATTGAAACGGATAATTTACTTTTGATCTAAATCATAAGTAATCATATCTGCGTTGTATATCCTTATCAAGATTTGCTTGGCTTTGCTTTCAATATGGTCAGTGTGAATAGATTATTGAAGAAATTCTTTTTTTTTCTTATAGTATTTTTAGGATCAATTTTATAGATTTCTATTTAGTCAGAATACAGTACACCTTGGTGGTGGTATATTTTAATGTAAATTTATTTTTCTTATATTTATATAGCTTTATGTTTATATTTTTATTAATTTAATCATTTAATATCAAGTTTTTGACCGATATATGATGTAATATTACATGAATAATTTTCTATTTGATTAGATTGAAATTTGACATCATATTCTGTGTTTGTTTTAGGTGAACTTTACGGTAGACGAGATCCGTGTCATGATGGACAAAAAGAAGAACATTAGGAACATGTCAGTCATTGCTCATGTAGATCATGGCAAATCAACTCTGACCGATTCCCTTGTATCAAAGGCTGGTATTATCGCTGGAGCTAAAGCTGGTGAGACGAGATTTACAGATACGCGCAAAGATGAGCAAGAACGTTGTATTACTATTAAATCAACGTAAGTATATTTCAAAATAAGAATCTATCAACAATTAAAAATGTACTATAATAAAATAAATCATTTTTTTGTTTTTGTTTTTTTTTTTTTTGTTTTTTATAGAGCTATATCCATGTTCTTTGAACTTGAACAAAAGGATTTAGTTTTTATAACGAATCCCGATCAACGTGATTTAGAAGAGAAGGGTTTCTTAATTAATCTTATCGATTCACCAGGCCACGTTGACTTCTCCAGTGAAGTTACAGCTGCTCTTCGTGTTACGGATGGAGCACTCGTTGTTGTAGATTGTGTATCTGGTATGTTATTTTATGATTTTAATGCATTTTTCCTTCCAGCACAACAAGGGTCACTTTGTAGTACGTTAATCGATTTGTCAAAATTGATTAATGTACGTTGACAATGTTGACAGTGCTATTTAATGGAAGAAGAATAAAGAAAATTGTGTCGATAATCTATTAGTGAACCTCTATCTTTATGTTCAATACTAATATGCTAAGATACAATTTCGACAAAGCCATCAATTAACAATTTTTGATGAATTTAAATGATACGCTTAATAAATAAGCTTAAAATATCTAAAAGCATAACAGTAATAACGAGTTCTCTTTTTACCACTTAGGTGTATGCGTGCAAACAGAAACTGTACTTCGCCAAGCAATTGCTGAACGAATTAAGCCTGTTTTATTCATGAATAAAATGGACCGAGCTTTATTAGAATTACAGCTCGATAGTGAAGATTTGTATCAAACATTCCAACGAATTGTTGAAAACGTTAACGTTATTATCGCAACTTATTCTGACGACGATGGACCCATGGGTGAAGTCAGAGTACGCATTCTTCCTTTCGTCATTTATTTGCCACTTTATTTTTATACATGGCACTAATTTATTCAATTCTCTAACAGGTAGACCCAAGCAAAGGATCTGTAGGTTTTGGTTCGGGTCTTCATGGTTGGGCTTTTACTTTAAAACAATTTTCTGAAATGTACGCAGAAAAATTCAAAATAGATGTTGTTAGACTTATGAACAGATTATGGGGTGAATCTTTCTTTAATCCAAACACCAAAAAATGGAGCAAACAAAAGGAACCAGATAATAAACGGTCATTCTGTATGTATGTGCTAGATCCAATTTATAAGGTAATTTTCTCCCTTCATTTGATCTATAATTTATCTTTGTTTTATCATCATAACTATATGTTTCATATTGTAATATTGTTTTAGGTATTCGATTGCATTATGAATTTCAAGAAAGACGAGGCTAATACACTTTTAAAGAAATTAGGTATTACTTTAAAACCAGAAGACAGAGACAAAGACGGTAAAGCATTGCTTAAGGTAATTCATTTGCTGTCTTATTTTAACGTTATATATATATTTAATACAAGAAGTAATTTTTTCATGATGATTGTTCTATAATTTTTTTTCTGACACCTCTTCCGATTAATAGTGAGAGATAATATGAACTTAAACTGATAAGATATAATTAATTGAATTATTATTATACTTAATATTTTGTATTTGAAATTGTAAGCTGTATTTTTTCGTAAACAGGTTGTTATGAGATCATGGTTACCAGCTGGTGAAGCTTTACTTCAGATGATTGCAATTCACCTTCCTTCTCCAGTAACTGCACAAAAATATCGTATGGAAATGTTATATGAAGGACCACTCGATGATGAAGCTGCCATTGGTATTAAGGTGACTGTTTATGCTATATTTATTTAGAAAAGTTTAGCAAGAAATTTCAAATGATGTATAATATTCATAGACCTGTTCTGAAATTTAATGACAGATTATTTATAATAACTGATTAATTCTTATTACATAAATAAATCATTATAGATTTTATTTCAAAGGATTAATAATATTTGATTTCTTGTACAGAATTGTGATCCAAATGGACCTCTCATGATGTACGTATCTAAAATGGTACCAACATCTGATAAAGGACGTTTTTATGCCTTTGGACGTGTATTCTCTGGTAAAGTGTGTACCGGTATGAAAGCCCGTATTATGGGACCGAATTTCCAGCCTGGAAAGAAAGAGGATTTGTATGAGAAAGCTATTCAACGTACTATCTTGATGATGGGACGTTACGTTGAAGCCATTGAAGATGTGCCTTCTGGTTAGTACATGGTATATTTAAACATTAAATATATCTAAAAAAAAAAAAACAAAAAAAAAAACTATTGTTTCTTAATATTTTTCTTATTCTTATGATGATTTTCCACACAGACCTGTTATGATAAATAATGATTATTTATATGGAACGGCCATCTGACGTTAAATTATTAAAAAGAGCAATATCCTACAAATTTGATTTCAATAATTTAACAAATTGTTCTTGATTTTTTTGTTCATAGGTAACATTTGTGGACTTGTTGGTGTTGATCAGTTTTTAGTAAAAACTGGAACTATTACTACTTTTAAAGATGCACACAATATGAAAGTTATGAAATTCTCGGTTTCTCCTGTTGTACGTGTAGCAGTTGAACCCAAGAATCCTGCAGATTTACCGAAACTGGTTGAAGGTGTGTATTTATTTTTATTTATTATTTTATGCAAATGCTAATATGACAGTATTAATGATGATATTAAAAGAGCATTGGGTTATGAAAAAAAAACCTATGATTCTATCAATAATTCTGATTGCATTGTATATATACTTTATATATATATATTTTAAAAAATGATATTTTTCGTATCACTGATTCGATATAATCATCACTGTTGAATAGGTCTGAAACGTCTTGCTAAGTCGGATCCTATGGTGCAATGTATCATCGAAGAATCTGGAGAGCACATTATCGCCGGTGCTGGCGAACTTCATCTTGAAATTTGTTTGAAAGATCTTGAAGAAGATCACGCCTGTATACCAATTAAAAAGTCTGATCCTGTCGTATCATACAGAGAAACTATTGCGGAACAATCTAATCAGATGTGTTTGTCGAAATCACCAAATAAACACAACCGATTATTTATGATGGCTTGTCCAATGCCTGATGGTCTTGCCGAAGATATTGACAATGTACGTCGTCATTTCAATAACATCATTTTTTATATATATATATCTTTGATGTATCTGTGTATTCAAATTAAAGGTAAAATTATTTATAGGGTGAAGTAAATCCAAGAGATGATTTTAAAGTACGTGCGCGGTATTTGAATGAGAAATATGATTATGATGTAACCGAAGCAAGAAAAATTTGGTGCTTTGGACCTGATGGAACTGGTCCAAATATTCTTGTTGATTGTACCAAAGGAGTGCAATATCTTAATGAAATTAAGGACTCGGTCGTTGCTGGATTCCAATGGGCAACTAAAGAAGTGCGCTTTGTTTTAATATTATATAATAATATAAAATGTTCAAATGTTAATATTAATTAATATTGTTTAATTGTGTAGGGTGTACTTTCGGAAGAAAATTTGCGAGGTGTTCGTTTCAATATTCACGACGTAACGTTACACGCTGACGCTATTCACAGAGGTGGTGGACAAATCATTCCTACCACAAGACGTTGCCTTTACGCCTGTCTACTCACTGCCTCGCCACGACTCATGGAGCCTGTTTATTTATGCGAAATTCAAGTATGCATTTGATGATACTAATCATTTATTTACAATTGAATGAACGAATGAAGGATAACAACATTGATTTATATTTCCAGTGTCCTGAAGTAGCTATTGGTGGTATTTATGGAGTATTGAATCGCAGAAGAGGTCACGTATTCGAAGAACAGCAAGTGGCCGGTACTCCAATGTTCGTAGTCAAAGCCTATCTTCCTGTAAATGAATCCTTTGGCTTTACTGCAGACTTACGTTCCAATACCGGTGGTCAAGCCTTCCCCCAGTGTGTATTTGATCATTGGCAAATCTTGCCTGGTGATCCAATGGAGCCATCCTCTCGACCATACCAAGTTGTGCAGGTAAATAGATGATGATTTAATCTTGTAGATAAAGTTTTTTCAAACTTGCCCACGGACATAACTGATGGTAATGAAATATATATTATGTCCATTATCATTTTTAATTCCGTGGAAAAATAATTGTTCTCAGTTTGGACTTTCTAGAGATCATTTTTCCTAGTTTGTCTGAATAGGAGATCATACATTATTATTTTATGTTTTCTTCTAATCAATTTTCTAATATATACAATGTTTTTTATTTTTGTTCAAACAGGACACGCGTAAGAGGAAGGGTTTGAGGGAAGGATTACCGGATCTAAGTCAATACCTCGACAAATTGTAACCGGAAATTTCCACACCGCATGCACAGTAAAAAAACGATTTACGAAAGCTGTAATTTATTTTAACACAAAAGAGTCAGTCCCCCCGTCAGAATTTTCTTTTGTGTCAAAACAAATTAGGTTTGTTATAACGTTTTTTTATTGAAACTAATAATGTTATTTTTTTTTGTTATTAAAATTATCTGAATCGCCAATTTCGTTTACCAATGATCATAAAATCGCAACAATACTGTAATCTTTCCGAACATGAACAATATAAGAAGATTAAACAAAAGATTATAAAAGAGACCAAATATTACTCTCTTTTAACATAACTTTAAATCCATATCATAATGTCCTTATGAGGTCCGAATTTTTATTCTTTAACGATGATGTACTTTTTGTGTGTACATCTCTTTTAAGTATCAACCTATATGGATACAAATTAAAGATAAGATTAATATCATCTTATTAGTCGATTTATTCTTTTTTAAAATTTTCTTAAAATATTTAATAATTATATATTGATATATTCATTTTTACGCAGATCACTGTTCTTTCATTGTACATAGATATTTGTTTTTTTGTTCATTGAACAATCTAAACCTTATTTGTTGTTATCTTCTGTATTAATAGAATTATATTTACAAAAAATATTATTTTTCAATCGTATTGATTTATCAAATATTACACAGGATTTATCGTAGTTTTATAAATTCCCGCCAGAGATTGAACTGCTAAAAATATCAAATCTCTTCTTGAAACTCCAGTTAGTGCATGATGCCATTCGTTGTGAGAAACCTGCAAAAGTTAGTCAACAACAACAACAACAATTCTTTAGTATAAGCATATTTTTAAATGTAATTAATAATGTACTTCTTTGTATACTTGTAAATTGTTTGCCATTAAACTGCCAATTGTGACCGATAATCCAGACCATTTAAGAGGATAATCTTCCGGTGTATCTTGTTGCGCTAGCAAAACTATTTGACTAGGTACTGGAGTCATTTGAGTAAATGTTTGAAGATTTACATTGTTTTTTGGATCATTAAGAAGAATCACTCCTAAATCGTACCACTTGTCTTCGCCTATTTCTAGTAAAAAATTTTCTATAGCAATAATAGGTATATCTTTTGGTAAGGATGAATTGTTGTTACGTGCTGAATTAATTCTCTCTTCAGCACCTTTAACACCAGCAGCAAAACCAACTGGTTGAGCAGCTATGGAAGTACAATCCACAGGTATACCACTAAAATAACAAAATAATGTATATTATTTAAATATAATCAGTAATAATAATAATAATAATAATATTATCACGCATGTCATACTTACGTAACTGTTGCTTTACCAAAAACTGCTTGAAATGCTTGGCGTACAGGACTTATTTTGGCATCTTTATCTGAAGCCACTACAATTTCTATATCACCGCCTGAATCTAAAATATACATTTATAACAAATAATGCATATATATCCCATATATATATATATTACATACATATATTAAATAGACAGACACCACATAACAAGGTACTCAATTTTTTACAGCAAAAGCTTATTTTTCGTAAGCAAACAACAATGAATAGAAATGTTGTTGTTGTTGTTGTTGTTTTGAGATATAATGCAGTAAACACATAAGATTATTGAAAAAAACATGTTTGAATGGGTTATAATTAATGTCGATTGAAATGCTGTCATGCAATATACTTACAAATGAACTCACGCATCTGTGGATCCAATGTTGTGATCATGGTATTGACACTATTTTTTGCCTTCTCAGCAACTTTGCTTAAAACATTGCTAATTACTGCAGTCTCTTTTACCCAAGAGAGCAAACCACTACCAACTATTCCTGAATCTTGCAATTGCGTTTCTATCGGTTCGGTAGGTGGGTTTGTTGATACTTCTGACGCCGAAGTAATTGGATATTCTTGTTTACTTTCTGTAGAAGTATGAGATACAAGTGGTTTCTTGATCAATTCATTTTGCTTTGGTAAAGATACGTTTGTATTTTGAAGATTTTTATCTAAGGAAACTGCAACAGGATGTGAAACAAAACTGGGCAGTGCCGCTGGCGGTGCTAGGTTTGAAAATAAATTTCCTGTTGACGTAGAAACACCCAAGGGTGTTAAAAGAGATGTTGATGACGATAAACTGCAAAATGAATCTGGAAAATAAAATTCATAAACAAACCAACAAGTTCATCAATAAATATTATCAAATTACAAATAGTTCCAATGACTACATTAGAAATATCATTTTGACGTATTTAATAAAAACACTTTGTCTCTCTTGTCATTTTGACATTTTTCACTGTGGATATAAGCATTGATATTTTTTACAGATACAAACCAGTTTTAACAATCTCCCCAGGTACTGAAATGTCGTCCGATTTTTTTTCTACAAACTCGAATGTAGATTCTCCGTTAGATTCGTCTGTCATTTTAAATAAATTTCAACAATTTGATTACTCGTTAAATTTGTCTTCAATTTTATTGTGAATTTGCGATGTTATATATTCAGAGAACAATAAAAGAATTTTCAATGGTTGCCACGTGATACGTGGCGCTGCTGAGCTTCCATGAAATGATCAAATCTAAGTTGAGAATCTCTATTTGAAATTGTTTAATAAAATAATAGTTAATAAAAACTATTAAATCGTTTACAAATGATCAATGATATTATATACTCTTCCTAGATTTTTCTTGGAACCCAGAAAATACAAAGTCAAGAAGAACCTTACTACGATTATTGTTAACATTGATATATAAATAATATTTAGTAAAAATATAAGAAATTGATAAATAATTATTTAAAACGATCTCATGTTATTAAAACGATCGATCGAATATATCTTAATCGATATAATCATTCCGAATCGGAAATATTGTTAAGGGGATTCAAAATTGGCGCTATTTTGAAGTCACCTGTACAACATTTAATCATTCATCTTTGGATGTTTCCGTGGAAAATAATAAATGGATTTAAGAAAAAATCTCGAGCTACTACCTTTGATTGTCAAACATTGAATAAATTATTATTACTTTGAATAGTAATAATACAGGTGTATTGTATAAACGTGTTATCACAGTTAGTTCTAGTTAATCGTGTATATTGTATATACTACGTTTGACTCTGGAAAATTTCAAAGCTTGAGAAAATTTATTTATAGTATAAGTAGTACCATGTCGTATCGATACAAACCTCGTGGTGGACCTCTTCTACATTGGATCATGTCATTCGCCTTCTGATTCAGCACAAATTTAGACGTTTCAATTTACAACGCATAATATCTTTTAATAGTTGTTGTTGTTAATGTGGTGAACGACACTAAGGACAACATTAATATATTCCTTTGTATTTCATTGTTTGTTTTGTTCTTTTCATTATTGGGTGCACTCTCTAATCGAAGATGAAGAAATTACGATCAAGTATTTTTCATGACATTTATTATCAACCATATGATGACTATTCCAGGCATAAGTTGTACTCTAGCAGCAAAGGTAAAATTTCATTCAATATATACTTGACAAGATATTATTAGCGACAAAGATTGAAATTGTCAAATTTCATTCAAACATAAATGCTGATGAAAATGAACTCTTCAACTTTTTTTTTTTTTTTATTATATTAAGTGTCTTTCTTTTCCTTTCTTTGATACTTTTTCATGCTTTTATTTTGTTAAGGTATTAATTATTGTTCTTGGTATTGCAGCTAGTTTACAACTTATACAACGTATGTCATTGCTGAAGAGATTAAAAGTTCATAGTGGTTGTGTCAATTCTATATGTTGGAATAGTACTGGTAATATAATATTATCTGGTAGCGATGATCAGTACCTTGTGCTTACCGATGTTTATAATTATCGGGTATGTATGATATGAAATATGAACTATTTCTAAGCATCTGCTATTTGAAAGCAGTATATTTAGATAAACGAATTAAGGAAGTAGTAGTAGTAGAATATGATAAATTGTAATTTAGAGAATTTATTTTATTTCCCATATATTTCTAGACCTTGTTAATCAAACAGTGCCAAGATTATTTTTAACTTTATCCTTGAAAATGTTCAAACAGTAAGAATGTCATATTTAGATGCTAAAGTATATTGTAATAATTGTTACTTTTTCTTCTCATTAAATCGTACGAACAAAAAAAAAAAAGACATTTGGATATTATTTCTTTTTAAAGATATATTTTTGATAATTAATTTAATGAAGTCAAGGTCTAACTGAAGTCAAGGTATAGATAAAAATGCAATAGTCTTGCCAACTGAATGAACATTTCTCAATGTACTTTAATCAATGCTATTTTAGTCATGCATTGTCATAGATCTAGAATTGTTTAGCTAATATTAATTAACTTGTAATATTAATATTATTATTAAAATGTTCATTTATTAGTACGGTATAGATTTATTTCTTGATTTAATTAGTAAGACACGAATGATCATGTGATACTTCATTGAAAATGTAATACACTTTTTGTGCAGGTTTTAACTCAACATAGAACAAGTCACAGAGCTAATATATTCAGTGCCAAATTTTTGCCAAATAGCGGTGACCACCGTATAGTCTCATGTAGCGGCGATGGCATTATTTTATATACAGGTAAATGTTCAATTATAATAGAAAAATATAATTCATGTCAAGTGTGATGATATTAAAATGATTTTATATTATTTTGATCTTGATATCAGATTTAAGGAGACGAACAGAAACGTTTCATAATCAGTTTGCATGTCATACCGGTACTACTTATGAAGTAGCCACGATACCAGGTGAACCTCATAGTTTCTTAAGTTGCGGGGAAGATGGAACTGTGAGATGGTTTGATCTCAGAGTAAAGGAAAAATGTAATGTGGCAAGATGCAGAGAGGTACTATAATAATATATACAAAATGAAATAATTAACTATTTCTCTAATTGAAATTATATAAACATTTCTTATTGATTTTATTATAGGATGTATTAATTTCTTGCCAAAGAGCTGTAACTGCTTTATCCGTTAATCCTGTAATGCCTCATCAAATTGCAATTGGTTGTTCGGATAGTACCGTCAGAACATTTGACAGAAGAATGCTTGGAACACAGGCTACAGGTAATTTCAACATATTCTAATATATAAATTGTTACATAACGATATTATTAATATGCTTATCATATATTGTAGGCTGGACAGATAGCAGTGAATCTGTAAGACCACTATGCAGTTTTACAGTGCCAGATTTTGATGGGAATTCTTACAGAATAACATCCTTAAGTTACAGTCCAGATGGACAAGATGTTCTTGTTAGCTATAGTAGCGATCATTTATATTTATTTAGTATGAAGGTATTTATATATTTTATTAGCGTTTTATCAATACTTAATTGAAATCCAATTGTGAAATATCAAAGTTTGACATTATTACCGTGTTGTTTGCAGGATCAAAGTAACGTACATTTAAGAAAAGATGTACAAATGGGAAAAGTCATGGGTAAGAAACAACATCCATTGAGATCTCCTCAGCCTGTACGTCGATTGAGATTACGAGGAGATTGGTCAGATACAGGACCGGATGCACGTCCCGAACGAGAAGGTGGTCGACGTAGCGGAACAGGTATTATAATCTTATGATTTTGATTATTTACAAATGAATCCTTTAAAGAAGAAAATCTTATTGGTATCTTATATCTTTTTTTTGGAAGAAATTGCTCAAGCAAGACCAACTTTACATACTTCATTGATGCAAAGGATGACAAATGTCCTTAGCAGAATGTTGAATGATCCAGCGACGCGTGCTGCTTTAAGTGGTGGTGGAGAAGATAGTTTAGAACAAGAAAATAATCAACGTGGTAACGATAATAGCACTGCGCCTACCGCAGATCTACAACGAATAGAAACAGGAATAGAAACAGGAATAGAAACAGGAATAGAAACGGATAGTGATATACAAGCGCAAGAAAATATGTTGTCTCTCGACCAATCTGAAAGTGCAAGTAACGATGATCATCAAGTTTCAATTGATGCAGCAATACAAGGTTCATCTGTTTCAACGAATAACTTTGATACCGAAGAACCAATAAACAATGATTTAGATGATATTCAAGCTACAGAAACTCAAACTAATTTATTAGAATCATCAAATAATACTTCGAATAATTCGGCAGAAACTAGAAGCAGCGATGAAGAGTGTGATGAGACAGAAGGAGAAAGTAGCAATGCAGAGACAAGTTGTCATAACGATAAGAGAGAAGAAAATATGATGGAAAATCTTCAAGATAGATTAACGACTATGAGAGATGGATTTTTAGAAAGGTAATGTTATTGTTCATATTGTTCATCATAACATATTATATATAAAAAAAATCTTATATGCTATCTAATATATTATATATTATATACAGACATGGAAGTGAACCAGCTGTTAGTTTAACATATTCTGATAAAAGTTCGACTAGAGCTACTATATCGTTAGGTGTAGCGAATGAAGTTATTCGAGATAGTTATCACGCAGGTACTACGCAGCTTTTGTATATCTTTCTTATTTCTATTAGATTTATTCATTAAATTGTTATTATTTTTTAGGACCATCTGGAAGTCAGAGTAACGAACGTCTTGATCCAGGCCCAAGTAATAGTTATAAAAAACGTATGCTATATAGAAATACTCAAGAAAGTAAGTACGGGTGATGTTAGTTTTTACAGTCATTCAGAAAGTTTAATATTTGTCGTCGTTCCTTTCTTCTTCTAGAGAGTGATGACAGCGCTTATATTGATAGCGATGATGAGGATGTACCAACCCATCATAGGTAAGTCAAGAATAAATAGAATGATTATTATTATTATAAGTCATTAAAAAATGTTTTCACATTAGATTGGTACATCCAGTTGAAGCTGAAATGGATGAAGCTATTGCAAATGCTCGTACGTCACAAGGCGAGGAATCATTTGATGAGACATATTTAACAGAGCTTTGCGTTAAACAAAAATATACGGGCCATCGAAATGCCAGGTATGAATTATTTATTATTACTTTAAACATTAATGAGAATTTGGGACATGCACGTATAAATGATATCCAGCAAGCATATATTCATTGGATATAAGATTGAAATGAAAAGAATTGATTTGAATGTTATGTTTCAAATAATAGTCAATAAATTAGTAAAGAAATAGTAAAGAAGAAAAAGAAGAAATGCAGAGTGTTCAATCTATCATCTTGTGATCGTAAAATTAACAACAACAACAACAACAACAACACGTCTTTGTCGAAGATTTCCAAAAGTGATTAATGAGAAATCAAATAATTAGATCTATTTTAATAATTGTTAACAATTGTTATAAAAAACCAAACAAATCTTGATTGAAACCAAATCTAATTAACGAATTTGGACAACAATAACCATGGTCCCCTCTTACAATTCATGTTTAATTACATTGTTTATTGATTATTTCCTAAGATTGATCGGAAGCCAAATAATAGACGTATCATTTTCCGAAAAAGCCTCCGAGCGGACTGGGCTATGTCTCATAGGCCCATTAAAATTTCTGATCAGTTGTCCTTCCCTGGTTTGACTCTAGTTTCTTTAGGACCATGATCAAAGAAGCCAATTTCTGGGGAAACGACTTCGTCATGTCGGGTAGTGATTGTGGACATGTATTCGTATGGGAAAGAGATACTGCAAAATTATGCATGTTGCTCGAAGCCGATCAACATGTCGTTAATTGTCTCCAACCGCATCCTTATTTACCAATGTTGGCCACATCAGGAATTGATTATGATGTTAAATTGTGGGCACCTATCAACGAAGAGTGCACTTTTGACGACAAATTTGCCGAAGATGTGAGTTGTTTACAATTTTAATTAATACTCTAAAATCATTTATATTAATATTCTAATATATTATATTATATTATACATTCATTTTATTCTTATCATAATTTTTTTGTAGTTGAAAAAGAGAAATGCTGTTATGCTGGAAGAAACCAAAGATACAATTACAGTACCTGCCGTTTTTATGATCAGAATGTTGGCATGCTTGAATCAGATACGCAGAGGTATTCATAATTTATGACGGTATAGAGCAAGATTTTTTAATTAGGGACGGTCATCAATATGTTTTATTCATTTTTTTGGGTCCCATTTATTATAGCGTGTTTTAATGCATTCCAATTATTTCTTCAATTTGAGATTTTTCTTATTTCCTTATAAAATGATCGATTACATTTATGTATTGTAGAACCCTAATAATTGGCAGTTAACAAAATATAAAGATTGTAATACAAACAAATTGTATTCGATATGATGGTAAATTGTGCATTTCTAAATTTCTTAATATGATTTTCATTGTGTTGTAGAAAAAAAGTCAACGAAATTATATCCCTGTTTTAAAAATAAATAAATGTTTTAATTTGAAGAATTTTTGTTTGGATTAATTGTTGAAAAAGTTCTTTTTTCAACGGAGAACTATGGAATTAGAAAGACGATTGTTAGAAGAATTCATGTCTCTCAATAGAATTGCGATTATTTTATAGGTCGCGGTCGCAGCCGAAGGAGGAGCGGAGACGAGAATGACGAATTACGAGGTGGATAATACATTTTGCAAGATCTCTCTCACAAGTTTTAAGAAATGATCAATTCAAGCCTAAGGTAACGATCATGGTATCCATGTACATATAGAATATTTCTATTTTTCGGCCTTTTAGAATACTCCGTTTCGAATGAAAATAAATCGAATTGTGTAAATTTTAGTCTAGGCAATGAAATATTTTTCAAACTGTTTGCAAAGACAAATTCAACGAAATTAATAAAGATAAAGGAAACAAAATGGCAGACCAATTGAAATTGTTTAATATATAATCTGTAATATTCATTAATGCAAATTAAGAAGAATCATTTGAGGTCAACAAATTTGTGACTGTATATTCAAATGAATATTCTTACAATTAGATTATAATATTTAATATATTCGCTGGTTAACGTTTTAAATAATTTCTTAAGGGATGCTAATTAGTTTGGCTTTTATTACTGTATAATTGTGTTTTACTTTGCCTTTTAGTTTTAACGAAGCAAAGATGATAGCATTTACGATGACTAAAGGTGCAATGTGATCTGCTCTATTGGAAAGTAATTTAAAAGGAAAGAAACAATAAAAATAATTTCTTTTATGCTTGAGAAAATAACATAAGCGTAGAGTACATTTTTAGGCCGGTAATTGTAACAGTAGACTGAGTCAAAAATTCAATGAAATTAATGTTATATCTTATTTATGGTCAGGTCTGGATTAGAAAGATGATTAGAAAGATGATTTGTTTGAACCTAAGCGTTATGTATTTACCGCGAAATACAATAACCGTACAATAAGAAAATCAATCCTTTTATGTATATATATATAGATATAGATATATTTATATGTAGTCTATTTTTGTTTTCTAAAAATAAAAGAAGAAATGCAATGTAGGTAATCATGATTGTCCATTTAGTTTGTCCACTAGGACAAAACAAATAATCAGGTGTGCCTTAAAATTGGTCTTGGCTTCTTTTACAAACCAAAAATCACACACATAAAAAGGAAATAGAAGTTGCGCTTCCACCTTTTAATCGATAGCCTCACCTCTTAAAGGTGTCAAAGTAGTATTACAAGTGTATTCAAAATAACGAGCATTGTATACTTAATTATCAATCAAATGTATGTTTCGTAATATATCTATTCAATTGATTTTATAATAAACAAAAAAAGAATATATATATACATAAAAGAGTACAAGAATTTTTCTATACGCATGCACAACGAAACGAAGAAAGATATATATATATATATATATAAATAATGTGTATACGGTTTGTTTTTCTTTTTTTTTGTTTTTGTAATAAAAAAAAGTTTGGAAAAAGAATCATTTACCTTCTCGTTGTTTGCTTCAACGTTGTCCGATCTTCACTGATTTTTTAATTAACACTTTCGCTGCGAACAGCGCTTTTTGGCGCCGTGTATTTGATTTACGAATGTCTTGCGTACCATGTCGTCCGTACAAACAACCGCGCTAGCTCCTGAGAGAGCATTTCATTTTTATGCAGCGAAAGGGTTAATTCGAATTAATTTCCAATCGTAAAAAGATGAATTAATAAAAATAAAGAGTCGATAAAGTTTAGCAGTCAAGGAGGAATCGGTGCCCAGTACAAAAATGTCGGCAGTATTTTACGGAGATGTATTTCTTTCCTTTTTATTTCTTTGAACATTGGGGACAAAAGTTTTTTTTTTTTTGTTTTTTTTTTTTTTTTTTTCAAGTAATCAATCGCTTATCCGTTTACCGTAAATTCATAATATCTGTGTTAATAATGAATAGATTATATTAAATATACCGATGAGAGAAGATTGAATAATTAATTTTTAGTGTTAATCGCGTTTCCTCGAGATTATTATTTTAAAATACACATACGGTGCCTCGGATTCGTTCGATCCTTTTTTAAAGCTGACAATTTTTCTTTTTCTTTTCTATTTCATCCAACGTGTTATTTTTGTTCTCTTTCTCTCTCTCTCTCTCTCTCTCTCACATAAACATATACACCACATCATACATACGTCGTGTACACGTATACTCGCACGCATACATATTCATTATTTCTTATTCTCTCTCATCCATTTGTTCATTATTCACGTATTAGAATCTTGATCGAAGGAAGAGCTTTTTTTTCTTTTTTTGTTTTCTTTTCTATACTTCCAAATTTCTAATGAATATTTTGTCATGTTCCTCCTCGTACGCGTTGGAATTAAAGACACACGCACATACGTACACGCATACATACGCAGCAGGCAGACACACGATTTTAACATTCTCGCCTTTTTATTGGTATCACTTTCGAAAAAAACGTCGTCGCAAGTGAATTCGCAATTATTCATTATTTGACATAAACAATGACACACACGTACCTAATGATTGATTCACAATAATATAACCATGTAATGACGATGATAATAATAATATATAATAATAATTAGTTGTGATAATAGTAATAATAATAATAATAATAATAATAATAATAACAACAACAACAACAACAATAATAATAATTAATAATAATAATATTAATAATAGTTAATCATTCTATTAAGACAATCAATGAATCGGAGCACAGCTCGTTCGGCGCTATCAATTTTTAACGAGCCATTTTATTTTTTTCTGTTCAGCGGAATGATGTAAATAGAGAAAAAGAGTCTTCAGAAAAACTACTTATACGCATTACATGTATGTTACATGCAATATTTTCCCTTTTTCTTTTTCTCTTTTGTCATCGCAAAACAGAAATTGTGTTTTCTTTCTTTCATTCTTATTCTTTTTTTTATTTTTTTCCCCACAAAATTCACAAGAAACTACCTTAGCGAGCAAATATTTAATTTAATTGGCCAGCCAATCGTAAATGCACATAGAGAGAGAGAGAGAGAGAAAGAGAGATGGAAGGAAACTTTTATTTAAACAAACGCGAACACAAACTTGCACAAATATTATATGCAATATAAATACACTAACTACACTACAAGAAAAACAAAGGTTGTTTCTTTTCTCTATGGAAATTAACGTTGGAAAAAAAAAAAACCTTATAGAAAAGAAGTATAATGAAAAGTTTAAACAATAAAAAACGATTGTAGAGGTGCGAGAGAACAATGTAACCGACATTTTCTTTTTTTTCGTTTTCGCTCGCCAAGCCATTTTCTTTTTACATGTAATTAATTTCATTCACATATATATGTTTAATTGTGTAATAACACTTGCCATACATTCGATTTAAAACGCAATACACTTACACCAAAAACGTACTTTATATAATCGATCGTAATGAATTAGTTTGTCGTCGATAACTATTGAAAATCTAATGCAAGGTATCACGTACATACACGCATACACATACATACATACGCCACATATATTCATATCGCAATTTCGTATCGCGCGTGACGAGAAAAACATTGATACAGAACAAATAATGAATTTGCTTTCTCGCTATTTTAATTTCTTTTTTTTTTTTTTTATCTTTAGTCGAAATATATATAATATTTTACACATACATAATTCGTAGGTAGGTATCATCATCGTAGGGAACGTAACGATTGATATAAAACATCGAGGAAGCGCGGCCATTTTTAAAGAGAATTTCAACGAGACGTACGTGTGGATAAAATCATGTGTTCTTTTTTTTTTTTTCTTCTTTTTTTTTTTAAGAAGTTGTACACAATAAGAAGGTGTTATAAATTGATTAAATTTGTTAATTTGTTAATTTGTTAATTCGTTCGTTCATATGAATCGACAAAATTCGCGTTAACACGTTCGTCTCCCAGCCCGTTTCGATTGAGTTTTTCGTCAGGCCAAACAAAATTCGACTGTCGGCTCGCCTACGTAACGTAAAGAAGCGATAGGTAGAAATATCAACAATGCGACCCGAGTATTACATTTTATTTACCGAAAATAATTTTCTTTCGAAATAATAAATGTGTTAAAGTTTTTCCAACTAAAAATACTATAACTTCAATAAGAAGAGCGTCACCGTATACGGTGGTGACATGGCGACGACGAACGTGTTAAAGATAACAAAATATTGCAAAAGAATAGACCGAAAAACGATAGAAAAAAGATGATCGTTGATTCTATAGATCGATCATTATACACACATCACTCTTCCATACACACGCACACACGCACACACACACATGCACGCATACGTTTTTCTTTAATTTAAATTGATACGCGAAAATGAATCATATTTATGCATTCGGCCAATTGCGTTGGCATTGCGAGGGACAGGTGTATCCGAATTACTTACATACAAATACGAGTCAACGTTTAGTGACGATGAATAATAATCATACATATTGGAAGAAAAGGAAAAAGAACAATATTTATATAGTATATATATATATATATACTTATTTATATACATATGTGGCCGAAGTAAATAAAGAAATGGTCAAGAAAAAAGAAAATAAGTAAATGGAAAAAAAAAAACAAGATTTGAAAATACACGGAAAATACACGGAATGTGCGAGAGCCCTGTGATATAACTTCGACGAAATCATCCTATTTTTATTATATTTTATTTTATTTTATTTAGTTACTTTTTTCTTTTTTTTTTTCGTTATTTCATTTTTTTTTGCATCTTTTTTCTTTTTTGTCTTTTTTAAATACTTTCTAAGGTTAAGGATAATTATTGAAAAAGTCATCGAAATGTTTAGGATGATACGAAAAATGTTCTTGACAAGTGTCGAGAAATCTTCGAATCTAAAAAGAGCTAAATATTTGTCTTTCTTTCTCTCTTTCACTCTCCTTTCTTTCTTTCTCACTCTCTCTCTCTCTCACTCTCACTCTCACTCTCACTCTCTCTCTCTCTCTCTCTAATTATTCTTACTTGTTCTCCGGGTAAATACTTCGATCGTTAAGTATTTATTAAAATACGATTAAAGTTTCGAACAAAAGGTTCGCGCAGCTTTTTTTCTTTTATTTTTGTTCTTTCTCCTATATATGTATTTTTCTAATCTGAAAAATTCCTCGTCGTCGTCGTCGTCGTCGTCGTCGTCGTCGTAATAATCGTCTTGTGGAAGTTACGAAATAATAAAATAATCTTTTGCTAAATTTCCACGAGCCTTCCTCCGGGAAGCGGATTCATTAAAGATAATAACGCTTGAAGAAAACAGTTATGAGAATCGAAATGAGTGAAATTTTTCAACTGTTACGAATGGATATAGAACAACAACAATTCTCGTTCATATCGTTATCGATTTTGGTTTTGGTTTTGGTTTCGGTTACGGTTTCGGTTTCGGTTTTCTCTCATTATATTCCATTCCATATTAGTATTACAAGTGTTATTATTGATACAGAAAAAGTACCATTAATTATATATATATATATATATCCTTTTGAAAATATTATTCTAATGTAAAAACCGATATGAGCGAAAATGATTATACCGATAACAATTAAAGAATTGTTCTTATTCGTTCCTCATAATTGTTTTTTTATTCATAAACTGATATATAATATAACAGTAAGAAAAAACAGTTAGTTACTTTCAAAAACCGTTAGAATCCCTGGTTTATTAAACTTAACACGCCATTGTTTCAACTTTTCATCAACATTTTTCATTATTTAATTTGTTGTTTTAACAAAAAAAAGAAAAAATAAAAAAATAAAAAATGTAAATAAAGAAGTAAAGAAACGCGGATATATGGTGGTAGGTACGTGCACTATCAAAATTCCGTGCGTGTGTTGTGCATCAAGAGAAGTTTCATTTCGAATGAAATATAATATCGAAAAAACGGAGATATATTTGAAAAAGCTTATAGATTTCGTCTAAAATACATTCGCGTTTAAGGATTTGTAATTTGATAAATGTGTCATTTGTATTTGCGTATGTGTGTGTATGTATGTACGTTTTTGTGTATAGAAGTGTTTTTTTTTTTTTTAATAAAGAACATCCTTAGTAACGATTATTTGTTGTTTAATTATGAAACTGCCCGTACTGTCGTCTGGTTAAGACGAAAAAAATAGGTAAAAAATAAAAACAAAAATTAACAACAATCAACAATAAAAAAAGCGAAAAATTGTCGTCATCGTAGCTTTGATTATATCCTACGTAATTTGCTTTTTTTTCAAATGACTAAAACTCGATTAGTATTATTAATAATAATAATAATAATAATAATAATAATAGTAGTGATTCTTCATTTCTTTAGTCATCTTCTTCTTTTGCTTTGCGGTAGTGGTACATAGTTTAATCTTAGTAATTGTTAACGTTAATGATAATCGTATATAATAACAATAATAATAATAATAATAATAATAAAACAATAAATCGTTTTTTATACAACAATCACACGTAGAAGCGACGAATTAGAGTAGTAGAAATAACTATCCTTTAATTATATTATTTAATTTAATTTAAATTTAAATTTAATTTAATTTAATTTAATTTAATTTAATTTAATTTAATTTAATTTAAGGTTTATATTTATATTTATATTTATATTTATATTTATACTTGTATATATACATATATATGTATATATAAATGTATATATACATACATAGTATTTGCAATATATTAAATGGTATTTGCATCTGTATCAATATATATAGGTACATACGCATAGGTACGTGCGCGCGCGTGCCACTGTACATGAATGCGCATACGCACGCTTATAATAATAAACCTTTCTCCCGATAAGATTTCATTGATCTCTCTTTCTAAAGCAAACGTTAATCGGATTTCTATGCGATTAGCTTGTCAAATCAAAAATCTAACAATTCTAAATTATTTGTCAACTCTCTATCTAATGTTCTTAATAGCAGTAAGAGCGGTTGGTAGTTAGTGTTAGTTTACTTGCACGTAATAAAGGAAAATAGATAAATGAATAAAATGATCATTTTTGTCAATACGAGATATGCTCCGTGTAAATTATCCTTTTTTTTTTTAATGACACGCTGCGTACGTACACGCTCACATTCGAATACATACACACGCGCGCATGCTTTCATATATATTTATATATGTATGTATACATATGTACATATAATATATGTATTTATGTATATATACACATATACATTTACGTCTATGTCCTCTTAGAACATATATTTGATCATCGTTATTATAAATCAACTTGCGAGTCGATGATCGGAGTCAATCTCATCTCGTAGAACGAATATATTTATTATTATATGATTTATAAAAATGGCTTTCTTTTCTTATTCTTCTGCGTGATAATTATTTTATTATTACGGAATTAACGAGGGAGAGGGCAAAAAGTAGTTCGCATTTTTCGTAACACGAATATATATATATATATGTACGGTATGACAAGTTTCACAGAACTTTTTGGAACTCTTACTGTTTTTTTTTATTTTATTTTTTTTTTTTTTTAAATAGTCGATGCTAGTGTTAGCTGTTTTTATTTTTTATCAATCATCACCATCATCATCTTGTTATTTTTCTGTCAATTGAAATTCTCTTTTCCTTTCCCCAAGCCGTTTTATTTCTTTTCATTTGCAATTGTAAGTCTTAATAAAACGTTGTGATTCTAATTAATCATCCGTTGGAATAATTTCGAAAAAATCCTCTGCATAATATATACATGCATACATACACACGTACATATATATATATGTATATTCTTTGCGCACATCGAAAAATCCGTATAATTTAAATGTATGTATGTGTGTGCGCGCGTGTATGTGTTTTTTTTTTTTTATAACAAGATGGCAAAAAAATTCTGTATTTTTTTTTTTTTGTAATTTTCCTCCTAGTTTTTTTTTTAATTTCGTAGATGGTGAAAATTTTTTCTTCTATACGCATAAGTTGAATATAATATATATATGTGTACACGTATATATATATATATACATTGATTTACTTTCTTCCTATATATGTATATGCACACATATCTATATATATATATATACGTGTATTTTTAATAGAAGATGTACGAACGTGTAGAAAGATTCATTCATATTTAATGAAATTTTAATTGGACAAAAATCTTATCTTTTTTTTTTCTTTTTCATTATCATCATCATCACCATCATCATCACCATCATCATCATCGTCATTATTTTTTTTCTTTTATTATTATTATTTAATATTATTATTCTTCTTTTCTTTTTTTTTTTTTAAATCTCGCGATCCATCAATTTTTGAACTACATTTTCATTTTCTTACTTTTTTTTGCATTTTCATTCACCCTCGTACCCCTTCTCTACTTTTTTTCTTCTCTTTTATTTATTTTATTTTATTTTATTCTGCGCTGCGACTTTTGTTCATCATCATCATCATCATCATTGCACGTGTAAGTTATTTAACACTAATAATTAATGTAAAGAGAGAGACACACGACAGTGAGCGTGAATGAAAATCATTGTGTCATTTTACACGATTTCCATTTTTTTTATTCCTTTTTCTTTCTATTTATCTGATATATATATATATCTCTTCGTGGCTATCTATTTACCTAGCTTCCGATAAAAATGCAAATACATATATGTATGTTTGCCTTAATTCTTCTTAACTTTATTTTTCTTATATTTTCCTCCCTTTTCATTTCATTCCATTTCATTTCATTTCATTTCATTTCATTTCATTTCATTTCGCTTCATTTCGTTTCATACAATCTGCGTGCATTCGCGAATCGAGAAAGCAATTGACAGAAATGAAAAATGAAATCATCCAATTACGAGATGTTGTATTCATGAATATTTTGGCAGAGTTATCAACTTTTCTCGTACATTGTTTTCGTTTTTTTTTTTTTTTTAATTTTTAAAACACATTAATGGTCGTCAAGTGCTTTCTCGTTTTGGTAAAATAACAATATTATCGAGAGAGAGAAAGAGAGAGAGAGAGAGAAAGAGAGAGAAAGAGAGAGAAAAAGGGAGAGATAGAGAGAAAGAGAGAGAGAGAGAGAGAGAGAGAGAAAATAGAAATTTTTCAATATTTCATTTAACTCGTGCCCTCCATACAGAAACGAATTTGTTTCATTTGAAAAAAGAAAACAATTCAATTTATCTTCGTATATTTGTAAACGTCATTAAACGAGTAATTCTAAGGAAGACCATTTCGTATTTTTATATCATCCGGTTATATCGAATTCATCGGACATTAATTTGATCTTCTTCGTGGACAAAAAAAAAATAAAGTAAAAGAAGAAGTACTCCTCGTATTATCGCAATATTTTTTTCCAAAAAAAATGTTAGTAAGAACAATTCGTTTTCGACGTGTTTGACACGAAGATAAATCCAAATTTTATTTTCGCGTAGAAGGGAAGGCACGCGTTAGTTATATTTACGTGATTTTAAAAGACGATAGGAAAAAGAAGTAAGTAAGTAAGTAAGTAAGTAAGTAAGTAAGTAAGTAAGTAAGTAAAAGTTTAGAGTCGACGTGGCAGAAATGCACTGTACAATGGCTAACAACTAAATACAAGAGTACTCCAAACACGGCTACGTGAATTCCCCTGCCGCAAAAGGTCTCTCTGTTTTTCTAACTTTTATTTGTAGTTTTCTTTAAATCTGTCTTTCTTTCTTTTTTTTTTCATTTCTCATTCTATTTCGTTTGTACGTACGTACGTACGTACGTACGTTTATTCAGAGGACTGCGAGGCACGTGACAGAAATGCACGCGGAATTCTTTACAATAAATAAGACTTTTCTCCTTCTTCTTCTGCTTCTTCTTCTTTTTCTTTTTCTTTTTCTTTTTCTTCTTCGTATATTATTTGTTTGTTTGCTTGTTTGCTTGCTAGCTTAACGTGGTTTCTTTTTTGTCGCGCTTAGTAGTACTATCTGACCAACTCTCGCGAATTAACTTATATTCTCTTGATCATTATTTTATTTCTTTGCATTTCTTTTTCAAAAACTTCGCGTTAGTGTTCATAAACAACACTTTTTGCATTTATTTCATATTCTTTCTCTCTCTTTCTTTTTTTTATTTTATTATTAATATATTTATATATATATGTATATAGTTTGTGCATATACACATATGTATATATATTTTTCTCTTTCTATATATATATATATATATATTAATATATGCGAGCGCGCGGGTGTATAATAATTTTTCGTCGTGGTTCCTTTTTCATTCGGATGATAGAACGTTGCTTATGTTGTGTTGATATTTTTGACGAAGAGCAACATCTCCGGAGTAGTACGGAGCTAACGTAATATTCAGGTTTATTTGTGACTGAATGAGAAGGACGTTGGCCCCGTGACTGCGCTCCGATGGAAATGCACGTTTTGCCACTTGTTATCCCTCTTGTGCCAGACACGGCTCTCTTCGCTTTGGTGTGTGTGTGCTACACCTTGCCTAAAGACATACCACGTATAATCAGTCATTATTTATTTGACCCTATCATATTTCTTAATTTACTTACTTGTCCATATATTGTGTGAGCCTGACGTAGGCAATACACGCAGCATCCTCGCCGAGCAAGTGCACGTGTGGATTCAGGATCGTCGTGTTGACGGCCTTGCAGTTTTTGCCGAGGACCGCTTCGTTGTTGTTTAAAATGAAACTTTGATTATTCGCGTACCATTTCATCGATCGAATACAAGTGCGTCGTATACTATGCATTTTCGTACATAAACGTTGAACAAAGTAGAAGAAAAAAAAAAAACAAAGACATTTAATCAATTGAAATTGTAAGTAGTCAAATTAGATTGAACACGAATATATCGAATAAATGCATATTTATTTTCATTCAACTATGAAAATAAATGTTAATGAAAATATATGTATTTATCGTGACCGTACTCTCAGATGACGTGTTCGTCATGCATAATTTGAAAAAAGATAAAGTAGTGCAATAACAAGCCGCGTAGTTCAAAGTAAATACGTAATGAATGGATGATTTTCCAGATAGACACATGCGCACGTGACGGTGGTTTCGTCAAAGGAATAAAGAGAACAAGGATTTTTATTGAAAAAAAAAAAAAAAAAAAAAACTGAGCGTACAATCCGGCAATCGTGCTCTAGTTGCGTAAAACGTGCACTATGGTTAGGGTAAAAACGAAAGGTCCTTCTCGCGAATGGAAAGTAAAGTTTAAACGTAATTAGAATAATAGGTGCTACCATCATCATCATCATCATCATCATCATCAACGAACGCACCGCCAGGAATTTGAGTATTAGGGTTTAGTAGTAGTAGTAGTAGGGCATAGTAGTGGCGAATGGAAGCGGATACGCAAATCAGTCGTAATTACCATTATCAAAGTAAAATTTGTGGAAATCCATTCCCTCGACTAAATTACCTAGAGCCTCTGGCTCAAATGCGGTCAAGTGTGGATCGCAGATTTTCCTATAACACCGTAAAACAAATCCTTTGATTCTCCTTTAACGTAATATTATTTCAATCGATTTATTTGATGCACTCACGTGTAAGCCTCGAAGTCACCGGTACTGATACTCTCGATCAATTGTTCCGTCATTTTGATGATCTCTTGACGACGTGCTGGAATCGTTAATGAATAATTATATAAGATTGGGAACCGTCATTGTCGATTACACGCACGAGCTGCCCCAATCCGGGCAATTATTACCGACACATTTTTACGTTACAACAGTCAACATGCAAGAACCTTTATTATCAACGTCTACGTCCTACGTCTGAGGCTTCTGCGCCTTTCTACGGTGTTTCACAACAACAATTTCAATTATTTTCTGCTTTTTTTTTTTTTTTTTTTTTTTTTTAATACTAATATCGGTCGTCTTTTTAAATTCCTTTTATTATATTTTTCCCGATGTTATATCCCACAGCATAGTACTCGTAGTATGCATGTTCAATTGTACAATCGTTGAATGATTGGACACAAAAAAAAAACAATGAAATAAACAATAAAATAAAATAAAATAAAATAAATGAGAAAATTTGTCGTGCGAAGAAAAAGTCTCGTGTCATTCTCTTTCCTGCTTCCCCATGTTTTTTGATCACATTCTACCATCCCCCATATCCCAATCTTCGTGATGTTTCAAATCAAATTGATTTTCAGGTGAATTTCGATTCATCCAAAGGATGCGTTCGCATGCTTTTCAACATTTTCTTATTCTTTGGTCAAATATGTATAAAGATAACACGAGTAAATAATAAATGGGTGAGAGAGAAATTTGTAAAACAATTTGTCTACATTGCGGCGTCTGACTTGTTCGAAGAAAGATATTTTGTTGTCGTTATTGCCACGACCACCACTACCAGCCTAATTTGTACACTACTGCGTCTACTTATTGTTCTTATCGTCAGTCAATTAAGTCACTGTTTTTTTTTTTTTTTTTTTTACACTATACTACGTACCAACATTTTCTCTTCTTTAATTAAAAACTGATCGTTGCCCGATTCCGAGCAACCTTTTTCCTTCCCAACAATTTCTCTTTTTGTTTTTCTTTTCACACAAATTCATATTTTGTTGTCTCGCTAACAAATTTGCTCAACTTTTGCTCGGACTCGAGATAGTCGTAAGAACATAACGAACAGACTATCTAAAATTCTAATGAATCAATACTTTGATGAACATATATCCGAGAACAAACGAACGTTGAGTTATTTCGAGGAAAATAAACAAATTGTTAATAAATAAATCAATTTACAATGCGCATATGCAAATGATCGATATCGATCATTTGTCATTCATTAGCAACAATTGATACGTTTGTTCTCGGTGAAATGTACATATGTACATTTCATGGAAATTATGAAGGAAATAAATATCGACAATTCGATCGGGCATTGATGCAGCATTGTGATGAATCGACGTGCACAGCAAAGAGGTTATCGCGTCAACGCAATCAACGGCGCATAAGTTATACTTTTTACACCTTTACGAGGAGCTCTACTCATTTTTCTTTTTCTAAATGCAACATTTCTTGATATACAACGTTTATGCTTATGCATTCCGTAAATTCGTTTGCCATAACCTCGACCACGTGTTTGGTCTTCCATATTGCAAGATGAGTACGCTTTCGATTAAAAAAAAAGAAAAAGAAAAAAAATTCTAACAAGAGGAGAGAACGTACACGAAATACGATAATTATTAGGCGTACAAATGAAATCAATAAAAAATCATCATGGATTTATGCAATACCGTGCACGTTCTCGCCGATGAATTGTTCATTTTTTTTTTTTTTTTCGATATAGATATTATCTTATTCTCGTTGAAATTGCCGACGTGAATGTTTGTAGGCTGAACGAACTTACGACGGAATATACAAACTTTACCTGAGCACTGGGAGTTCGTCGAAAGCTGGCTGCAGGTCTTGATAGGACACACGATTCTTATGTCTACAAGCAATATGTTATACACCCCGTTCGTTTATTAAAACTGACGTGGTATGGAGATTCTTAAAAGAGGCATAAAAAAGAAGCATTTTTACGTAGGCGCCCAAGAGGATTAAGCTATGCGAATCGTTCTATCCTTCTATCCGACATACAAGGTATCCTGATTTCTCGAGTAGGACGAAAATACCCATTTACCATGTACGGCACATATATGTACAAGCTACAATTTAGTAATCATATTTGTATTTCATATTTAATCATAACACATCGCCGAACTTAATCCTCGCGAGAGTGATAATCGTTTAAGAGGATCAACCGTCTCCTTTTTCTCTCTCTCTCTCTCTTTTTTTTCATCCCCTTCCACCCCAACCCCTCGTAAAATTCTTTCAATTTTATGAGAAATCAAATTTTTCTTCGGACATTGGAATAATAAATCGATGCTACGTATTTGCTACGTATTTGCTACGTATTTGCTACGTATTTGCTACGTTTGAATAGCGGTTGTAGCACGAATGTAGCACTACGACTAATCTAACATACCACCATATAGAGCTTTATACAAACAAGCACGGAGTTTAAAAAGTAAATTATAGTTTGAAATTATTTTTGCGTTGGTTTGTTTTTTTTTTTTTTTTTTGAAATAATACCTATGCGTGTATATACCCTATATGCATTTATTAAAGACGTTGTATGTTTTTATTTATGCATACCTACACAGAGAACACATGTATATACGTGTAGCCTTCAACGTAGAGAGCTCCGGAAATAATATTTTCTATGGGACGTTCACACGCTTCAAGCGATGATCAACCTTCTACGTATCCTACGCGCTTATATTATTTTCAATAATAATAAGAAGAAGAATATACCGAGACAAAGAAATAACTCTATTAATATGTATATATATAATATATATATATGAGAACATATGTTAATTTTTTAAATGACCGTTATTTCATATATTAACCGAACATATATATCTATACGTTTACATGTATACTGTTTATTTTGAAATTGAACGCACCCTCTCCGTACTCGTACCTTGTGCAGTATGCACGCACACACTGGCTTGCGTTTACGTCATCGTCGATAAAAAGAACGACGGAAGTAACTGTATCTTACTGAGTGTATTATTTATTTTCATTAGCTCGTCTACTATAACCGAAATTTGTACTATTTTCCTTTTGTTTTTTTTTTTCTTCTTATTTATACATATAGAGAGAAAAGAAGAATTGTCATAGTAAATTGGACGAAGTTTTGCGTTGATTAGATTAAGGATACTTTTTGTGCAAGTAATATGTACGAGTTTGTACGGATCAGAGTGTACGTATGTGAGTCGGTTATCCTTCAAACTGTTGGTCTAATCTGATATCCAAAATTGCGACGATCTAGCCAAGAAAAAAAAAAGCTAAAAAAAAAAAAAATATAAAAATGAGAGAACATCGCGTTTGATTTCGATCACAACAAGCTACACCGTTTAAAGCACGGCTTCTCCTGTTTTCCACTGGCTTTTTTATAATCCTCTGGAATATTAGGACTCTCCTCGATGATTTTCTTCTTACCGTCGTCGCGTTCGCCGTTGCAATTGGTTGAAGGATGAGCTGGGTTATCAAAGACTGCCGCACGCCGAACTTCTCGTTCTGATTCGTTGAGATGAAGATGGCACGTAATACACGACACACACACAGACAGAGAGAGCGAGAGCATGCAGAGAAAAAATATACAGACTCACGTATAATTACGAAGGGTTCCGTGTCAGGGACCAAGATGGGTCAAGGATTTACTTGGAATTGGAGAGGAGTTATTTGTTGGGTGGGTTTGTGCTTGTGGTTTTGTACTACAGACCGGTGGCCGAAGAGTCGTGGCGTCGCGAGGGCGGCGGCACGTTGCTGGGGTTGCTGAGGTAAACCGTGGCCGCTGAGGAGGGCGACGCCCCTGTTTGACTGTTTTGGCTGTTGTTGCTCGAACTGCTCGAACCACTGCCCACGCTTCCTGTGCTGCCAGCTAGTCATGCAACCAATCCAACCAAAAAACAAAAGAAAATACGAGCTAGTTTCAGCCATCATCCAAAAGCGAGATAACCAACGAAAGTAACACAAATGGGGGAGGGGAAATACGCGTATTACGGTATCCATGTATACCGTCGTACAGGCCATTCCCAAATTTGCGAATATACATAACTTCTTATCTCGCGTTGCTGCGATTTGGTACGTAGCTGCGGATGGTAGTAATTCTACCAACTTTTTTTTCTTATTTTATGCTCACATATTTTGAGAATACCTCTGTACGTTTATACGTATACGAAAGAGAAAAGAGAGAAAACGATATTTCAAGTTTTCTATTTATTTGCGACCTGTTATAATTACTGATCAAATGTTAAATAGAATTCGTTGGTATTTTTGATTTTTCTTTCTTCTCATCTTTCTATACTTATCGCGTATTCGAGAGAAGGAAAAAAAACATAAACAAAATTGGGGAATTAAAAAATGTAGTGTGAAGACGGTACGACAACACGTTGGTCCAAATGTTAAAAAAGCAAAATACAATAATATCGATGGATTTGAGATAGATATTAATTATTCTTACAATTAATTGCCATATCAATTAGACAATTGACGAAAGCGGACAGTACCGAGGATCGAGAATTTGCGGATATTGCAATGCAATGCAATATATGACATCGTGATAAGGATAGTGCTCGAGTGGTTCGCCAAAGGACGATATCATATCTACGGTGCTTAGAAACATATGGGTGTGTGTGTGTGTGTGTGTTTTAGTGTGTACGAGGGTATTTCTGAGAGATTTCAAAGCTTGGACTCGGTGGTACGAAAACGAATAACGATGATCGCGTGCGTGGGGATGACTAGATGATTAGATAATTAGTAGAATAACGAAAGGTTCAATAATCTACTTACTTTTTTATAATCCTGTAGCTCGGAAATTCTCAAGGCGATGTGATTCGATGATATTTGTCTTATGACAATTAATGAGTAATGATTTAAATCTGATCTAAAGGAATGATGAATATGACGATTATAATCAAAGAACGTGGTGGATTGGCGTTTGCTTGTGCGTGAAAAAGAAAAAACCAAGTCATGCTTCGATTCTAAGGGAATGTGCTTTTTTTACAAAATCTATACACGCAGCCATCTTCTTACCATCGATGTTCTCTCTACGTTGTCCAGAAAAGTTGGATTGAAGAGGAATGCGATCGCCACTTTGCAAGTTACGTTCATCTTTAATCCTACAATCATTCTAAAACGTAACGTCACGTTTTTTTTCTTCTTTTTGTCGAGCGCAACGTTTCAATATGTATTTTCAAACTGCAAAAGTTATTTTTTCGTCGCTTCATATAATTCTTATAAAACGCGTTCTTAGTATCCTAAGCTATCTACGTTCGCTAGATCTAATGTTCTATTATGATCTCTAGTCTCGTGCGATATGATCAGGAATAGTCCTAAAATAAAGTAGGTTTGCATAATAGAAGCTAAATTAAGTAATCGGAGGGGATCATTTTCCTTATCATATAAATAAGTATTTTGTATAGGGGGCTTGTTGTTTCGTTTTTAGATTGAAGAGGCCAAATCTCTTTTGGAATAATGCACTCAAGGTCTCACGCATTTACCTTGCGCTCCTTGAAGGAGTACAGCGGCTAATCCAAGCGGACTGGCCGTGGGCTGCACTTGAGCATGACCCGTTGTCGGTTGACTCTGATTTACAATTTGTGCCGTTTGCGCTTGGCCCTGATTGGTAGTAGGTTGTTTGCTGACGCTATCTATCAAGGAGAAAAGTGCTCCTCCTGGATTGCTCGGTGTTACACCACCGCTGGAACTCGATCCTTCGTTTGGAAGAGATCAAAAATAATATCTTTCAACAATTTCAGGATAGTTTTTGATTGAAAGAAGAACGTGCCAAAGCTAGGAATAGAATTTGGACTGTCAACGATTGAAGTCCTTTCATCGATCTGGCGCGTCTCATGACCGCGTTTCGATCGCTATGTTGCTTGGGGCTTCTTGGGGCTTGGGGCGGGGTAAGAGGACAGGATGCTGCAAAACATTGCAACCGATAACGACGTTCGGTTAGTCAATAATCACGCCATTCATTTGTTTGTGTGTTAGACGTCAAACGAGCAAAGAAAATTGCAAAAATTAACTGGACGCCGAGACATTTTGTCGAAGCTTACGACCTTGTTCCTGAAATAGATCGTAAATTGGGTATCCGTCTACCTGGCGTACTGCGAGGAGTAGTTTGTTCGCTTCGAGAAACTAAGTTTCATTAAAACTCTTTTTGGATAATTTTCTAATGGGTCGAAAGTTCCTCTCAAATTTTCTTCCTCGAAAGGAAAGTAGGAGGAAAGTCCTCTTAAAGCGTACGATTCGATCACGGATGTGACATTTCTTTTATTTTTCTTCGAAAAAGAATAAATAACTTTTCTGCCATCGCGCACATATGTACCAACGTATGTACCAGCGTATGTACCAGCGTATGTACCAACGTATGTAGTATGTATTATATATACAATGGACTTAGGTATTAAGGTACTCTCCAACAAATTGAAACGTCACTCGAAGTAAACAGAAGATTCGAACGAAAGTAGAGAACTACGCGACATTGCGAGCTAGTCAAAGATTTGTCAAAACTATCGATCGATCGATCGATCGATCATCCCTCTTAGCTCCTGGATTGAAAGATTCAAGAAGAAAAGCACCCACCATGATTGTAGTTATTATTGTTGTTGTTGTTGTTGTTTGATTGCACTTTCGACGAGCTTGCGGTAGCACCGATCGTCGACATTTTCGATTATCTTCCTCGAAGGTACATCTCGAAAAAGAACTCGATTTAAGAACTGACTAGAAAAGCATTCGCGATTAATTCGTCTATTATTATTCTTATTATTATTATATTAACCAATGATGTGAAAGGTAGCACGCGTACTTTTTCAAATTATTAAGGTATAAGTTAATATGCGAGTTGAATGCAAGTTACTCCATCGAACGAACTCTGCGGACTACTTCGAATCTATTTTGAAGATCTAATGCCAAGAGGACGAGACAGGTCTGTCCATTGATGCGATGCGGACCCCGTGCATTAGCAACATTTACCATTTTACCATTATTTCCCTAAGTGGATAATCTTAATCTAGTCTTTCAATCATTTTCTATCATTTTCTTCGAGATTTTGTTCGTTTAATTACAGATTCGAGTGTTCGTTAGTTTTTGCACGAAAAGAGACACACGACACATACATCGATATTTATTTCAAAGTTTATCGTGCAATAAAGTAAAAAAAAAAAAAAACAAAGACAAAATCGCGAGCATGAACGATTAGTTCGCTTTCTTGGAGGGAGCTTGTAAGAGAAAAATAGAGAGATGGAACTAAAACAAATTAAAGAGAAAAAGAGAGAGAGAGAGAGGGGGGGTGTAGAGGTGGTTGGGGTGGGGTTTGGAAAGACGGCCGATCCACCGTACGATTCTGCGGATAAGCTGGAACAAACAGGGCGCAACAAAAAGCTCGATTTCGAAGCTCGACAAGAACTTTGTCTATATACCTATATATACATACATATATATGCGTATTCATATACGTATATAGATATAGATATAAATATAGGGGGAAAAAAAATATTATAGTAGAGGAAAAAAATAACATTCGGCTCGGAAACGGACAAATTTTTGTTCGATATCAACGACCCTCGTCATCCCTTCGAACGAAAGTTACTTTTTTTCCGATCATTTTCTTTTTTTTTTTTTGACAAATGAGTAAGAGAGAGAGAGAGAGGGATGGATATCGAAATACGCGAAACATGTCTGTAAAAATGAATTTTTTCACTGGCACGCTGAAACACTTTTATTATATTAATATTATTTCTGTTTTTTTTCTTTACCCCTATGCATACCACGCATATGCATATATTATTACATAATAGTATAAAATGTATATGTGCGATATTGAGGTGCGATTTTTGTTGTTTAGTGTGCCAACGTGCCAAAAAGAAAGAAAGTAAGAATGGGAAAAACAATAATTGTAATCGTGGTTTGATTATTTACACGCGTGTACGCGACGATATCACTCAAGGATAACACGCATGTGTTACACACGTAGATAATTATTTTTTATATGAAATATATGTATACATATAAATTCGTTTCGAAGATGATTCATTTCATTATGTCCAATTATTTTCGACAAAAAAATTCTAAACTAAACTAAAAACTAGCGTCGGATGAAAAATGAACAAATATTTTCGTTAATACGCATTCGAGAATATGCGCATTTGAAATGTACAACGAATAACAATATGTATACACATATGTATAATTTGTTTGTTCGTTTGGTTAATTAATGTTTTTTTTTTCTGTTTAATTATGTTACCTTCGGGTTCTTTGGCAATGACCGTGCTGCTCCGGTCGACGCCGCCCTTCTTATCCTCTGTACAACATACACACATACATACATCACCTAAATACGAATATGTGATAAGATACAATTACCTAACGCATGTTTCTTTTTTTTTTTTTTTAAACATATTTTTGCTTTCTTTTTTCTCCCCTTTCTTTCATACCTTATTTTTTAATATATCATTTGACACTATATATATATAGATAGATACATATGTACACGTATAATTACATACATGTATTTATTTTCTATGTATATAATAATTATATTACAGATTTTCCTTTTTATTCGGTTGCAACCTGCAATTTCGTTCGTTTCTAATCGTTTTCTAATAGAAAATCTTAAATGAATTTGATCATTTTGATAATGAATTTTTGTCCAAAGAGACCAATCAATCGATCATCATGCTTTTAGCGACACCGATAACAAATGATAACAAATAAATATATGTATACTAGGCCGAGGAACAAGAGTCGTTCTATTTCATTGGAATAGAATTTTTATATCTTGGATTTTTTTTTTTTATTTTTTCTCTAATAAATATGTCAGACAAAAATGCATTGAAAAAATAAACACAGTTTATGCTAATGTTCGTACGTATGTAAAATATTTACAAAGCGAACATTTAAACACAGCTTCAGAATTTTTCTTCCAATTATTTCTTTTTCTTTTTTTTTTTCTTCTTTTTTTTCTTCTTTTTTTCAATATATCATAAAATCAATGTTTCATAAATTTTGATTTGACATTAGTTCACTGTCACAATTATCAACATAAATATATATTTGTGTATTGATTTGATCGTTGCCAAAAAGTTATGGGCTTTGATGCGAAAAAAGGAGATTATAGTAATTGATGGACCAATTGGAAGAGACGATTTCAGATTTATTATATGAATAGAAAATCATAAAATATAGATGTGTATATATATATAGAAAAAAAAAAAAAAAAAAAAAAAACTAGAAAAAGGTAAAATAAAAATGAAAAATCACACGGGAGATAAGTGCTGGAATTGGTGCAGCGCACTTTTAGCGATCGTGCGGATCTTTCTCGATGCGTCATGAATAGATCATGACTCGAGCAGTGATGATAAAAAAAAAAAAAAGTAACTGGGGGAGAGAGGGCGAGGTGAGGGGTTGAAGAAGAAAAAAAAAACGTGCAAGACTTTTCTCATTCCTAAATTCAAAATTTGCGATTATCAATGATAAGGAAAAAAAAGGGCGAACTCGAACCACGTGTCAATGAATAAAGAACGAATAAACTCGATTATATATTTTGTTCTTTTAATAATATTATTCTCAAGAAAATTCAACGGAATATTAGTTTATCGTAGTAGAATTGATTATAAAAATTCGTTCCTTATTGATTACTAGTGAAAATAATTAATAATAATAATAATAATAATAATAATTTTCAACTTCCAATCGGTACCAAACGTATACAGAGATACATTTACATACATGTGTGTGTGTGTGTGTGTATATACATACGCATTGACAAGTTTTTTTCTAACGTACAACAAAAGATAATAGTTATTCACAATGCAGAAGATTTCTGAATGGCCGTTTAAATCATTGGCAAGTAAAGTAAGTTTATAAGCATCAATGTGTATGTATATTTGCGTTAGCCATTTGTAACACTTATATACATATATATGTAAATGCAATACATAAAAGGTATAGTAAATACATAGGCATGGCTCATTGGCAAGATGTATAATAACTAATAACCATAGTAGTACAAGGCATATCCTTTCGACATGGACAATTTAAAAGTAGACGTGCAAGAACCGAACAAAGCATCATGCAACGTATCAAACGGGGACGATTGAAAGCGCAACACCAGCTCGAGATAAATGTGGTGATACGATTTACGCAAACGGAAACAAAAATAACACGCCTAGTAACCAAATAAATATTATGTATATTTTTTTTTTTTTTTTTTATAATAAAATTCATAGAAAAAGATTTGAAAAGAAATGCAGTCAAGAGGAGAGATATACGGATTTGGTTGTTGTTGTTGTTGTTGAATCGATCATTCCGTGTGATTGGTGCCAGGTTTTCATAAATCCATAACACCGAATTGAAAATCGAATATGTAATAAAAACGTAGGCAAATATAATGCGAGAGAGAGAAATAGATAGAAAGTGAATGGGCGTCAAATAGAATCGTGTATGATGTGTAAATTGATGCTAGGAATAGAACGAGAAATAGGAATTATTTTGTTATTATTCAAATATAGTAAGAAAAAGTGTGAAATTCTTAAGGAATTTAACGTCATTGTTTTGTGCAATGACTAACAAGTGCAACGATCAAGATTTTTGTTGCAAAATTTAAATTGAAAGGCTTAGGTAGGAGAAAAACAAAACGATGAAAAAAAGAAATAGAGAGACAGTCACACACAGAGAGAGACAGACATATCCGGAAGTATAATAATAATTATTATTTGGAAAAAAAGAAAAGAAGATTATATCGAGTGTGCAGAATGGGAGAGAACAAAAATTATATATATATATACATATTGAAAAAAAAAGAGAAAAAAAAATCTAAATAAAATATGAAATTGATATGAGATGCGTGAGTCGATATCTTGGCTACCGATGAACATCTAACGCTATATATACATACCTAATTTACGTATAATAAATACGTACATACCTAAAGTAAGTACGTAATACGTCTAATCGTCGAATCTAACATCGGCAAACGACGAAAAAAACATTTATCTATGTTATATATAGCTATATATAGCTACGATGCATTCTCACCGTTTATTAGCAACTAATTCCAAATGATCCAACTAATATTGTTATACCGTTCGATCGTCCAATTCTTTTTGTATTTTTGGTTTTTTTTTTGTTTTGTTTTGTTTTGTTTTGTAATTACAAACTCGCGTGTAATATTTCTATCTATGCGAGAACATACACACACGCGAAAGCAAACGTGAAAGCTACTACTTTAATATATTAAAGTACTTAAAAAGTATACTAACGTCGTTACCAGGAGACACAATAATTAATCGTCGTTTGCAAATTTAGCTTTAAGAAAAAGCTGCTGTTGCTGCTGCTACACGCATTCAATATTATTCTATTTCGCGATAATTTTTCTTTCCTTTTAAGTTATCTAACAATAGAATTTATTTGTCTTTTCTATTGAAATCTAAATATCTAATCTCGCTAAGTATTTTTTCTCGCCAAGGCAGCTAACGCACCTACGAAGAAGAGAGACAAATGTACGACAAAAAGGAATGAATTTGATTTATTAACTGATAGTGGTGGTAGTTTTTTCTCTCGTAGAATGAATTATTCGCGGGCTCGTACATTTATATTTTTACTTTGAAATGAGCAAAATTTTAGCCGAATAGATTTTCATGGCGCTATATTGCAAATCGATAAACTTATTACGAGCGTGCTAATTGGATTTCATCGTCGCAGTAATGAAATATTTATCGTCTATATATACATATATATATATATATAATGTATATATATGTATGTATGTACACGCGTTATATGGATCGGAACGATTCGCGAATATCAAAAATGTTTCACTCATCAACGGCAATCCCCCATTTAACAATTTTTTCTTTACTTATTATTGCAATTATGAAACAATAAAAAGAAACAAAAATTATTTTATTCTATAAAACGCATCCGAATACTCGAGCATAACAAATATATTTCATATTAAATACAGCCATGTAATTAAATATACTATTAAAACAATTATTAATCAATATTACAACAACAACAAAAAAACTATTATTACTTTTATATGTGCGCTAAATCAAAATTCGCGATTTGCTTGTTTGTTTGTTTTTTTTTTTTTTGAATCGTCGTTTACGCAAATTATATTATTATAATATATAGAAATAAATCTCTCTGGCTTTGAATAAGGCACCCTTAAACTAACTACTATTACGTTATTTAAATAGCATTTGCAATAAATATTGAACTAATGAAAAAAAAAAAAAAAAACATCGGCCAAACTTTTAGATTTTCGCCAAGTTACTTTGCTTTCGATGTAATTGTTTTACTCACGGTTCGCATTCTCGATCCACTGTATCAGTGCTGCAAAATTCCCACGAATTTTACAACACACGGAAATGTATATATGTATATCTTTATGCAAGCCAGACATCGCTAATCATATTCGATAATATGTTAATAATGAGAAGAACAGAAAAAAAAAAAAACAATGAAAGATAGATTGATAAACCTGTTTCTTTTTAACATCTTTCTAATTGATTATTTTCCCTGAGAAAATCCAGATGGGCTTGTCGAAGTTTTTCGAGAAAGAGAGAGAGAAAAAATAAGAAGATAAAAAAAAATAGAGAAATAATAAGTAAGAAAAATGAGAGGATTTTGTTTATGAAAATTAACCGTTTGCACTCCGCACGACTTTTGACGCTGGGTAGCAGCTACTCCACGCGCCACAGAAATGCCACATTTACAGACCCTCGTATTATTTAGTATCATTTTGAAACCAAATAACTGATTCTAATGATATTGGACTTATATTAATCGGTAGACATCAAAGAAAACCTTTCTTCTACAAATTCTTCTTATTCTTCTTATCTCTTCCAACACAAAACCCGCTGACATTTTTGTTTAAATATCTTTGTTATTTTACTATATTTTGATTTGATGTCGTCTGTGTGCTATTTTAAGAGAAAACATCAGAGAAAACATTAATTTCTCAAAAAGTTGTGCTGTCCCCGTAATCACTGATAAACTTTAATGTCTCATACGGTGAGACAGCGGAGTACAAAGGGTTAATAAATCACATTGGTTTCACTCCTTTACGTGTTATGGATTTGTGTGAGTATACTATCTATATTCTATTTTTATTCATATGTGTGTTAATCAAAATTCACGACGTTTTTGTCTTTTTTTTTCACGGGGAACTCATTGTACTCGGAAAAGGATATCGTTCTACTTCGACACTGATAAAAAATTATTCGTCGGAGAAGGAGATAGTAAAAAGGATTTGAAAGTGAAGTGTGTGGGACGCGTAATGATGCGGCGGTGCCCCTGGCGCTTAGAAGCAAATGAAATTCATTTGGCATACTGTGTAAAGGATCAAGGAAAAATGCTTTTTGGGAATGCAAAAGGATCCATGCACGCAAAAGGATTTTCAATTGTGATTTTTTCTTTATTCGCGTTGTCAAATTTATTTTCTCTTTCGACTACTACGTGTGTAATATAATATATATATGTATATAAGAAAGATAGATAGAGATAGATAGATAGATAGATAGAGAGAGATCAGGAAATTGAATGAAACGAAATACATGGTATAGACAAATAAAGTAAAATAAAATCAAAATGATATTCTACGTAACACGATGATGATTTAGCGTGCTGGTGAAAATTTGCCATTAGAAATGGATTGATTGACAACGAATGGCGAAATTGATCGAACGGAGATTGTTGTCTCGTTATCATAGTCCAGTTATCAGAGTCCAGTTAGGATGGAAAAATACGAGTCCTGTACTATACACAATCAATGTTTCTTCATGAATTAATGTAAATTTAACGTTGATAAGGTTCCCATTGTCAATTCGATCGAATTTCTCTATCTATCGCGAAGATAATGATTATTGATAAGTATAATAAACCTTGCCGTTGTTAAGCGGGTGTCTGCCACACAAAATGCCTACCAGCGCTCACGAATTCAAAACAACTTTCCAACATGTAAGTAAATATGGTGTCAAAGAACGTGTAACACGACGATCAATAGCGAGCGATCGAGAGGAGCAAGTTTGAGAATGCACGATGCTTTCAAGAACATTTTCGAGAGTCATGAAGTATTTTCAAAGGGATCAACAAATTTGGAGAAGGAGATGATAGGAATAAGATATAAGATCTAATAAGAAAGAGAAAGAGAGATAGTATCAAATTTACATATACGTATGTATATCCGTACGTGTATACTATTATTATGACATTTTCAAACGAGTTATAACGAGTGAATAACCCACCCACATTGCTATCGGTGTCGGAACAAAAATATTTCAGACGAAATTTCATTGATTTCGTAATATTTATTTTCGTTGCGTTTTCCTTTTAAATAACGTGATGCGAAAGAAAAACGCATCACGAGTTAACTCGGGACCGGTCAACAAAGTGTTAAGTAATACACGTAGAATATTTGCAATGATATTTTTACAGATATACTATATATGTAATTATATAACAATTTAGAAAAATTAGAAGAGGGAATAAGGAATTGTATGTGTACGTGTTGAATATATATATTGAAGTTTTGACGAGGGAGTAGGAATATAGGGTAAAGAACAATCGATTACTCTACGATTAAATACTTTTCAGGGTAAAACAAAATAGATATATAACGTTCTCGATATATATATACCTACACGTATGCGGATACGCACAAATTTTGAATTCGTGGTTCTCGTATACCGCAAAATTCAACTAAGAGATTCGTTAAGAAGATTTTTAACTAGAGAGAGACTAGGATAGGCCATCTTAAAGGAATTCACTTCATTTTTGGTCAATAAAACTTACAGGATTATCGATTCAACAATAACGATACTATTCTACCTTACAAAAGTATGCTTGTATGTATGTATGTACAAAGTTTACAAAATTGATTATTTCATTGAAATTCGATTCTATGGATTTTAGGTGCATGCATGACTATCTTTGTATAATTAACAAAACATTTTTCTTAATACTATAGATGACTTATCCTTTGCATTGTCCATTATTTTACTTCATTAAATTGAAAGAGAACCAAATGTTTGAATTTATTTTTCTAACAATTGCTACTATATTCGCTTAACGAATCTCGAAAATATTTTCATATTATACCTTTATTAATAAAATTTCAACAATTGGGGAATTGGGACGGGGAAAACAATAAGGAAATTCATTAACGTGTTGCCATTCGAGCCATTTTTTCTTTCATTAAAGGTACAACAAAATCAATGAATATATTTATATACATGTTAAAGAAATGAATTAAAAATCCGAATGGCAATTCGTTAATCGAATTGAAATTAGAAATCGAGTTACCGATTTGCACGTGATAACCGAAGATCATGATCTGTTTCAGTAACGAATCAAAGTGCGTGCACATGTCGCAGTACGTTCCATTTCTTTTCATCTCATTTTTACTTTTATATTTTGTTCTTTTTTTTTTTTTTATTTTCTTTTATCTAAAAAAAATAAAATATAAAAATCCAGCACGTGTCGTAGGATTTTTTACGGTCATATTTCTTTCGTAAATTCGTAGTAGTTCTTTTTTTTCTTGAAAAAAAAAAAAGTAATGAAGAGAAAAAAAATTCACAAAATGTTCACATTCGAGCGAGAAAATCCATCTTTCTCTTCAAAAATATGTAGAATATATTTTCTATATATATATATGTATTTTATCGACAAAAAAAAAAAAAGATGAATAAAAATATATATACACACATATACATGTGTAAATATACATACAATTAATCACCGAAGTATTCGTTGTCCCATTATAAACATTGAAATAATTGATATTTGCTTGTATTTGTATTTTAAAGAATAGTTTTGTAATTGGTCCTCCATTGCATCAACATTTTATACAAAAAAAAAACTAATAATTAAACAAATATTAATTGTTTAAAATTGACAATGGGAATAGAAATATTCCTGTGATTGAATGTATGCATACATTTTGGAGTTTCTCCTCTTTGTGCACTTGCGAAATTTGTTTTTGGATAAAAAAAAAAAGCAAGAAAAAGGAAGATAAATGAATCGAACACAGGCTACGGCAGAGACATTCGTTCAATGTTAACTCCAATTATTTGATATCAGAGTAATAACAAGTATTTTGATCGAGAGAGCACAAAGATGGAAAAACGAGTCTCTTACCTTTGACATCGTCATCCTCGATCGTTGTGCTGCTGTCGGTGGATTCCTTCACCTGAGAACCATCGCCCTTCTTTGTGATGATACTTCGACCTGGAGTGCGCAGAGGGTTTTTCAGTAAATCGATATTGGAAGCGTGTAATAGTAGAAGTAATAGTAGTAGTAGTAGTAGTAGTAGTAGTAGTAGTAGTAGTAGTAAATAGTACGAGTATCTCAGTAAATTCTTTTTATGTTAGATATAGATAGATGTATATATATATTATTTTTAAGAGACAACAAACGTAAAAAGAATAGATAGAAAGATAGATAGATAAATAGTATAAGAGCGAGAGATAGAGAGAGAGAGAGAGAGAGAGAGAAAACATTAAAAATTGGAATAAAACTTTTCTTTGGTTTAATTTGATCAAAAACTTATTCCAATTGTTAGCTACGAGCTTAGATAAATGAAATCTAGGAAGATTTAATGAAATTGTTCATTTGTTAGGTTTACTCTCTCTCTCTCTCTCTCGTTAAAAAAAGCGATAAAAAAAAAAAAGTATTTCTAATTTTGTCAAAAGACTTGAATTATTGTACCAGCTATAATAGGGGTTTAGAAAAATGGAGAAGGAAGTCTCCAGAAAGCTAATTTCAAGAAGGAAGGAAATGACGTAGAAATAGGATACAAGAGAGACAAATATATAAAAAGAATAAACGAAAGTGAAATAAAACACAAACGTGCACAATCATCTAGATATTTATATTGTAATCATGCAGTTGTATTTTGTTGCTTTGCCTTAATCCTTAAAGTGCACACTTGGTAAAAGTTAGTTAAAGTGCACCACTGTGGGTGTTTGACACCCCCAACGTGTTTGAAGAACGCGTCTCCTGAAGTCGCTATTTAATATTTAGACTTCGCAATGTTGTTAAAAGTAGTTTGATACATCTTTTTTCAAATAGTTATATACCAGTAGTTTTATACCTATCTGAATTAACAAATTTGTTGGGGTGTCAAACATCACTTTAAGGGTGCACTTTAAGGGTTAAGCCTTCAAGATCATCGCTTGTTCACGATTCCAACGTCATATCTTTGTTTCTTTTGTTTTCTTTCTTCTTCTCTTATTTTGATGGAAGGTAAAATTAACTCGAAAGCTCACAGATATTAATAAATCTATTATTGCAACTAGAAAATAATAAAGTATGTAAATAGACACGTGCACTAACCGTTATCATAAATTCAAACTAAATTTATGCGTAACCACGTGCATGTTATACGCAACGGATATATTTATTCATTTAGTTTTTTTTTTTAGTTGGAAAAGTGATATTATGCTGAAATAATATAATAATAATAATAACAATCTAATAAGCTTGAACAAATGAAATAATTAATAGAAGAAAAGTATAAAAACTTGAAATGTTGAACTTTGAAAACTATTGAAATAATTGAAAATAAGAAAAGAAAAAGAGAAAAATTATTAGCAAAGTAGATGCAAAATAAATGAAAAGAAAAAAAAAAAAAAGAACAATTGCCATGCCAAATGCAATTTCAAGAACAATTTATCATCAATATTCGTTTCGAATCCTGCGATTTCTGAAAATCAAGATTTTCTTTATAAGATTCAATGAAGATAATGAAAATTATCTAACAACCAAGTTTATTCTCAATTAGTAGTTACGTAAGTGTATTCACTTATTTTTAGAGATAACGAGAAGAATTATAGTTCTATTTATTACATCGTATATTTGGACTGAATTATTAATAAGTATTATCTTTAATAAATGATTACACTTTACATAAATGAATATTTTATTCGATATGAATAATTAAGTATCCAAAAATGGTACGTTTTTCGATAAAATATTATTAATTAATATTAATGTTATTGTTTTGCTGATCCATTCATTTTGAAATTGTATTTCTAAATATTTGTTATTAAATTATCACGCGTACCATTTATATAATTTACATAATTTGTACACATAAATATTAGACAAAAAAAAAAAAGAAATAGAATGAAATCGCAGAATTTCGATAGAATGGATTTTTATAAGCGAAGATAAAAAGAAGAAAATTGAAAGAAAGAAAGAAAGAAATAAAGTAAGAAAGAAAATACAGCTTGTCGAAAAACTGTTTCGTAATGTATCGTCACGTAGTCGTAAAAATGGTTTTTTTCTTCTTTTTTTTTTTTTTTTTTCAAATATAACTCTTACTATCTTTTGTAAGATAAAGAAAAGAGACACAACGCACGTCGATAAAGTTTAAATAAGAAGAAGTTTCGATCGTGTGTGTTAGTAAATAAGCACAGCACCTCCGACCCGCTTCGTGTCAAATGAAAAATAGAGTATACCTATTGTCAATAAATAAACAGAAAAATATAGAATTTAACATAAAATGTGTGTGATTATTTTTCAATGAGAAAATTAATGGCACAACGGATTTGTTTGTTTGTTTTTTCATTATTTTCATGATTTGCGATACGTGTATGATTTGCCCGTGTACGTTCTCCTTCATCATTTTTACGTATTGATTATGTAGAAAAAAACAAAAACTTTGACAGATCTAGAAGAAAATTAAATCATTTTGATTATATTTATTGCAAATGCTTACAGCAATAATCTGTTTTTTTCGTGTGGGTGTTAATTTGACGCGTGCATATTTCATAGATAGAACATTTGTATTTATGTATTTACGTATAATGCATCTAACGTTATAATAAAAATACTCACGATTAATATTTGGACTATCCATGGATGAAAAAACAATGGAAAACACACATTCACGACTGATTATTAGTTCGAATTAATATGTATTTTAATATGACGTACTATAATTAAAAGACGAAATATAAATGAAGTTGGTGATGCTAGTAATGTATAGTAATTCCTGTTAGTGACTAAATTCACGACAGTTGCAATATTAATACGCGCGAAAAACAACTCGAACATTTTGTGCTGCCACCTAGTTTAGAAATATGCAAATAAACGTCCTTGGTATAAAACAACTTTTTTCAAAATCTTGTTTATTCAACATTCATATATAAGAACTAATGTTTATTATTTATTATATTATTTCTGTAAGAAAAAAAAAAAAGAAGAAATTAATTTAATTACAAAAGTTCTCAATAATGAAATATTAAAATTGCATATATAATTTATAATTTCTTTTTGAATAGAAAGTGAAATTTTATTCAGGAGAACGTACAAGAGGATCAATTTAATTAGGAAATGTTGGATAAAACAGCGAGAAAGAGAATAATGAGTGAAATTTATATATATAGAAAGAGAGATTCTTTTAGTCGATCGATCGATTATCGTTTGTTCAAGAATTTCCGTATAATACTAATTTTGTTCGAAAGAAAAAAAAAGAACACGTACAAAATTAATTAAGAACTATACATGTATACATCCGTGAAACTGTAATCCAATATAGATTGATCGACGAATTGTTAAACGTATATGTTTCATTAATGAAATATGAATATGCTGTGCAATAGTATGTCTCCTATTTAATATTGTCATTACAATAACGATAATTCAACTCATTAGATTTAACGACTTTTCCAAATAGGTATCAGTAGAAGTTCAATGAATATAATAACAATTAAATACTTTATCAAATTTAGAAATCATCGATAGATTCATAATGTGTTTTGGATTTGGTAATAATTTGAGAATAATTCTAATTAAAAAATGAATCAATGTGTTAGGCAAAGTGTGTACTCCAAATAATTGAATTAAATGATAAAGGATATACACCCAAACTAACAGATTATGATTAATGAAAGTTTATACGTACAAAGTACGTACATATAAGTTCATTGATCCCTCTAAGAGTGTGCAAGATGCTTCAACTATTCGACTAATTGTAAGAAAAAAATTGGGGTATTAAGAGAGGTGGTAGGAGGTTGTAGGGGTAAGTGGTGGTGAGGTAGGTGAGGTGAGATCAAAGGGAGACATTCTAAGTAGACGTCTGGTGCTATTTATGTGTCACACACAAAAATGTGCGTTGGTCAGTCAGTGGCGTAACCTTCAATAAATTCTATATTTCTTTCCTTTTGGGTAATTTAATAGTTTTTTTTTATTCCACCTAACTAAGAGACGTTTCATATGGTTAAGCCACTGACGTGTATCTGTGTAATTATGTATGTATTCTGTATTAATATATATATATATATATATATGTATGTACATACGTTAAAGCGTGAAATCCATTAACCTATGAAATATCCAAAGTGAACCACACTATGAAATTTGATGCCAAGTATAAAAAACATATTTTTCGATTTGATTATAACACTGCACACACTTGCGCACATATGCATATCACTTGCATAGGAAGAAAACACACACAGAGACAGACACACGCGTATACGCGACGCGAAATAAATTAGACATTTATTTAACGTATATGTTAGACCTTCCGACGCTCGAAGAAGACTAACGATAATACATACGAAAAACTACGAAATAGACCGACGTACATCGACCTAGACGAAAGTCAATGTATAATGACTTGAATAAAAACAAATGTAAGCGAATATAAATATCGTTTGAAAACATATTACTTAGACTGTTTTCATCTCTACGTATCCCCTCCTCCCTTTTGAATTCTTATTTTTCTCGGATTCAAAAAAGGCGTGTAGACGTGTTCCTGTATTAACTATTATACATTATTTTACCTAATTTACATTAGATACAATCTTTTGCATCCTCTTTTTCAACGATGCTCTTCTAATCACTTTTTAGGAGTACACACACTCGCGCACACGTAGTTTTTATGCTTGACATCAAATTTCAATTTCTTGCTTTATATAAAAGATTTTTGTTGAATGCATTAAATGACAAAAATATATCATTAAATTTGTTTCATATGTTTTCCCTAAAATGAGTTATTGAAATTCACGTTTTAATAGTAACATATATATATACACAGAGAGAAATGTATGTATGCACTTTATCGTGCATCTATCGAGGGATGCTTACGAGCACGCGTGCGCATATGCTACAGTCGAATAGACGTATATATGCAGGTATATATTATACACGTATTATATGTATGTTTCATACATGCATATAATATAATAATTTTGTTGTATATAATATACAATTATGTATATATCGTATATAAAAATTAGGTAGAGAATAATATTACTTCCACATTTAGAATTATAATTGATACGAATTACATAGTACAAGTGAAATAAAAATGTTTCATGATTTAAATTGGAAATTGTTCATGTGCTTTTTAAATTCATATATTTGAGGTCTCGATTGTAATTAATTGAATGAAAAGTAATAAGTAATATTTGAAGTTTCATCACTAATGGTATAACCTTTGTTTAAAAAAATATCAAATTCGAAATGTGGATAAGAACGATGATGAGAAGAAAATGTACATATCAGAGGTTTGAAATCTTGAAATTTTCTTAATATTACGGATAAAACACTTATATGCAACGCGAATAGTTATTGCAATACAACATAGCACAATCATTCGGAGGCACTCTCGCAAGTGGACCGAAACAGTTGACAGATTTGATGTTTCGATCCTAAAACTCATGATTTTTCTATTACATTTGTCTACTTTGATTTATTACAACCAAATGACGCGCGTATTTTTCCTACAATGATTAGACAATACTTAGAAAGACTTCATCGATCATAAGAAAAGTATTTTTTAAAGTAACTAGAATTTATCGTCGATCAAATTGATTAAACATTCATTTTTTCATCATTTGTAATGAATAACCCGTAAATAATGTTTGTGAAAATCCTTTCGAAGAGGATTTTAATTTGATGTATCATCGCATTAGTGTACTCTCGGTTGTCTATACAAAATGGACATTGACGTTAAACGTCGATACTTGCTTTGTCGAAAACGAAAACGAAAACGAAAACGATGCGGATATAGAACTGAAAATGATTCATCGACAATTTTCTACCATTTACTTATGTAATCGTTTATTATTGAAGATATGTAGAAATGCATATATGCGTATTCAATTAAAACTAATGGAGTGAAAGACAAGTTTTCTTCTTTTTCCAATGGATTATTCTTAACGAAATTGTCAAAATTGCGAAGCATGACTCGTTTGATGATTAGGGTCAAGTTAAAGATGAACATGGACGGGAAAAAAACTGCTTGAGTCCACTGCGACGATGATTTTCGTTACCCAGAATCATGGATTATTATTATTATTATTATTATTATAATAAAAAAAAAGAAAGAAAATGAATAAACGAGGTAAGAAAAATATTCGTTTATTTGATTATTTTCTGGGTAACGTTGAACAGTCCTTGCAGGATATATGAAGTGCTAGCTGAGTGCATCGACTATGAGGATAATACGAGCACTTCGTGGATGGAACATCTCAAAAATGTTTCAATTGTGCTACGTTGAGAGAGCGAGGATGAAATTAGGATGATTTGTTAGTGAATGTATTCTGATGAAAACGACGAAGGGTCATTTTCAGCTTGATCTTTTCTCCTCGAGAACGTTTCAGCCTCGCTCCTCTTTCATTTTGGGATCATAGGAAAAGAGATAATGTTATTTGCTCGATCGTTTCGACGGAGATAGGCTTTTTCAGATTTACAATTAATTTTGTGCATGAGCAAGAATTTGGGGGCTAAAAACAAAAAAAAGGTAAGAAATACGGATGCTCCATATCGTTTGATCGTTTACAAGTGGTTCATAAGGTAGGAATCTAATTTTCTAATGAGAGTTTAGATATACCATACGATTGGTAATATAGAAAATAATGATGCATTAGAGACCACATTGTACAAAGCACCGATCAAACTGAGCGAATAAACAAATGATGAGCAGAATTATTTTTAATGACGGGTATGCAAGACGGATATATGAACGAAGGGACGTGAAATGTTTGGAATAAAGATACAAAGTGATAGATAGATAGATAGATAAATAGATAGATAGTTAGATAGATAGAGTGAGAGAGAGAGAGAGAGAGAGAGAGATGGAGGATGGGTATGTAAAGTTTAATAGGAGCTTGTAAATGTACTGTCCGTCGTAGTCCATGAAGCGCTGAAGAGGGCCGGAGGTACTTACCCTGTGGATCATACTTACTGGAAAAGTTCCGTGTCGCCAACATCGTCGTCAAAATAGCGCCCTAATTAAAAAAGAGACCAAATCGAGCGATTAATCACCTTTTGCACCGATGATTTTTCAATGAAAGAACAACTGCTTACCTTTAATTTGCGTCTTGCATTGAATTTCTTCAAGCAATCCACAGTCTCTTGCCTGTGCACAACCGATGCAACACGCTCACGTTGCTGTAATAAGAAAACAAAATGACACGTTATCTTAGAAGTCGATTATTGATGCGATTGATTGGCGTTTCATAGGGATGTGAAAACTTACGCAGATCCATGGATGCTTCAATGCCTCGTTTGCGGTGATCCTTTTGCTTGGATTCACCGTTAACATCTGATTGATAAGATTCTTTGCTTCTGGCGTTACGGTGTCCCATTCTGGGCTTGGATACTGAACAACAAATATTATATCATCATAAATCCATGATTAATCTTTTACCTGTTTCTACCAGATCAATGAAAATGTTGTATAAAACTGTGTTGCGGCATATATTCGTCTCATCTTTTCCAAAACATTTATGTGTTTTCCCAAATGGAGAAAATGGGGCGAGAGTATGTTACAACTCACAATCAGTAAATTTGTAACCTTGTAAAAAGGGGAAGAAAATGTTAATCCAATTTAGTAGAAAATTGTCTCCAATGGAAATTAGATGAAATTTGAGTAAATTTCGTTCTGGTGGTCATTATGATAATGAAATATAATAATGAAAATAATTGGTAAAAGATTCTTACATCGTAAGAGCCAGCTTTTATTTGGGCGTACAATCGATGCTGATCGTCGTCCCAAAATGGTGGGTAACCAACGAGAAGGATGTAAAGAATAACTCCGCATGCCCAAATGTCGACAGGTTTCCCGTAAGGTTCTTTCTTCAAAACCTCTGGACTGAGGTAGCCGGGCGTTCCAGCGAAACCTTTTTAGGACCGACGTATTCAGATAGATAAATGAAAGAAGATTTGTTTGACGATCTTTGAAGAAACAAACCAATGACGACTTACCATACCATGCTTGCGATTCACCAGACACCTCGATCGCCAATCCAAAATCTGCTAATTTAACAGCCGCACCTTTTGCTTTACTTGCGAGAAGTAAATTTTCTGGCTGCAAAGAATAATAGCAAAATCGTCGACGAGAAATTTATGACGAATTTATCAAGAAACTATCTCGTACGGTTTTCCTAAACTCCTTAAATTATGATTATTGTAATATTAATTAATTATCACACGGATAGAATTTGTAAGAATTGGAAATACGAGTTGATAGAGTCAGAGGTCAGACTTTGAAACAATCTAAAGTGTAAGTAAATTCGAAGTTTGACTAGGATACGACTAGGATACGACTAGGATACGACTAGGCTACCTCGAGATCTTGACTATTTTATCAAAGTTGCTTTTCCAAGTAGTAGTTTCCTTTCTAAATATAGAATGAATATTCTATTGGAATGCAGAAAAGTGTATAACGTACTTTCAAGTCCCTGTGCACAACTCCGTTATGGTGGCAGTGGTGGACGCTTTCCAAGATTTGTTGGATGCAATGGGAAGCATCCGCCTCGCTGTAAAATTCTCGCGCAACGATGTCCTCGAAAAGCTCACCGCCGGTGACTCTGAAAAGAAATTACGACAATTCTCTAGAAAGCTTCATTCAAAGAGAGGAACCAACGACGCGAATAAGATGATGCTCTTGCTGTTTCCTTTTTTCGAAATATATTTCACAACGATCGTTTATACTTTGGGGACGTCGTCGAACGTCAACAGTAAATACTGATGAAAAAGAAAACTAACAACACAAAGTACAAGAAAAGATATAAAAGAAAGCCATAAGAACATTTCCCAAGCGTTTGCTTGACGTTCTCTCGATTGTGTTTTCCTAATGGTATTGCTATTTCATTTCTTTTTTCTGTTTCTACGTAAATTTGATAGATCATTTGACAAAATGACAAAAAATAACACTTATCATAAACGCGTATATAAAATATATAATTAACTTACAAGTCGAAGACAAGATAATGATAGTTTTCCTCTTGTATGCTATCGTGCAGTCTCACTGAAACATACAATTATTTCTAATTAAAAAAAACTATTTTTATTATATTTATATTTTTAATAAGACGGGGATAATATCGACGTAGGAGAGAGTCTCACAATTATTCGTTTTAATTATCGAGCTGAAAATGAAATATTTTAAGGTAGACGGCCGTGTTTCAGTTGAAAATTGAAAATGACGATGCTCGAAGAGAGCTTCTCGATTCGAGAATGAGACGTTGCACGAAGATTAAATAAATAAATAAATACGCGTATGTAGCTTAGATGGTTGAAGCATTGAAAGCTGCTACGAGCAAACGAGTATCATTACTTATAACTATGAATATTCCTTCATTAGGGTCAACGAAGGTAACCGAAGAAGCAACGAGAGATCCCTCAAGATTATCAGGTTGCTCTTCAGTAAGTTCATTTAATCGATGTCAAGTGGATATTTCTTCTTCGACGAACGAATTAACGTACGAGACGAACGACATCTTCTTTTTCAATATAAACAAAATTATATAATACAAATGCCCATCGACAAAGAACAAAAATTTCTTCTCTCATTATTGGCAAAGGAAAAAAAAAGTGTTCTAAGAAGAAGATGAACAAAGAGATTTAGAGATTTCATAAAAAAATGTTCTAAGCAACGACGAACAAGAAGATCTTTTGATACTCGATGCGTTTGGCTCATCTTCAATTCCAGAATCGAAGGATCGATTTTGCGAGCAACCTTAGAAAGAATTCCAATTCGTAGTTTCTTTAATATCCTTGGCATCGAGACGTTCGACTTAAAACGTGAACGAAATACGAATAACGAATATATTCCACAGAGCCAAGTAGAACAAAATAGAACAAAATACAACAGAATAGAACCCATAGTCGAAAGTTCTTTTTACTTTTTATAAATGGAAATGGTTAGGTGATGCGTATATGAATATTATTGAAATATTTCATCTCGTTTGTATTATCATTGCTGATCTCGAGGAAAAACAATAGACAAATAACTTGCACAAGATATATTATTACTATTATTAGAAAAAAGCTTGTGTGTTAGAAGGAGAAATTTTGTACTCGTTTTCGTGGTGTTTCAAACGAGGTTTACCACTTCTAACTCCCTGTATACATTCTCCATGAGACATTTATATTTCATAAATTTGATCAAATTAGATATGCCAGTTCGCTCTCATCTCCTCTTGCCCTCCCCTTGCCCTTCCCTTGCCCTCCTCTTGTCTCTCGTAACACAATGTCTCAGAATAATCTCTTGAGACCTTTGCCTCGCCTTGACAAGAAAATCGTTAGCTAAAGGTATCGTAAATTAAAGAACCGTTCTTATTCTGCACGCTAGCTGGCTTAACTTATTGTTAGACAAGATTGAGATAGAACTAGATTTGTCTTACAACAATATCGATTTTTCGAATAGCTCCAAAATATTCATTTACCTCGAACGAACAATATTGGTCTTCCTTAAAAACTTATAAATACGCGAAATATCCAAATGTTTGCTTTTGAAATTATTTTGAAAATCGATACGAACTTTACGACCAAGTCAATTTTTCTCTCGATTTTGAAATAAACGCAAAAGTTAAAAGTCAAAAGATTTGCTATGCACCCTCTTCCTTTTTATTCTAAATTTGCTGACAGCTCGAGAAAGATGATGAAGTAGAACGGAAACGTTACGTTGGGAAGAAAAACATGAGAGAGAGAGAGAGAGAGAGAGACAATCAATGGGTAGTATCACTTGTTGACTAGAAAAATAGTAGTCGCGACGTGCCTACTGGCCTCGATCAATCTAAATTCGAATTGAACGTGGTGGCCTCGAGAAAAAAATAAATACATTTTTCTATCCAATTATACCATAGTGAATAAGTTGAATAATGTTAGGAGGAAGTATATATAGGTAATTCGAAGATTTGAAATGGATGACGAGGGTAAACGGATACGATTGAGAAATGTTTCAAAACGGCGTCTCTTTTTCTCACAATCAGATTAAAATCATTCGAGAAGACAGAGTCGTAACATGAATAAATTCTATCAATAGATAGTAGCTTTAAATCGATACTAGTTTATAAATAATGCAATTGAATCGATCAAAGGATAGATGTATCGTGTATAAAGAGATTACAAAAATAATAATAATAATAATGATTTTTTTTTCTAATCACGCTAATCGTTTACCTAGATTTTCTAAATCCCATAGGGTTTTCCTCGAGCAATAAGGATCAAGAACGAGATATCGATTGTATTTTTTTTCTTTTTTTTTTTTTTACCTTTGAGTGGACGTTAATAATAACGAAGATAAGAAATCGATTGGTCGAAGAGGGTGCTTATAGAATGCGCAGCGGTTCTCAATAATACAAAATTAAGTAAAAAATGTTTTTTCTAAATTTTCCTGACAATTTGGAGCCTTTTGGCAGAATTAAAAAAAAAAAAACAAAACAAAACAAAACAAAAAAACTGGTGTTGTCTTTTTTGCGCCACATTCGTCGAACCGAGCCAGAAATCAAACTCGGGAAGAAATCGATTGGCCCGTATCCAGATCGTACCCTCCACCACGACCGCCAATAGCAGCTGGTTGAAAAGCTTCGCTGGTTCAAGGTTAACCTTTTGATGTCGTTAAACTGCATCTTTTTATTTTTATTTATTTACATTTAATCCTTTCAAAAGAGAGGATTGCCATATAGATCAATTGAATATGTTTGAACAACCTCCCTTATATTGACGCTGCATGCAACCGCGTTATGGTTGGAAATCGAAGTTGGAAATATATTTTGTATTTTATAATATTTTTGTCTTTAATATTTAATTGAAATAATGTCAAGAGTTTGATCGCGAAAAAGGAAACGGTTCTTCTCTGTGCTTGCGACATTTAATGGATGTAAAAAAAGAACACAAAAAAAAAAAGAACAGAATAAAGTCTTTGTAAATTATTCGATACATGTCAGAACACAGTTTCTAAAGAGTATAAAAAAAGGGGGGGGGAGGTAAAAACCATATACACAACATATTAGCAGTTCTCTGGATAGAGTGACAATTTTCAATGACAATTTTCAATGACAATTTTCAATGACAATTTTCTAGGGTGTCTTTTGATAAAACTCGACGACTGTAACTGTTTTATCGAGGAAAAATGAAAGGGTCCGATACCTTTAGAATGCGAGAACAATGGAATCGATTGGCTTCCAGAGGGAGGGCAATGCGGTGCTTTTGCGCGTGAGGTAAATCGAGCGAGAAAGCAGTTCCAATTGAAACGAAAAGGAAGATGACGAAGGATGGAACACGGTGTTCCTTCCTATTTGGGATCGGGCCCTTAAATCGGTCTATCGGATGAGGATTAGGATGAGGATTTAGGATGAGGATTAGGATGAGGATGGGATACTTGCGATACATAACACTTTGCTAATTAGCCTTAACGTTTGCTTAACTTTTCCTAATTGTTCGATACTCCAAACGTCTCGTCAGACGTTCGATCACTGTCCCGTTCAATTTTAATTAATCCCTAACTTTTATTTTTTTTTTAGGGGAAACTTTAACAAATCTTTCATCGAATTCTATGGATCGAAGGTAAAAACTTTTCTAACGAAATGAGAGTTTGAAACTTGGATAAAATTATTTTTCCTATTTGGTTCTACCTACTTGCTATAAGTATACGCTATAGGAACTAATGCATTTCAGATGATAAACTGCAAAGTATGCAATCTATAGACAATATCGAAAGAGTTAGTTTAGGATTAGATTGGGTGGAAAACCCAACGAGTTTCCTATGCTTGAATAAATCCCTAACTTATAGATAAAACGTGCTTACTTACTTACTTACTTACTTACTTTCTAAACTAAACTTGACTTTGCGTCTCGATTTTGTGCTCTCTAAACTATTAGAAAAAGTTCTTCTATAAACCGATCTATTAGTTGTCAGTACAACTCTTGGATAATTTGATTTGTTTCTTTGTTAAAACTTACCGATATTTGGATGCTGCAATTTCCTACATATTCGTGCCTCGCGTTCAAGTTTCTGGAAATCTGTAACAAAATAAGAGAAAAATACATTTCTAAGTACCGACTGAATGATAAGATAAAGAAGATGGCAAGCAGGGACTTGGTTCGTAGCTGAAAGCAATTATTTCAGAAACGAGGCAACAATCTAAGGTAGGTGAAGAAGTAGTAACGGTAGAATGAGTGGGGTTAGGCTAAAGGAGGGTTGAATCTTATTATGCCACGTCGGATAGACTTCTCTGGTATCTCATCTCATCTCGAGTGAAACCCTTAAGTTCCGGATTCGTCCTCTTGGAAATTTCGATTAGGTCCTTCGACTCGAGAGAAACATCTTGGACTTTTAATCCTCGATTCGTAATGATTCGTCATCTTCCTTGCTTCCTTCCTAGCTTCCTTCCTAGCTTCCTTCCTAGCTTCCTTGCTCCCTTGCTTGCTTGCTCGCAGGAGAACCTTAAGTTCTTATTTAAAAAGCTTTTAACGAGTTTATCGGAGTAGAGACTTTAGGAAAAGAGGTGTAAAGGGAAGAGTAAATGGAGAGGCGTTAATAGCAACGATAGAAAATCCGTATAGCCGATCGTTTGTAAGTTCGTTAGGAGTACGGGTATCCAGGGGATTGGATTTCCAATATGTTCGAGCACAAGTAAAGTTTCCTTGTTACGACAGCTGATCCTGGATACGTCATTAAAGTTCAAATCTAATTTACCCATCGAGATTTCCCTTGACGAATTTTTTTCTGCCTTTAATTCACTCAGGTCCAACGATAAAATTGCATTCGCAGCAGCCCGTTAAGTACCCTGACGATTTACATTTTGCTTTTTTTTCTTCCTCTATTCCTCTTCTTCTTTTTCCTCCATTTATATGTCGTTGCATTTGAGATTTAAAATAAGCTACTAATTTCACAAATTCCACAGGACGATCGAACGAGACGATGGGTTTTAATAATGAATAAAACCAAGATGAATAATATATTATTTCGTTTTGCTCAACAACGCCACTGTTATTTACAAAACGAAATAACCAGGTTCGCAGTAAAAAAAGAAAAAAAAAAAAAAAAAAGAAAAGAGAAGAGTGCGTTTCTACATTTTTCATATTTCTTTTTTTCCCTTTTTGCCTTTTTTCCTTACATTCGTTGGTGGGTAGAGACCCTCGAGCGACGACGTGCTTCGAAAAACACCGAAGAGACGACTTTAAAACTGAACGACTCTGGGGAAAAGCGTTCCTAATTTCAAACACCTGTCGTTTGTAAGTAGTACGTACCTAATATTCGCACGAAAAAGCTCATTTCTTTTGACTTCTCGATAAATAACAATGAAAATGTTTCTTAATTAAAAGGAAAGATAATTGTCTCTACGATCGTTCTGGTTTAATAATAAATTCCTTTGAAACAACTCCTTGCAATTGCACAGTAAGAATAAAAACAATAATAATAATAATAATAATAATAATAATAATAATAATAATGATGATAGAAATAGCTATCGATATTGACGATGATAATAATAATAACTATAATACTAATAAGCATCGTCACTCATGGACAGGGGGGAGGGGTCTCGTCGAGTAGAACGATTGGTTAAAAAAGGTATGGAAAAGGTGCATATCAAAAGACCATTATTATTATTATTATTATTTCTTTTGAATTCGCAATGGCGTTTGCAAGGACTCCTCAGAGTGCACGGGAGTCTGCTGTATGGTAACGATTATTGAGGTTTACTGAGCTTCCTCAAGGAACCTCTCGAAAAGCTTTTTTCCTCTTATCAAGTCAAGGATCTTGAGAAACGAGAACAGGAGACTTTTTTTTCCTTAATCGACCAATTTAATAATGTCGAAGATGATGACGTCACCGATAGATCGAACTTTTCAATTGTTAAATTAAAACTTGAAAGTATTGTTGCAACTATTGGCAATCGAATATTATTTTTAGAACTTATGTTTTTTCAAATATCTTTAGGTAATAAAACAAGGTCAGGCGAAAGTGTTCGAACGCCATTAATTATACGCAAAGTTTTAATACCGCGAGCTATACCCGTAAATGCTAAATTTGTAATCGTTAAATTGAACAAAATATTGTGGAAATATTGCATTAACATGCATACGCATAAAAGTTGTTGTTTGGTTAATTGACAAAGAAGGAAGTTGTTTCGATCGTCGTTCGGTCGAGTTACTTTTGGAATTCGAATATTTCAAATATGTATTTTAAATGAACCGAATGATACGCTTGAACGCTTATAAGTTTATAATAGTACATAGTATCTATCGTTGTTCTTCATTTTTAGCTTTGATTCGTTCCTCAAATGCATTTCCTCCATATTGCGGTTGAATGGCGGCTGCAACGACTAGGTCAAGAGGTCACTGGGGCAAGGCCGTGGCCCGAACTCCCTGGTGCAACGTGTAAAGAGTCATCCTCAACGGCCGCTGAGAGGGAACCCGGAGAAAGAGAAAAGAATCTCTCTCTTTCTCATTTTCTATCTGTCTCTAAACACCCCACCTGCCTGCTGCCTGCCTGCCTGCCTGCCTGCCTGCTCTTTCGTTTCCCTTTCCACCTATCCACTTTTTCCTTGACTCTTATTTTCCACTCTCTCTCTCTCTCTCTCTCTCTCTCTGTGGAAAAGAGAATTTCAATGTCGTAAAAATATGAAACAACTATATCGAAGAGTCTCTCGAAGGATTTGGCAAATTGCATTAACCCTTTGCGGACGGGAACTGTTTGAAAGTGACAATGAGTGCGCCGTTTGCAGTAAAATGGTAAACCCGCGTTTTAATCGTATATTACACATACCATATTGATACATTAATTATTCAATAGATAAAGGAGTTAGTTATTGTAATTTTATGTTGTTAAATAATATTGAAATTTTGCGTTTATTACGTACACTCGAGCGTTTATTATTAAATTATTATTTTATATTAGATATTGATTTAACTTTAAAATATGTTAATATACGCTCGACGAATATTACCAGTTTATTCCATTATGTTGATATTTTACATTATTTTACATTGAACGCATTGCACAAAGCAACGATATTTATTTTATTTAGTATTTTTCATGAATAACCAAAAACCATAAGCATAAAGTTGGACTTTTGGGTTGTTTTGTAACACTCGAAGGTGTCTATTACACCTTAGCTTTCATATTAATGCACGTACTCATTCGAGAAGGGGTTCCATTTAAATCCGAATAGGATTATTCTGACGTAAAATGTGAGAGGCTCGAAAAGTTTAACCAGTCAGTTAGTGAAGCAAGCAAGCAACTAGCGAGCCATTCCGCGTAGGAGGATTAAAACATCATCGCTTTCATTTAGCGTCCTCCTTTTGTCTCCAAGGAGGAGATTCTTGCCCTCTTGCCTTTTGCACTCGGGCCGCGACCCTCGACACGAAAATTCCTTTCGGTCTTGGAGTTCTATCGCACCATGTGTGTGTGTGAGCGCGCACGTCATAGACATATAGATTAGCCCTTATTCGAAGCGTGCAAATAACGAGCTAAAGGCTAGCGTATATAATCGCTCGAGAGTGTACAACTCTTAGAACGTCGTCTTCCTTTCGCAAAGGATTCCCTCGAGATCTGGGTCACTCGACACGCACGAACCTGCAAATGGAATATCGAGCAAGGACGTAAAATACACCTATGGCATTTTTACTCTAATAAAATATCGGATACTCGTGACAGGTATTATATGGTCGAGTTTAAAAGCATGCAAGTGTATACGTCAACGAGAGCAACATTATTTCTAGGGAGTTTTTCTTGTCCCCCTGCAAGACAAGGAAAGAAAGATAAAAAGATAAAGGTGCAGGCCAGTGATTCGATCGATCGTAACACGATCCAGCTTATATCGGATAAGTTTTACACACGGAGAGTATTTTAATTGATTCGATTAGGACGCTCGTTTGGCTTCGACCCTCGTCACTCTTTTACCCGCCATTAGCATCCCCTACCGATACTACGAGGAACAAAATGGAGTGAATAATACAGAGAAAGAGCTTTTTTGGACGCGCTCAGGGCCGATCGAATTTCAAAAAGGGGCTCTCATCCTACGCCATTGGCACCGTGGCTGCTCGCGATGGAATGTTGGCAGCTTGACAACGGCGTCGTCGCTCGTTGTTTTTAGACAAGTCGCACGCGCCCCGCCCGAACACCTAAGCCGACTACTCATTTTTCTTAGCCTTAGGACAAAATACGAAAATATAAATTTGCCTTTAAACAAACAAACAAACAAACAAAAAAACAAAACGTTTTTTGTTTTTTTTACCGATTACGGTAAAAATAGGTTTACAGCGTTAAATAACGCTATAAACGCGTTATATGTTCGTCGTCATTTGACGAGCTCGTGAAATGTTGACAAATTCGTCAACTTACCTCTGGCAGAGAGTTTCTTCGTATTTATGATTTTCGCCGCAAACTCCTGGCCGGAACTCTTTTGAACGCATCGGCGTACCACGGAAAAGGCGCCTCTGAAACACAAATGAATAAACTTTCGTTAAAATCCATCAATTTTCATTTTTTTTCTTTCGATAAACTCTGGTAGCCGAACTACTTCATATAACTTGCTTACTCGTTCCTTCTCATACACATGAAATATAATATAGAGAGAAACGTGCGTAATGTATATGTAGGTGGATAAGAGTTATGTATGCACGTAACGCCTGTAGTTAACCGAAAACTAAACTTTCTCGATTAGCTCGAGTCGAAGTTCGACGGAGTGTGTAAGAGGTTATGCTGCAGCCACCTGTATGGAAAAGCGTGGGCTCGATTGACAAAGTTTCAACGATCCTCCCTCCTATAAGCGCATTTCGGAATAAGGTGTCTTCGACACAAATTTTCTTCAAAGATTGCACACTCTCCTCTCAAACGTTTTTTTACAAAAGTAAATATTCTACGAATTTCAATTTGCAAAGCATTGAAATCTGCACACAAAAATCTAATTTTGCTCGAAAACCTAAATTTGCTACGTAAACTTATTACGATCTATTTTCTATTATTTATTAATCCAAAAATATGGTAATATTTGAAAGAGTATTTCCTTAGACATTTACTTATTCTCATATAACTTTTCCTTTGTGGTCTCTTCCGTAACGGTAACGGTGGAGCTTTTAAGACGCTTTACTTCCACCTAGATTTTTACATAGTACTATGCCACCCACGGATAGAACAGTAACCGTATTTTCCACAATTCCAAAGGGTTCTCAAAATGTCCACCCCAACGCCATCAAATATTACGCAAGTTTTTCATTTTTTTTGTTTTAGAATGTCAGTAAAAACAGAGAGAGAGAGAGAGAGAGAGCACTTTTACGTTTATCTATCCTCGGCAACAGAAAGAGAATGAAAAAACAACGTTGCGAGTATATACTCGTTATTCTTTCATCTCTTGTACGTTATCTAAAACTATTCTAATGTTCTTCTCTTCTTTTTCTATTTACCTTTTTATAGACGAGACGAGACGAGAAGAGAAAAATACTTTTCTGACTCAGGGATAGGAAAGTTTTTTGATAATAAAAAATACATACGGTACTTTCCATACATTTTTCAAAGCTCCAAAGTAGCAAAAAATATTATTCACGGTTTATACAACAGTTTGGTCGCGTAACCTTAAATAAACCTATTTTGATCAAAGTTTGCAATAAAATGTTAATATTATTTAAGTAATAAAAGTTGACGCAATGTTACGCATCGATTCGTAGAATTTCAGAATTATTTGTGTGTGTGTGCGTGTGTGTGTGTAATACCTACAAAGCATTGGAATTTGTATTTTTCTTCGAATCATCGGACGGTGAACGGTGGGCGGTGGACGGGAAATAAATAATCGCAAAAGGGGAATTCACGGGAAGGAAGTTTTTAATGTGCAGGAAGGATTAACAATTTTTCCTCTCTAATGTGACAGAGGGATAGAGAAAAGCTCTGGAACGCGGAAAGCCGTCTGCGCGAGCTGACCTGACCGGAGAATAAAAAGAGGGATGACTTTGTTAGGTCAGGTGACCTCGGACCAAAAAAAAGGGAAAAAAGGGAAAAAAAGGGGTATGATTTATCGTTATTATTATTCCTATGGCTTGCATTGCAATTTCAAATGAAAAAGATATTCATTAGCAAGTTAAATAAGAAAAAAAATGGACATAATATCTTTAGAGAATATGAATTAATAGAATTCCTTAAGAAAATTTCTCATGGAGGATTAGAAAAAGGTAATTGTGATTGAAACTCGATGACGAGAGTAAGTACGTCGTTAAAATACTATAATAGTGAAAGTTGGAAGAAGGGTAGTAGGGTACTACTAACGGTACTACTTTAATGTTAGATTTTGCAGGCGCCAGGACGAGGCGCCATTGGAGGCGCCATTCGTAGGCGCCATTTGAAGGCGCCATTTGAAGGCGCCATTTGAAGGCGCCATTCGAAGGCGCCATCCGAGAGGAAAAAGGGCGAGGCACGCTCCGCTTCGTTTCCATGACTACCAATCATTACCGAAGATCGTGCTGCCACCTATTCCTACCCTCTCTTGCCGCAAACCACCACCACCACCACCAAAACCACCCCCTGACCGACTCTATCTCCACCCTTCCGACTACTACAACATACTTGCTTTCACGTGTTTTTTTATACTCTTATTAAATAACATATTTCTAATATTTGCAACTATTTGATTGTTAAAAAATTAAATAAACTAATTATTCCAATAAAATACTCGAACAATAATATTATATTTAATTGATTTCGACGAAGGCAAAAGCAAGCAAGCAAGCAAGCAAGCAAGCAAGCAAGCAAGCAAGCAACTTCTTCTCAAGCTGTTCTAAGATTTTCGTCTATAATAATAGACGATATTATTTTTATCCCCATCTTTATACGCAAATCAATGAATTGTAAATTGTTCGTCTCTCGAGAATATCCAGAGAGAATCGTTTAAACGTATATATATATATATATCAGAGAATCGATCAATGCAGAGAATCCGGGCATTGTATAGAATGTCCAGAGGGTTTTGGTCAACCTAGAATATATGCATCAGTTGGATGCAGTGTTTAGAGAATCATTACTTTTCGTACTTATATCTCAACAGCCTGACTATCAAAATTGCCACGTTGTAAGGGCGAAAAATGGTGGTTGTGGAAATGAGGGGGATGACAACCCTACGTATACCCTTGAAAAATTCATGGAAAACTTGTCACCTTTCCTCTACGTATATATATAAGTATGAGTTTCATTTATGTAGCGTAAGCATGAAAAATCACAATAGGCTTTGATTTTGTCAGCCCTCCACTACGTTGGCACCAAACTTTTCTATTATAGAGAAGTAATACTTCTGTTTATTTCTCGTATGTAACGAAAATATCCAGATGGGAAGAAAAATTCTGACGCAATCCTGCATTCGATGGGGAAAGAAGAATACTTCGGGGCCAATCTATACAATGCCCGGATTATGTACATTGACCGTAACGTATCTGTAATACATATATACTTGAAAATACAAAAATCTCTACCCGCATTTCGTTATCTCCCTATGAATCATCATCGTTTTGACTATATGCGTGCATGTATGTACATATACACCTCTATCCACATACATAGATTTCCTATTATAACAAAGGAAAATAATTGAACATTGTTTTCATAATTCGTCGTAGCCGAGCGTATTCATTGAATGCTAACCAAAGATTAAATATCATGTTTTTTTATCATAACCTTTTATTTCTCGATATCTGATTGCACTCTATTAGATTATTTCTCGTTAGTTTATCACTCGTCGTTTGATTACTAAATTTATATTTCCTTTCTACGACTGTATATTTATCAAATAAAATAAAATAAAAACAGATCTGCGCAGATCACACACGGTAGAAGTGAAACCTTCAAAGAAAACCAAACTTCGAGACGTAAATATATCGAAACAATTGTATTGTAATACAGGGCTATCTATTGAAAGAACCTTACAGTACCTAGATAATTTCTAAATAAAAAATCTTTAAATAAGTAATAAAAAATAATTTAATAAAAAATGGCGATTAACATTGTGCTATGTGCTAAGTTGGAAAAAATCATGTGAAATCAAATAAATTTCATTAAGATAAGTTTGAGTAGTTTCGGAAGAATCTAGAATAGATTCTAAAGAAGTTTTCACTTCAAAAATAGAAAAATATTAGCTGTTAGATTTCATCATTTTCTAATTCTTTTCTATGCATGTATGTATAGAAAAGAAAAATGTATATAAAAGAAGTGATTCGCGAGAATATGTGAGATAAAAAGAAAAAAAAATGAGTTGTTTCCTCGCAAGGATAGTTCACGAAATCCTCGACACGATTTATCGTATCCCATCTTTTTCCTTCCTTTCTCAACACTCGCTAACTTACTTTTTTATTTTTCATCTTATTTTTCTATTCGGAATTTGTACGTAGGGGAAAGAGGAATGAATGGTAGTAAACTCCGTAGAAATAATTTCTCTCGACAATAAGCGTCGTTCGTGTAAATTCATTCGCTGGGATTTGCGGAAACAAATAATTGGTTCCGGTAACATATCGACGCAAGAGAGAGAGAGAGAGAGCGCGCTAAAAACACGTAGCAAGGTCTGTGCAAAACTCAACGAGGCGTCTGTTCACCGGATTCTATGAATTATGTAAAACTACAACGTTCAGATTCACTTTTCTTATATATCTAAATATATATATATCTACTGTATATTATGTATTTTATTATGTATTTTATTTCCTTTATTCTCATTCATTTCTCTTTTCAGGGTAATGTCAAGGGAAGCAGTTAAGTAGGAAGGTTTGATTGCATTCGATAGGTAGGCTAGAGAAACATCGAAGTGAATAGGTAGAATTTGGTTCGCATCAGCGCCGGGTAGTTTACTACAATTAGACAACGAGGTTGGTAGACGCAAATCTCTTTGTCTGGGAAACGTTTAGGGTACGCATAATTAACGGGACGGTAATTCGAATGCTACAATATTATACGACGTTGATAGACTTTCAAGCTAACGAAACATAATGATTATTGCGTTAAAAGTAAGCGTAATAATACGAACGATCCTAACCGCGCTCAATAAATAAATTCACACGAGCAGTTACTTCCCTACATGGAAATCTATGAAAATGTTGAGCCGAATGTTCAATTCACTTTGCAAGTGAAATCAGTCGAGGGTAGGTAATGGACACGCTAATAAACACGATTAGCAGAGTTCCCCTACTTGCACATTTAGTGGTTTCAACGTATATATCTCAAACGTTCGTACAAAGTTGAAACGATGGAGAAGCTTCAAATGATAAACTTCGAATGGCTTTAAAATTGTAAGAAGTATGCTAAAATATGTACATTTTGTCTGTCGAAATTAGTTTCGAATTGATTGAGTAGTAACTTGTTATATATAGTATTATAAATCGTGGAACATTTTGTGACAATCGATGTCTATCCGTTGTCCAGACGGATATTCTCTCCAAGAGAACGTCTCACTCTTTGAAAGTAGTACACC